AAAATTAAAAAAATTTGTGAAATAGTTAAAAATAATATTTTTTTTATAGTGGAATGTAATTTCAGGTTTTGAAAAAAATGTCAAAAAAATTGTTACTCCTCAACGAGGTCAATTTGATCGATTTAAAATTTACTGTAATTTTTTTCAAAATTTAAATGCTTTCACAATTTTCCTCATTTTTCATCGACGAATTTCTTATATGCTTTTTTCATTAATCCAATCAATCAATTGCCTGGAATTTGTAAAATTTCAATTTTTTCAAAGTCATAAATTTTCTGAAATGCCCAAAATTAATATTTTCAAAATTTTAATAGTAATATAATAATTTTAGATCTTAAAAAATGACAAGAAAAGACAATTCTTAAGAACAATTATTTCAATCGACTAAAATTTCATTGGTCTTTCCCCTTAATAATAATAAAAATAAAATGATAATAATTTTTAATAATTAATAATAATCAATATTAATAATAATAATTAATAATAATAAAAATAAAATGATAATAATTTTTAATAATTAATAATAATCAATATTAATAATAATAATTAATAATAATAATTAATAATAATGTTTATTAAAATTTTCAGAAGTAAAGCGAGGTTTGATAATTGGAATGCATCAAGCAGGGAGTAGGACTGATGAAATTTCCCAGCAAGTCGGCTGCTCCATGAAAACTGTAAGGCTTTGGATAAAAAGATATGCACAGGGCGGACCCCTAGCATTGGCCGATCACCGAAAATACAACCATCCTCCGAGGAAAACGACACTAATTCAGGATGAAGTGATAAACGAATTCTTCACTGCTCATGATCCATTTTCTTCTACGAGACGTTTTGTAAACGTTGTTCAACCAGAAGTCTGCAATGATACCATCCGTAGAAAGTTGAATGAAATGGGGATTCGGAGCCGTCGCCCAGCGATGAAATGGGAGCTTACTGAGGACCATCGAACCCAACGTCGTGAGTACGCTGAACGATATCTTAACGAACCAGAGGAATTTTGGATAAATACCATCTGTGTGGATGAGAAGTCCTTTCAATCGTCCGAAGATGGTCGAACTCTGGTTTGGAGAAGCAATGAAAGCCGGTTACGAGAGAACTGCGTTGTGAGGAAGAACAGAAGCGGGCGCATTTCTTGCAATTTTTGGGGCAGCTCCTCTGTCTACGGAGTTGGCGTATTAAGGGACGTAGGCCCTAGATTCAATTCGCAGGCATACGTTGAATTACTAGAACAAGACTTTCTGCCGTACGTAAACCGGTTGTTCCCCGAAGACGAGTATGAGGAAGTGAAGCTGTTACAAGACAATAGCAGGATCCACACGGCCAATCGGACGATGAATTGGTTTGAGCGACACCCGAGAATCACCTTGCTTCCTCATCCTCCGCGTTCGCCAGATCTCAACCCCATCGAAAATTTATGGGCAATGGTGGTCAGGAAATGGGAATCAGGAGCTGACCGAAATTTGGAAGACCTGATGAACCACGCCTGGAGAAGTTGGCAAGAAATAGGAGATACGCCAGAAGTCGTTTCAAACGCAATTCTTTCTATGCCGAGACGACTACAGGCAGTCCTTGACAACGATGGAGGATGGACAAAATATTAAGTGTCTGTCTGTCTGTCAAGAATTCACAGAGGCCACCCGACAAAAAGGTGAGTTTTTGTATTTGAAAAAAAATATTCTTCTTTTATTATTTATTTTTATAAATAAACGAATATTACATTTAAATTGAAAGTTAATAATTTAAAAAAATATTTTCCCCAGCTTCAGAAAAAGCGAAAAATCCTTGCCCTCCAATCAGCACTTCTTATGGCAGAAATAGGTAACGATCTTAAAGGATGGTTGATAACGGTACTCCAAAAAGTCGACTCTTTAAAACGGCTATTAGAAGAAGAGCAACAGAGCCACGCAACTCAGATTTAATGCCTTCAAGATAAATGATGATGGAGACGAAATGGAATCAAACTTTGCCACCGTTATACACTTTTGAATATGTGTTTCATTCTAATTTAATTTTTTTATGGAAGAAAAAAGACTTTTTAAGGCAATAATCACTGTTGAATATTTTATACCTTATTATCAACCTTTTTTTTATCTCAATTTTTAAAACAATTTGTCTAATAAAACAATCAACTGTATGCTAAACATAAAACTTTTATTTATTACAATGATTTTCCATTCTTTCTACAATGAATTTTCTTATCAGGATTTGTTTAATTTGAGACTCAAAATAAGAGTTTAAACAATTTATCACAATAATAAAATTCCTAAATAAATAAATATATTTTTCAATAAAATTATCAATTTTTTTACTACTGAATAATAAAAAAACAAATTAAAATTACGTTGAACTTTTTATAATTATTCAAAATTGTTTACAGAAATAACTTTGCAATTGAAAACCGCGATCTTTCTGATCCCACGAATTTGGCGAGTTTCACTCCTCAGACTGATTCCACATTTACCGAGTCAACTTGGCCAACGTTAAAATTTCATAATAATATCTGCGTGATTGAAGAAAGATTAATTCTTTGAAAAATGGGGTTTTAATTTTCATTCTCAATTTAAAATGAGAAAAAAATTACCGATATTTAAGTTTTTTTTAAATTGAATTTTGTTTTTGTATTAAATATTAAATGATATTTAAATCTCTTAAGAAATTCATTCTTTAAACTTTTTATCGCAAATCTGAAATAATAATTATTTTTTCAAATTAAATTTTTTGTCACGGATTTTCGACGTTAAACAAGCATGATGTTTTGATTTTCAAAAAAGTATTTAATTTTTACAAAATTTAGAAATATTAAAATAATAAGAGGACTATTTATTTTATTTTCCAAATATAAAATATAATTATTTGTTATTGTTTTTATATTTTAACCTAAATGTTGTTTACCTGCAACCCCTGCAATTGATTGTATAATCCTTTTTTAAATCACAAATATTCAATTGCCAAACATATTTTATTAGTTTAACACTCGGAATGATTTCTTTAAAATCAAATTACGCACAAAAACTGCTAACCAACAATTTTCACTCACCAAAACAAACTTTTTCAAATGATGACCGATGATGACACCTTCTATTTTGACAGCTGATTTAGCACAGAATCTGAAATTTTAAGACTCACCGCAAACATTCATCTCTTAGCAGCAACTTCAAGTGGAAGGCATTTGTACGTTTTACTGTACATGTCACTAAAGTAACTGAACTTCTCAAGAGTTTATGGTCCGAGGAAAAATTCTCTTGAGTACATCCTCGAGAATTTCTCAGGTCTTTAATTTCTCTTTAGAATTTATGAAAATTTATATGGAATTTAAAAATATGATCATATAAGCTATGTACTTGGCTAGTATTAGTGTCCTTCCTTGAAAATTTAAAGTCTTATAAATGTAGCTTGAAATTTAGAAGAGAGACTTAGAACTATTTGAAATATTTGGAAAATTGGAAAATTCTGAAGCTAGTTGAAAACTTCTTGTAAGATTTTATGGTTTACTTTTTTTTTTCTTTACTATTTACGCTTGAGGTATTTTATATATTCTAGATATAAAAAAACTAAAATGCATTTTCTTTCAAATTTTTAATTTATAAACCAAGGGAGAAACTTTTTTTCATTTCTTTTTGGTCATCACTTTTTAAAAGATTTATACTATTTTTGGATTAATTAATTAAAGATGAACTGAATAAGATACTGTTATGGGGTTGATAAATTGAAGATAAATTTAAAAAGATACCGTTGGGGGAGTTGATTAGCTAAAGATGAATTATAATAGATAGGAATTAATGATTTTTTGTTACAGTTGATTTTAAAAGGGTTGGTTTTATTTTTTAAAAGCAGATGCAAAGTGTAATCAATTTCTAAATTAATGCAATTGCTGGCATTGTTAAAAATAATTTCAATTTTAATTAATTTTAATTTTTTTTTAAAGCTTTATATTCTTGTACCATTTTCCGATCATAAATTCTTGAGATTTCCGAAATATTACAATGCATCGTAATAACGATAGTTTTATGCAAATTGCTTTAAAATCGTTGGTGTGATAAAACTGCTCTTCAGAAATACAGTAAAAATAATACTGTTCTATTATATTAGTTGTAAAATTTTATTTTATTATAGGAAACTATTAAAATTGACACTAAACAATAAAATTTGTTACTAACAAACTATTAAAATAGCCGCAGTGTAATTTACGAACTCCAAAAATACATGTGAATAACCCGAACTTACATTTCTCATCTGTACACTGAAAAACAAAATTTATTTCATTCAAATCGGTTACTTTACTATTATCAAATAAATATTTATTTGTATTAAATAATTATTATTATTTGAATTTAAGTAGTATTTGTTTCAAATACATACATAAATATTTATTTGATAATAGTCAAGCAATCGATTATTTGAATAAAATAAATTTTTTTTATGATCGTAGTTACCAAAAGTTCAAAAATTAAGAGTAAATAATTAAATTAACGATTTCGTTGTTCAAGGAATTTAGATAAATTATCCGAGAATTGAAATTTAAAACCCATATATACTATTTAATGAGTTTCATATATAGAACATTGTGTTGAAAAACAAATTACATTGTGCTTTAAGCACACATTTTAAGATTCAAATTCGACTAAATTAGATCACAGGAAAACAATCATTAAAGGGGATGGAATTAGAGAATTTTCTCCTGCACTTATCCTTCTTCTTCTTCTTCTTTTTTAATTTCTTTTATTCTCCAGGGAAAGTAAAAATACTTTCTAATTCAGATTAAAATTCTTTTATTTTTCATATATATAAAACATCGTCTAATGTAAAATTTGAATTAAATTATTTTAATTCATATTCAAATTCAAATAGAAGCGAAATTTATTTTTATCCTAATAGTAAAAAAATAATTTTTTTAGTTAAAATCAACTCGAAATTTAGAATATAATACTTAGAAAATACTGATTTTTTTCCTTTGTTAACAAATTATTTTTGTTCGTTGTTATTTTGTTTTATATATATATATATATATATATATATATATAGAATGAAAACTAATTCCTCTTATTGGGGTCTTCTTTTTATTCTCTCCTAATACTTTTGATTGTGTTACAATCTTTTTATAAAGGGAAATAAAAGAGAGTAAGGGGAAAAAAGAAAGAATCAAGAGAGGATCTAAAGTTTTTTCTTCGGTCCTCTTTTATATATATATATAAAACTTTCAAGTTGGGAAAAATTTGTCTTTAGAGATGAAAATACTATATAGAAATGATATTTAAGAACTATTGTTTTTATATATTTTTTCGACATTTCTGACACCTGAGAAAGGGGTATTGGAAAGGCGTCAAAACGTTTTTATATATTTTTTTTGAAAGTAAAAGATTAAAGGAGAAATCGATTGAATTAGTTTTTCATTCATTTTTTTCAATTTGAGTTTTTACTGAAATTGGTCTTCCAATTATTTTTAATTTGCTTTCGATAATATTTTAAATTGTTTTCTATTTTGGCGCAAAAATAGAGTTTAAAGAAAATGGAGAACGTGAAGAAAAACTTAAATCTAGACACATTAACTGCTATTCTTTTAAAGGTCAGTGGTTGGACTCGAGGGACATTAACATTCACATGCGACACTGTTACTTCCGATGTACTGGTTTAATAGTAGTAGAAACTTTGGACTAAAGTTAAGTATTCTGCACTTTACTAATTAAGGGTCTCTTGTGGAAAGACCAACGTGACAAGCAGATTGAAATTGAAACTGCAGTAATGTCTTTGTCAATGGAATTTAACGATTTTGAATGTCCTCTATATAATTTCCTTTAAGAACAAGGACCTAATGTTTCTTGTCGTGTGACAGTTTGTGTTGAGCATGGACTATCATGAACAGAACTTAATCTCACCATCGAGCTATGTGCTATATTTGTATTAAGTCCGCTTTCGTGACGAGCAACATCACCACTTGTACATCCGATACCCAATCTTCCACTTTGATCACGATTAGCACACATTAAAAGTTCTCGCATTCCTTTACGAAAATTTCTCGAGAGAAATGCATATAATACTGGATTCAAACATGAATTCATGTATGAAACAAGAAACGTTGACACTGTCAGTATTGTACTAAAGTCCGATGTTCGGCTGTAATTTGGATCCCAATGGAGCCACGCTATTCTTGCTTGTTGTGGTAAATTACATATCGCGAACATCACCACCACGGTTATCAACATTCTGCAAAAAATTCAATTAAAGAAATCATTTAAGCTACAGGATGTGGTACTATCTAAATGCCTCGGCAAAATTTTGATTTTGACACAAACCAAAATTAGAAAAATGCTTTTGGGACAATCAAAATTTTACCAATCAGGCAAATAATTTGCAATAAACGTACCTTATGACACCACGTCTAGCTCGAAGGACATTTCTACTCGAAGTGTGAATATGTTGAACTCGTCCATTTCTCGTTCTTGCAACGAGACCAGGTCCTCCAAGTGCTGCACCACTTTTCCAAAGTGAAACGGCAATTCTCGTATAAAGACAACACATGAGAAACAATGGAAAAAGATAGAGGAATATTAAATTAACAGCATCGAGGGCCGCTTTGTTGTGACTCTTAAAATTAACTATACAAATCACATCAATATCGCCCGTGTCCAATTGATGATTAATCGTTTCAACATAAACAAAACGTGGTATTGCATAGATTGCGGCTATCAACCACACAATTCCAATAACGACCCTTAAACGGCTTCGCGTTAACATTGATCTGCATTTGATAGGATGTATTATTGCCAAATATCTTTCTGTACAAACAACAACCAAAATCAAAATGCTTGCCGTATAAGATAATGATTGAACGAACATGTAGATTTTACAAAGGAATTCGCCCAATTGCCAACTGTTCATTAAATAGTTTGTTAGTGTTTGATAGACGCAGAATATACCAACACATAAATCAGCGACTGCCAAATTTGCCAGGAAGAAGTTTGTGATGCTCCTCAGTCGACGGGAGAATGTTACCACGAAAATTACCATCAAATTTCCTGCACAGAAATAAATTAACATTAACGAGAATAAATTTATCGGGGAAAACAAAAATTAATATAATATTAATTAAATTCTAAATTTAGATCATTTTTTTGTATTTTATTAATTAAATAGACCAAGAAACTTGAAAAATAATGTAGACAATAATGAGCAAAAAAGAAAGAGAACTTGGATAAATTAGAAAGGAACAAACAAAAAAGAATGAAAGGATCATAAAGAAAGGTCCGTTGTTTTTTTTAAATTCTTTTTCATCCCTCTTTAACGTGAAATGAATAATAAAATTAATTAAAATTATAAAACTGTTATTAAAGAGATTTAAAATTCTGTAAAAGTAAACGTCTTTTCTCTTTTCTGGACTATAAAACATTATCAGAATTTTATTTTTTAATATGATTTAAAATTTTTTTTAAACTTATATCAGTAAAATAAATTCACTTAGTGTAAATCAATATTCTCTAAAGTAAATTCGTTCGTGCCATGTAAAATAGATTCACTTTAATATATTAAATAGTTACTTATTACATAAAGTAAATTTTCTCTCATCTTGATTCAATAATAAGATTTATTTAACTTTCCGTCTTTTTATCAGATTTAATTAATATAGAAATAATTTATTAACTTTATTATTAATAATTAAAATCCATTATTGTTTTAATTTAATTGAAATTAAATTATAAACAGTATTTTTTAATTTATTAATAAAATATAAAATAATTTTTTAGGGAATTGTACAATTAATAATTAAGATGAAATATGTTATTTAAAATCGAGTAACAGACTTTCTTGATTCGAGATTAAAACTTCACGTGTGAGAAATTTGTGTGATATATATATTCTCTTCGTGTGAAAATGGAGAAATTATTTTTTTTCCTCCCCTCTCTCTTATATATTTAAAGCAGTTAAATCCATCAATGTTAAAAAAGTTGTGAAAATCTAGATGAAACTTTGTAACATAACTCTTTAGAATTGAATTGAAAAAATTTATTTTTTTTTTTATACCAAAGGTTAAATTTGTTCACATAAAGAGAATTTCTGCATATAGAGATGCATAGAATAAGAAATTCAATAACGTGCAGCAAGCGTAAAACTTGCTTTTCTATCTCGTTTTCGAACTTTCCATTTTTTTTCGCAAAACTTATTTTCCTTTTCTTTTCTGACTTTTTCACTACCGAAAGGTGATAACTGTCCGTCGAAAATTCCCATGAGTCGAGTCCACAGTGAGTTTCAATCGAGTGATACTTTATCAAGTGACAAGTGTTATAAATAAAATGTTGAAAAATAAATTCTTTTTATATATAAATTATGTAAAATATTTAATTGCAAATGAGCCTAATTTACTTTATAGCAGAAAAGTAAATTTAAAATATTCTTTAAAATTGATAGGCTATGTAAATTTATATAATACAAACATTTCCATTCCAATAATGTTAAACTAATAAAAGTAAGGTGCAAATTCAGGCAATTCGTAAAATTGTTTGAATATCGACAAGAGTGAATTTCCATTCGCAGTAACAAGTTCTTCTTAAAACTTACAAATTTGTCCAAAAGTCGTTCAATGGAACTTTTAGAATAATTTATTACTGGCGCAGTTAAATTAAAAGTTAAAAAAAGTATTTTTGATAAAATGTATTTATTTTTTACATTCACGTATTTTTTGGTCTTTTATTCTTTTTTTTATGAATTTTTATTGATTCATAAAAAAAAATTAATAACCTTGTATATAATTTTTAATTTACTTTTGAAATTAGCTTTAGAGATAAATTTGAAATTAACTTTTTGACTTTGATAAAAAAGATATTACATGTTTAGCATAAAGGGATGAGAGACATGTGAAAGTATATGAGTAACATCACTGGAAAATAGATTAAAGTCCCTAATCGAAATTGCCAGTAATTGTAGCTTCATATACACGAATTGATCTATTCGTTTGTGTCAAATAGAGTGGAGATGTGAGAACTTGGATGAATTTGCATACTGCTTTAACCTTGTGATCTCCCTGGACGCTTTCCTGCAATCAGATTCTCTAATGCATGTCATCTAAGAACACATTTTCAAAAGCTTCCAATATTTCTCTTAATAACTTAATTTTTCTCTATCATTTTTCATTTTTAAATTAAAATGAAAAATTTCCTCCTATAAAAATGCGCAGCAAAACTAAAATGCTAGATAATTATAATCAACTAAGGGTCTGATATTTTTCAATCTAATGAGCAGATGAGTATTATGTACCATTTATCGACAGACTGTTGGAAGGATTAATGAAAATTATTCAAGAAATGAATTTTCATTTTTTTTTTGTTACACGTTAATTAATTATAATTAATAAATTTTGTTTGTAAATGAAAAAAGAAGGAATTCTTCATTGTATGAAAAAAAAATATTGAAATTGTAAAAAGATGAGAAAATTGAATATAACAAGTTATAATAACAAAACATTGAATAAATGAATATGGTAAATAAGAGGAGAACGTTTACTGGAGGTCAAGAACGTTTTTTAGAATGCAACTATTACCTAACTGGATTATCGGATTTGGTAGGATTCAATTAAGGTGAAAAGTAGAAAATGAGAGAATCGGAGAAAATCAGTCAGAGGCTCTTAAAAGGGAAATGATGAGAAATTTATATAAGAAAAGTAATGCAGAATTATCGTTTTCTTCGTATATCTACAAATTGAGAGGTTTTTTTCTAAAAACAAAATCTTCGACGGAAGATGAATTTATAAAAAAAAAGATTTTCCCGATAAGGATAACAAACAAGATTTGCCATATACTCTATAAAATCATCAATTTATGCAGATCAATTTCTTTAAATTTTTTAACACAGACGTATCGTATAGGTAAAGAAGGTCCAGTTTCGTCTTATAATAGTCGTCTTAAATAAGATTATCTGGAGCCTGGAGAGAAGCCACTAAACTTTAATCTTTCTGGACTTCTATTCCTTAATCCTGCGAAGGAAACTTTCAACTTCGAAGGAGATTAAAGGTAGGAAGGTTATATTCGTGAAAGAAACTGTGTTTCTCGTTCTCCATCATTTTGTGTCACTCAACTTATTTAATGCTAATTTTGACCCGAAGCTCGAAGCTTACACATATATGATATGTAAGTGAGTTTCCTTGGAGATTCAAAAAAGAATGTGAGAAAAAAATTTGATCGTTCCTAGAACTTTATTAAAAAAATTTAACATTGCAGAATTTGCCTAATTTTACTCTAGGTTTAAAATGGGGTCATCTTCGGATATCTGAAGAAAAAATTGAAGTTTGATTTCGTCATCATAATTGAATTGATTCGAATATCTGTATCAAAAATAGAATCTGTTTATACTCACACTTATCCTATATTAACAATTGGTTTTTGAACCGCAGGTAAAAATATTACTTTTTCATGTTGGATTGGATTCGTTCGGTGCAATTTATTTCGTTGAAAACATATTTATGAAAAACCCTTGGGGAGAAACTTAAAAAAAAGCTTCTCGTCTATATATGTGGGGGTTTTTTAAAGAAAATAATGGGACGTTCGGAATTATCTTTATCACTATCTTCCATCTATTTTTTTTTGCCACTTGATGTTACTTATGAGAGAACAATGTGTGGAATTTTCTACGATTTTTCTCCTTCTATCGATAATCTGAAGAGATTCTATACATATAGCTCATAAATTTATAAATTCAGCGCATGTGTATATGCCAGAAACATATGTGTGATGCAATTTCTCTTCTTGTTTCTATCCTAAATAAAACAATTAAATCCCCCCATCAATCGATAGATTCAGTATAGACTTAATTTGCAATCGTCTTTGAAATCAATTTGTTTAATTGGATTTAATTAAATCGAACCCAGATTGAAGCCGATTATACACATATGTATATATAATAGAAATACCAATATGTCACTCTGCCAGTCTCCAAAATTTAATGCATTTCAATTTTTTATCATTTTCTTTGTATTTTTATTATTAACTTTGTTAATAACTTTTGCATATTCTTTGTTATATCGATTTCAAATTGTATAATTAGAAAGTAATTTTTAATATAAAGTTTTTCAATATAAAGTTCCTAAACTTAATTAACTATCAAGTTAATAAATTAAATGTATAAAGTTTTATTAAATATAAAGTTAATATATTATAAAATCATAACTTTTTTATTTTCTTTATTCTCATTATTAATATTAATAAATAAAATTTTTTCAGTAATTCTGTTTTCGATGAACATAAAATTAGATATACATTTTTTTAATGAAAGAATGTATCAGATGGACAATTTGTTTTATGTGTGCAATCCATTTGTACATATAGCCAGTATTATTTTTTGTTCTCTTGACTGTGAATTAAAAGCAATATAAAATGAACACGACAAAGAAAATGCCATAAAGCACTATTACAGGTCGACGATAATTGTATTCTTGAAAAGAGAATTAAAGCAATTTAATTTTGTAATTGTTAATGTTATATTTTTTTTCGTTTTTCTGTTAACAAACGAGAGCGCAACAATGAATCTGTTTGAAGCTAATTGAATTATAACAACAAATAGTAACAGAAATTCAGAGAATTACTCTCATTGTCAGTAATGATAATGAGTATATATAGAAGACTTTTAGTTGCGCGCAGACATTCAGCAAAAGGCTCAATTATTCTTCACTTAATCTCTTGAAGATTTTCTTTTTTTTTCTATTCTTTATTCCCAACAAAAGTGGAGGTGTTACAATTCATTATAAAGAAGTTCAAATAAAGCTGCGGAAGTGCAATAAAAATTGCCTTTTTTTCGTATATAAAAAAAAAATTTTTATCCCTTATAAAGGTCATGAAAAAGAATGTCTATGGGGGGGGGGAATTAATATAGAGTAGAAAAGCACATAAAGTGCACGCGAAAACTTTTCCTATATAATTTAAAGCCAGAAATGCATTTTAGAATCATTAAACACCATGTTTGACAAGGATGAAAGTGTGAGCATCAATTTACATGAAACCGGAGAGAAATCATGAATGTGTTTGAAGTTTATGAAAGTTGAGGATGTTCATATTTCATAAAATGAAAAAAAAAATATGGTTATTTCTTGCTGTTTACTAAAATTTTTTGAAACGAACCCGTCAAGATTAATGATGAGAATTTTCTTTTTTCTACTATTTTAACGTTAAAATATTTGTCTTTTAATATAATGTTTCATATCAATATATCAATTTATATTTACGTCAAGAACATTTTATTGTCATATATGTACGATAAATGAATTTTTTTTTTTTGATAAATCTTTTCCGGAAATATTTTCTTGGAGTTATTTCTTTAAGAGCCTAAATCAATATTGCATACGCTTTATTCGTTTTTAAAATTGAAATTTTTTTTTATATATATATACCTTCCGGTGTTCTGGAATAATTTAATTTTTTTCATACTATATATATATATTCTCTGATAATATATCATGCGAATACTTCACACTGTGTGTGACAATTGGTGTATAGTCTTCTTTTTTCAGCCTTCTGGCAATTTATTCTAAATTTCACGGTTAAAAAAAGAAAAAATAAAATAAAAAGACTTTACTAAAAGGACACCATCATCCGTTGAAAGCAAATGCTTCTCTCACCGTTCTAAATTGGATTTTACTTCGCAGAATTTTAATGCTAGCTGTGTTATATTGAAAAAAACTACTTATTGGAAGGCGTATAATGAATTGGAAAAATCTTGTATATAAAATGCTCAAATGCTCCCTCTTATTGAATGTACTGTTTTTTTTTTCTTCAGTGGCATAAATGATAGAATCCAATATTTAATATTATATTATATTTTTTTACCAGTAACGAACTTTTATAACTAAAATAGAAATTATTTTATTAATTTTAATTTACTTATTAAAATTATTTTTATTTTAAAATTATTTAAAGAAATTAAAATAATAATTAACAATTTCCTAAATTATTCCATTTTTTATGGTAATGCATTAAAAATACTTTATTTAAGAAAATTTTGTTTTAAACAAGCTTTTATGTGAAAGTAAATCCTCTATTTTTTTTAATCCATTTTTCTTTTATTTTTACTTAAATTTTTAATTTATGTAAATTTTTACTTTTAATCATTTTAAAGTTACTTTTTAGATAATTCGCTTACAAGCTTCTGTAACTTTGTTTAAATTAAAAGTGACAGATTCAAATGTGAAGTTCACAACTAACCATAGCAGTTGAATTACATTACATGTGTGAAATAAATTAATCCTTACATTTCTATCATTTTAATATTGTTTAATAAAATTTTATTTTTTTTTAACAAGGAATAATTTTTAAAAATAATATAAAAAAAATGTTCGAATTTCGAATTTAGGACGAATTCTCAATAATTCAAATTACCGGAGTAAAATATTATTTGCTTCGATCTAAAGTCGAATAAAAGAGAAATCTGACATTAAAAAATCTTCTTTATGTGCGATTCCAAGTGAGATTTTGACTTTTTCGGAGTAGGTTAACCGATTGCAATGAAACTTTGGAATTTTGTTATATATAGTAAGACTAATCTTTAACGTAAATTTCAGCCTAAAATATTTGTTAGTTTACGAGATTTGCAATAATAACAAAAAATTTAAAACTGCTATATCTTCCGTTCTAATAAACGGATTGAGGTCTACTTTTTTTTAAAATGTCAAGGAAAATGAGAGGAATAAATCTCTTTCAGAACATTTTTTTATAATTTTACAACTAAAAAAATTATTAAATAATAATTGAATAACTTTCGCGCGACTAACTAAAATTCAATCACTTAAACGCTAAAATGATCTTACCTGTGTTTTCTTTAATGTTCCAAAGGATTTTTATTGTAAATGTAAGTTTAACTTAAGAAATTTTATTAATTTATTAGTATAAACAATTGAGATTTCTGCTAGTTGACGTGCAGACGACATTGCGCACGCAGCATTCTCACATAGCCAATTTAGTCCACGAATCACGTCAGTTGGCTATGTGAGAATGCTGCGTGCGCAATGTCGTCTGCACGTCAACTAGCAGAAATCTCAATTGTTTATACTAATAAATTAATAAAATTTCTTAAGTTAAACTTACATTTACAATAAAAATCCTTTGGAACATTAAAGAAAACACAGGTAAGATCATTTTAGCGTTTAAGTGATTGAATTTTAGTTAGTCGCGCGAAAGTTATTCAATTATTATTTAATAATTTTTTTAGTTGTAAAATTATAAAAAAATGTTCTGAAAGAGATTTATTCCTCTCATTTTCCTTGACATTTTAAAAAAAAGTAGACCTCAATCCGTTTATTAGAACGGAAGATATAGCAGTTTTAAATTTTTTGTTATTATTGCAAATCTCGTAAACTAACAAATATTTTAGGCTGAAATTTACGTTAAAGATTAGTCTTACTATATATAACAAAATTCCAAAGTTTCATTGCAATCGGTTAACCTACTCCGAAAAAGTCAAAATCTCACTTGGAATCGCACTTATATTAAATTTCATTTCAATAAAAGTTGGAATGTCCTCAAAAATAGGTTCCACAAAAAAAGTTGATATAGAACTCGCAGGATTTTTCATATGGCTTCGACCATCTTCTATTTTTGAGAACAAATTACTTATACTTTTTTTATATTGACTTTATCTTATATCCTTTTAACAAAACGTACAAATGCAATCCCTTTTTATTTGTTAAAATTCATCACTAATAAAAGAAATAGTATTACTTTTTAATTTATAAAAATAATTCAACTTTCATAGCTGTTCAAAATTGTAGAAAATAATTTTTACGCATTATTTCAAAAAATTTGAGTAATACAAAAAAAAGTGAAAACAAAAAAAGAGCAAATAAAAATAAATGGAAAGAATTAAATTTATTAATTAAGTTCTCCTTAAATCCAACATTTATTTCCTTTTAAAGAAAGTAAAGTCCAACTAAAATTATTTGTCCGGGGAAATGAAAGAAACAATAAATCTGAAAGAGTTGAAACAGAGAGATTGCGGATAATTACAGATATCACATGCTACTGATTTGCTGGTAGATTTAATTTACTTTCCACTATGTCCCCGTGGAAGCATTGAAAACCAATATGCTTTTCTAACATTCAATACCTATATGTTGATAAAATTAAATCACTATTTTATTTGCATAATATATACATACATATTAAATTTTAATTTATCAAAAATTTAGGCATTTTATTTTTGTCAGCAATCATAAATTTTTGTCTGACGGATTTTCTCTAAAAAAAAAGTGTTCACAAATAATTTTGTTTTATTTATACTTACCAAAAAAGCAGCAGAAGAAGACAATAGAGTAGAGAGTAATGAATATTATTTTCACTTCAATTCGGTCGAAAATATAATCTTCGTTTATTGTTGAATTGTCAGTAAAAAATGTTTCGTTGTAAAAACTTTCGTTTCCATAGTTATCCATGACCAACCTTTGAAGCAGACTGCAAAGAATGTAAAATATAATAACAAAAAAATGAAGCATAAAAATACCTTACAATTTTTTATTATTCCATTAATAAATAATAATACTGCAATTTTTTTTATGAAAATTTTTTTTAATCCTTCAAAGTAAACGTAATAGAATGATTTTTCTAGGATTTATAAATTCTTGTTAAATATAAACTTTTTAAATTAATTATGTGATTAAGCATTCGTCCTTTCAACATCTTGAAGACTACTTTATTACTTAAAGGGAGGAATAAAAAATTCTTTAAAAGTCTTTTGAGATAATTTATCTATAATTATACAGTTAATCAAATTTTTCAAAAATATTTTTAAAAAATATAAAAATTTAAATGATTACAAAAAAAATTATTTAACTATTATTAATTAATATTATAGATTAAATCTCAATTTATGTATCGTGTAATTAATTTTCACATAATGAAAATACAACCATATATTATCAGGTCGGTGAAATTCACATCGATTACGATCATCAAAATTTTAAAACCCAAGATACTGCATAAACACATCAAAAAATTACAAAAACCATTATACCTTTAACAAAAAAAAATTAAGTTCAACCCTAAATTCATCAGACAAACAACACTAATATAATCCTCAACATTGACATTTTTGAAAAAAAATTGAAATTTCATTACATACACAATTATATTGCATTTTCTTGCACAAAATACACCTAAAAGTGTAGAAAAAAATTGACAGCCCGATCCGAGTAGAGGAACACCATTTTTATGACCATTAAAGCGATTTTCGAAAAAAAAAAATTTTCAAAAAAATTCAATTTTTCTTAGGCACACTATTTTATTGCAATTTCTTGCACAAAATACACCTAAAAGTGTAGAAAAAAATTGACAGCCCGATGCGAGTAGAGGAACACCACTTTTATGACCATTAAAGCGATTTTCGAAAAAAAAAAATTTTCAAAAAAATTCAATTTTTCTTAGGCACACTATTTTATTGCAATTTCTTGCACAAAATACACCTAAAAGTGTAGAAAAAAATTGACAGCCCGATGCGAGTAGAGGAACACCACTTTTATGACCATTAAAGCGATTTTCGAAAAAAAAAAATTTTCAAAAAAATTCAATTTTTCTTAGGCACACTATTTTATTGCAATTTCTTGCACAAAATACACCTAAAAGTGTAGAAAAAAATTGACAGCCCGATACGAGTAGAGGAAGACCCCTATTACTATTTTTGTTGTGTTTATGCAGTATCTTGGTTTTTAATACTTCGATGATTTTCGATGAAGTGAACTTCACCAACCTTATATTATCATATAATGTCAATAAAATTAAGTTTGGAAAAGTTTTAAAATTATTACCTAGACGAAAAAGATTAATTACGAAAATGGATTTTAATTAATATTAATTGCTCTTATATTGTAATTATTATCTTCTTCCTTATTTGAAATTTAGAGTTTTTCTAAATTCCATTATTATACCACAATTTAGAATCAATTTTAATGAGCGTAATTTGTGAAAAAGCAATTTAATGAAAGTTCTTAAGCGGAAAAATGAAAAGGAAACATAATATCTAAATCACCTAATTTGGAAATTATAATAAATGAGTAATAAAAATAATAATAATAGTAATTGAAATAAATTTTTTAAAAACAAAAAGAATATTTGTCTTTTTTTAATAATTGTAAAATAATTTAATGCAAAATCGCAGAATTCAGTTATTATTAATGAAAATGTGAAAAGTAGTTTTTTTTCATACTTTGAAAGTTATAGTTTAAATTATTTACGATATAACAGACAAGTTTGTGATAGTATTTATTTATAGTGTATTTTTTTTCTTAAACATAAATCCTCTCAGACGGTTCAGTTTCCTTTAATATTTAAGCTGGTACTTCAAATATTGATAAGATCGTTGCAAACTGTGTTTCTTGAAAATAATTATTAATCCAGTGAAAATGTATATACAAAATATTTTTCTCTTGGAAAGGAGGAATCTTGCACGATTGATTTAGTCGAGAATTTTAATAAGTTTGTTGCTGTCTGAAGGGGGAAAAATGATATTGAATCGTTGCCAGAAACTGAGGGAAACTGTATATCAGTTGAAAAAGTAGACGTTCTTAAAGTTTCGAACATGCATTTCAAACAAAATAGTGTATCGAGAATTTAAAAATCCCCGTTGGCCACTTTGTAATTTCTTTTTTGATTTTATAGTATATCGATTAGGAAAAAAAAAGTTTCGATACTTTCTCAACATAAGGAATTTTTTTTTTTTTTAATGGAACACACATATGCACTTTTTCCAATATTCCATGTAGAAAAATAGTATTATAGCTAATTACTCGATCGAGAAAACTAGTTGGCAAAGTTTCAAACTTTCGTTAATGAAACTACAAAAAAGAGGGCTTTTATTAAAAGAGGTCCCTCAAGTTGTAAAGTACATCGATGACTTTTTCATGTACTCGATGCTTTGTTAACCTATCAAAGCTTTTACTTTTTGAATTTTTGTCTTACATAAGTTTTGAGGATTGCAATAAAAGTAAAAACTTTTTTTATATACAGTCATAACAGGCACATTCGCCTGAGTCAAAGATAATAAATTTCGTCTTCTTAATCATTCTATAGTTTTGAAATTAATTTTAATTTATGTAAAGTTGAGAAATGTGTCAGAAACTTGTACACCAGAAATATATAAGGAATCTCGGAAATTGTCTCAGTTAAATTCAAACCACAAAATGAAACTTTGTGTATACGATATGTATTCAAAGTGAGATGTTTCAAATAAAAAAAAAAAACTTTCCTTTGTTTTTAATTAGCACTCACTTTTAACAATATACTGCCAGGGCGTAAATCTCACGTGGACAAGAAAAAAAAACTTTATAAAAAGTATCAAAAGAATGGAAAAGAATTTTAAAACTTAATTTTCTATGCAAAATTAGCCGCATTTAAAATTTTTTATTATAAGAATTATATATTTTATAATTTTAAATATAAAATTAAAAAAAATCATTAACTTGTTTTTTTTGGAGGGGGGGATTAAATTAATTTAAAGAATTGAAGTGAAAAAAAAAATTGATTAACTTGATGAATATATTGGAAACTTGTGGAAAATGTAATTTCATTTTTCATGTAAAAAAACAGATTTGTATCATTCGAATTTCATCCTAACGGATTTTTCCTCTCTATGCAGATAGCAATTTATCTGAAAAAAATATTTGCGAATATTTTAAACCGCTTACTGATAAGGATTATCAGAATATAATGCCTCGTGTATCACCAATAATTGCTGTACCTATATATATACAATGATTTTCTATATCTGTATATATACAATTTTTTGACATTCACATTAAATTTCCAATAATCTTTAATTATATTTTATCAGATTAAGATGTTATACTTAGAAACTTATTATTGTAAATTGTAACTATATTATTGTTGCAAATATATTCAATTTTAATTATTTATTATTATTTTTTTATTATATTATTATTATTTTAATTTTTTTATTATTATGTACTTTAATTACTCTCGCTGCATCCGCAGGGTTCGTTGTTTTTATTTAAAAATTTTTATTAGATTTTTTATATAAAATATTTGATCAGATTTATATAATTATAAACTTAGGAAATAATTTTATGATTTAGAAAATCTGTTATTTATACTCATATTATATTAAATTTACATATTACCTTATACCGTAAAGGTTTAAGAGCTATATGTGTGTTTAATTTAATTCGACAGACAAAATCTAAGTCTAAATCATTTTCCTAATTCTATGCATATCTAGATATGTGTGTGTGTTACATTTTCCTAATTCAGCATAATATTATTATAGATGATATACTGAGTTCTCTCATTGTTTGCAGGTTGTAAGCCGTAATAAATTTATATCTATTCGATATCAATGCTCCACTTCAGAATCAAATGTATATTCAATTGGCGAAAATTGGTTTGTCTTCATATCCAAAGTGAACAAATTGATGATTGCTAATTATTGACATTTTCGAAAATAAACATTTGAAAATTATTTTTTTTTTTTCTAAAAAAAAAGTTCTTTCAATTTTTAGATATTTTTTTTACTTTTTTGTATTTATATCAATTATTGAAAAAAACGCATATTCATTCTGATTAAAAATTGCTACCTCATTAAATGTTTCATCTCTCAAGTTTTTTCTCGTACTTTTAATGAAACATACATTATCTTCTTTATGAAAATCGGGATATTTTTAAAAATAATAAAAATTCTCTATACTTTTTTAATACATTATTTAAAAATTTTTTAATATTTTTAAAAAAATAATAAAAATTGGAATATTTTTTTAAAAATAATAAAAAAATTACTTTTTTTGGAGTTAAAAAATAATTTTCTTTTGTTTTTCTCATAGGAGGAAAATTGTCTTCTGGCTATAATTTGTCATTCTTACTATAAACAGTTTTTGGAATGTCAGATAAAAAGAATGGTTTGAACAAGGCTTACACGATTGTAAAAATTTAATTAAATGAAAATAAGTCGAAAATCTTGAAATTTTATTGTTCAAAAAAAAATATGGGATTTACTATAAAAATCAACAAATGATATATAAAATATTTTGAAACTCTGTTATTTCAGTTGATAGATGGAGAAAAAAAATTGATTACGAAACTATACATGTCCCCACTCTAAAATATATAATATATATATATATAATATCACCACTCCCATTTGATATATTAACTTTTAGTATACAAAAGTTATATATTTCAGTATCAGTGATTCTTTAGTTACAGGAAGTCAAAATACAAATTCTGTTGTATGATTTACATACAATTATCGCGAATAATATATTCAAGATTAACACGCGCAATGGCATTTAATCTTGTTCACATTAAAAGTTAAATTTTTCATGCTTACGTGCGCGAATAATAACGTTATAAGAGTGTTATAAAAAAAAATTACGAATGGATTTTTAAAGTCTCTGAATTGGTGACAAAATTAAATTACATTATATATTTACACAGGTACATATTTATATATACACACTCTATCCATATGAATCAAAAGTCAAGAATTTCTTGTGGAAAAATTATTATTTCTTTCTTTTGCCAACTGAAAATTACATTCTATTGAATGTGTCGCGTGCGTTGCGTCTGTCGTTTAAATCATCAACTTAATAGCAAAATTTGCGATAAAAAAGAGATTTTCAATTCAGAGCTGAAAATAAACTTTTTCACATTTAATGTAATTGGAATTATTTTTCTGTAATTCATTTTACACTATTAGAAATGTGTCTAAACTTTCAATTAATTTTTATTTCTGATTCCTAAAATTAATTTTTTTAAAAATTGTAAATTAATTATATATTCATTGTAATAAAATTGTACCCAAAAAAAATTTTGTTTTCCCAATACATTTTGATCATTCTGTATAATTAATTCATAATTTATAATTAACATTCATGTTTGAGAAAAAAATTTTTTTTTTATCATAGTTTCTCGCTTTTAAGAAAAAATATGCTTGTTTGAGTAACTTTTAACTAACTTGTAACTTTTAACAAAGACTTAGCCACCACAACTCAAACACAGTTCTGACAATACTCTTGCTTGGCATGGTGGAAGGTTAAGATTGAAATTTCCAAGAATTAAAATCTCAAAAGAAGCGCTTTGAGGGTTATACAATTTGAATGTACAAAGTTTATTTCTGCACAAGGTAAAAAGAATTTTGTTTGATTTTATAAGAAAGGAAAAAGTTACTAAAAAGAAATTTAATAAACAAAAAATTAGTAGAATAAGACACATTTTTTACTAAAGTTATAAAGTAAATTAAATACCTATTTAAAACTTATAAAACTTTTTTTTAAAAGTAATTTTATACTTTTTTTTAACATTCATAAATATCAAATTTCACTATTTTATTTATTTAGACAAAATTCAGTTATTTTTAATAATTTTTCATTTCCTTTTTGAAATAGACTCCATAAAATTTTATCTAAAAATCATTTTTTTTTATCTCAAAGCTATTTTACATTGTTTTAAAACTTGACTTATGAAAAAATTCTGTTAAATTAAAAAAAAAAATGGTAGCATGTAATCGTCACGTTTTTGATATGAAAATAACTTTGTCAGCTTTCATTTATTTGCAGAAAAAAAATTTTCTTTTATTACCATTGTTTTTATTAAAGTAAAAAAAATCTCGATAATATAAAAATAATCACGCATGCAAACTTTTTTTATTACTGCAAAATATTTTCCGATTACATTATACATATATGTCTTAATTAACGTATTTCCTTTTTATTAAAATAAATATTTTATTATTTTAATAAATAATTATAAAGTATTTTATTAGAGAAAAATATTCTTGAATAAAATATGTTACACATTGAATAAATATTTTAGATATGTTGTAAATATTTGAGTTTATCTTCAAAAAATGTAAAAACAAAAAAAAAAAGATTCAGGTGTATCAATTTGTTGAAAAGAGGATGTACGACAAAGGATATGAAACAATAAGACGTCATCAGGATTTAAAAAATTCTTGGTACTGACGTACAGAGAGTATATTTGTGTATATCTATAATATGCCGTCGATAGAAGAATATTGAATAAATCATAAGCTGATAGAAAATAAAACAGTATTCAGGAAGAAAAGGAGTACCTGTAAAAGGCATATATATATGCAATGGATTCTTTTGGTACGTATAAAGTATATACTCGTTTTTTTTATCTTCTATCACTAATTGACGGATAACATTTTTTTTCATTTTTTTAAAATTAATTTAATCCAAAATGATTTTATTGGTTTTACGTAAAACAATATTTTGAAGACAAATTTTACAAAAGTATTTTACAGAAAAAAAAGAATTTAAATAATAATAAATAAATATAAAAAAAATTAGCTAAAAACTAAAAGAAAGGACTTCATTTCAAACGATATTAAAGAATTTTATGCGGAAAACTTTTTCACACATAAATTTTGTACATTCATCAAGTTTTATACTTGAGTGTCACAAATATTTTTTGCTTCTTTTTTTTGGAGGGTTGGGGAGGGATAAATATAAAAATATAACATAGTCATAAATTTGTCCATTCAGTATTTCACTAGATAGAAATTTCATTGTTCGATAACTGAATTTGCGGTTCCAGACGGAAGATTGTGAAGAGTGGTGAAAATCAGATAATAAAATATAGCACAGAGGGCATTATTTTATGCATTATCTTTTAATTTTTTGTCCATTTCTCTCTTTCTTTCTTTCCTTATATTTTTTTTTCTTTTTATAAAATAAATCTACCAAATTGCAAATTACAAAACTTGTTCTCCTTTCTCTATCTATAAAATGATTTAATAACAGCCCCTTTTCTGGATTTAAATATAAATCACCATATTTTGTCGAAAATAAATTGATTTAATGAAAAACAATATAACTTTTCATTATATGCAAGAAATAAATTCATTGAAACTATATGCTGTACTGAAATTAATCATTCGCTTTCAAATTATGAATTTTTAATTGTAAAATATGTTTTACATATAAATTTCTTTTATAGAGTTATACAAATTTTTTAATAGAAAAAAAATTAATTTTCTTTTATGAAATTTGTTAAATTTTTTTTTGTCAGTCTTTTTATGATTTTAATAAAAAGTAATGTATCAGAAACAATTGATTATTCCCCAAAGGCATCGATTTTTAAAATTTCAAAATTTTTGTTTCGAAAAAAAATGAACTATAAAAAATTAGTTAAAAATATAAATTGAAGTTCACTACGATTTTTAAAGAAATATTATTTTATATAAATAAATAAATAAATAAAAAAAATTTTGAATAAAAACTAAAATTTAAATTATTTTTTACTATTTTTCTTACTAAAATTTAATCTACTAAATTTTCGGTAATCAGTTTAAATTGATTGGGTGAAAAATGTTTTCCGACCTGATTTAAAAAAATATATATTCAAACATTATTTGTCATTGAAAAATGTCACGTGTCCCATATACCTGAAATAAATAATTTTATATATGGTGTATGTAAATATTTGTTTACTTATACATTCTCATTGATCGTAGTAGAAGTTCTGCATTGTAAAAACAAAAGTCTTTAAGCATTCAAAGCTAAACAATATTTTGTCAAGATTTTTTTATTAAATCATAATTTTTCCTAAAATCTATACACCCTGCAAATAATTCTCTTATTTTTATTAAAAATTGTTTAAAATTAAAATTTACAAAAAATTTTTATGAAAATTAATTCAAAACATTTTAAAAATTAAATTTTTTAAATTAAAATTTGTTTAAATCTTTAATTAAAATAAAATTGTTTTTTGTATTTTTTTTACGCAGAATTTGTGCAAATTGAAAAAAGTTAAAATTGAAAAATAAAAGATGTAAATAAAAATTGATTATACCTGAAATTACCGTCAGTTTCCATTTGTTCGTTATCGTGTTTTTCGTTGATGCATTTGCATTTCGCAACGGTCCTGATTGATCCGTTGCATGTCACGCATTGTGAAGGAGACGTTCAACACTTAAGCTCCGCTTTTCTCATTTTCGCGCGTAAATCGTGAACGAAATCAATTTCATAGGAATAAAGAAAAAAGAATTGTAGAGCAATTTCCTCTTTTTTCTTTTTTTTCTTCTTTTTTTTTTTTATTTCGTTAATCAAGATAAAGAATCTTTCTTCATTTGTTTTATTTTTCTTTTAGTGAGTATTTTTTTAATTGCAATTAATTTTTCTATATCAATCTTCTCTTTAGTTATTGGTTCTTCCATATATTTTAAATTCATATTCCACTTATATCTATATTTGCAGAAAAATTCTGCAAAAAAAAAAGGATCACTGTTGAAAGATACAACCACAAATTGCTTTATTGCACGCACGTTTGTTTTCTATATTTTCCTCTATGTAGAAAAAACACACACACATTAATGTTTCTTATTTAGAATAAAAAATTATTTTCCTATTTATTTTTTAAATTCTTGTAAATCCTTTCGAGAATTTTTCCCTCGTTGTTGTCATTAATCTTGATAAATAAAAAAAAATCATTTATTCACTTGCACATGTTACAAAATGCAATTTTACAAAATTTTAATATCAAATTGTTTTTTTTTGTCTCTCGCGAAAAGAATAATTTTCTTAAAATAATTAGGTAAATTTTATATTGTTTCTAAATTTTATAGACTATCATTTTTGATTTTTAAATAAAAATTTACTCCCAATTTTGATTGGGATTTTTTTGATTGACAAAATTTAATTTTTCAAAAAAAAAAATTCTGTAAAAATCCCAGATTTTTATTTAAAAAAATAGCAATAAAAAAATGATTAAATATGGAAAAATATAATTTTTCCAAACTTGTTGCTTATTGATATGAATTTTTTTTACAAGGTGCAACATAAATAAAGAAATTTTTCAAAAAAAAAAAATTAAAATTTTTTTTTTTTTTTTTGTTGTCTGTGAATGCAAATAAATAAGAAATTCTGTATTTGCTTTTTTTTCATATACAAAATTTCGAACAACAGTCCTCGCCGCCGTATTGCGCGATACTGAGAACATCCATTCATGTTCGTTTACGTTTTTAATTTGCGCACGCGCTAACATTGCTGCATTTCCAGTTGCATGAATTTTTTTTTTCTGACACCAAAGTGTCACAGGGAAAAAGAGAGTTGTCTGTATGTATATATATATGTGTAGACAAAAGACACCCCCTCAAGACGTTTGAGTACGTCTTGAACGTGGTGTTTATTAAACTTTTTCCACTATATATACAAAATATATACAAACACTCAACATTATTCGAAAGATATGTATATACACTGCGCTTTTCTCTCTATGATTTTCTGAGATTACTTTTATACACATTCGAAAGATTCGTATACCCTAAAAATATGCATCTTTGTAATTTTGCAGATATTCCCTTGTTTTCTCAGTAGATTAGAAAATATTTTTTTTTCAAATAAAAAAATTTATTCTAATCAAAGTAATGTTTTTCAATATTTGCACAATTTTGTGAAAAGATTTGTTTTTTTTAAATTTTAAATTTTGACATTCAGAAAAAAAGTTGTTTGAAACAACCAAATTTTGGTTGCATCAACCAAATAAATTTGACATACAGTTATCGAAACTTTTGGTTGAATCAACCAAATAAATTTGCCATACAGTTATCGAAACTTTTGGTTGAATCAACCAAATGAATTTGCCATACAGTTAATCAAATTTTTATGGTTCAATCAACTAAAAGTTTATTTGTCTCAATTAAATTCTTTCTTCAATCGAAAAATTTGTTAAAATAAACCAAATTTTTTTTTCAAATAAATTTTTATTTGGATCAAATAAATTTTGTTTGCAATAACCAAAAAATTGTGTTAATACAAAAAAAATGGTATATTTGGTTCTAATACAACTTTCCTCTGAGTAAATAAACAAAAGAGTATATTTTCTTCGTTGGAGAAGAACGTAAAATTTCTCAATTTAATTTTGTATTAATTTTCTTTTATTAGTATTAAAAAAATGTTGTCATTTTTTGACATTATTTTACAACTATATTTCTTTTAACCCTTCTCATTGTGTTTGGACTTGAAAAAGCACATGATCATAAAAGATTGCAATATTCTTTTTTTCAAAAACGTTACATACTTTTTCTTTAAAATCACAAAAGAGACACTGTGTTACTGTTATAAAGTTTCGAGAGATATAATCGAATCTATTGTGAAGAACATTGTCGCATTTTTTTTTCACAATGTTTTCATTGTTTAGAAATATTTTTTGAATTCTTTTTTTTTTTGTTTTGTTTTTTTTTATAGAGAGATGCAGAAAATTTTCATTAAAAAAATTGTTATTACAACGAGTACCAATTTTTAATTGGTTACCAAATTATAAAAAAAATTGGATACTCCAGGATGTATTGGCGGGTATTACAGTTGGTCTAACAGCGATACCGCAAGGAATTGCCTACGGCATTGTTGCAGGTTTAGGTCCTGAGGTAAACATGATCCACTTATGACCTATAACTGATTGTTCGTCTAATTACACAATTTAGTGATAGATATCCTACTTTAATGGGATTAAATTTCGGGTCTCGAGCTACTCGAATAGCAGGAAAATCAAATTAATGTTCATAAAAAATTGCATTTTTACATCCAAAATGGTTTTTCTGAAAATATAGACTTTTTTGTTTAAATTTTTCTAATATTCAAATTTTGATAATTGAAACAAATACGATATTTAATAAGAGTCAAGTAATTTTTTTTTCACGTACAATAAAAAAAAGACGGGAACAATTAAAAATTAAATTAGAACGTTGATTGTTAATAATTAGATAACTAATTAAGCTAGAATATAATATGTCTAATGAAATATTTCGGCAATGATAATGTGGTTTAATGTGAAATTCAAAACAGTATATAATTAAAGTGCCATAAACGGATGTTATAATTTATTAATTTAATTTTTATTGAAATAATAATAACTTTATATTGATAAAATTACAGTATGGCTTGTACGCGAGTTTTATGGCGTCATTTGTTTACATAATTTTTGGATCTTGTAAAAATATAACAATAGGTCCAACTGCAATAATGGCAGTGATGATAAGACCTCTTGTACTTGAGTACGGAGCGGACATGGCAGTTTTGATGTGTTTTCTAAAGGGAGTACTCATCACTCTTGTAGGAGTCTTTCATTTGGGTGAGTGGAGCTATTAAAAGCATTCGTTCTCGAATTTCAAAGTAAATCGAAAATCAGTGATCAAAGAAATTTACAGGACATTGATGCTATAAATGTTCCCACGTGAAATGGTATATATATATGTTTATATGTATCAGGTATTACGCAAGAGGAATTAAATTCACATTTGATTGATTCCCAAAGGCAGGTTCATACGTTACCTAACAACTAAATCCTTGCAGCACATAAGGATCGCTTCAATCACGTGCATTTATGTTTCATTTAACCCTCCGTTACTCCTATATACATCTGACAGCTTATGCCACTTGGTTATTATTATAGATAATTAATATTATTCCAATTATTATTATCTTCATAATCAAAATTATTTCAAAATTTATACTTTACTTTTAACAAATAAATATTTATTTGCAATAAATAATTATTATGTATTTCAATTTTGTTTCAAGTACAGAAATTATTGGTTCAAATAAAAATTATTTGTTTCAAGTAAATATTTATTTGAGTAATTACTGGAAATATTTTAAGTATTGCAATAGAATATTTGAAAAATTTCAATCCCTTGATAATTATTTGAAAAAAAAATTATGAAATAAAAATTGACAGGAATTAGAAAAGAATTGTAATATCGAAATGTTGTTATACACATTAACTTTAATTGTTTTTCATTGCACTTCGTATATATATTCGATTTTCCCTTTTTCCAGGCTTTTTACTCGATTTCATATCATTTCCGGTTATCACGGGTTTTATGGCTGCAGCCGCTATTAGCATAGCTTCTTCACAATTGAAACCACTTGTGGGAATTTCCGGCTCTTTTCTGAATTTTTCCGATTATAGATTGTGGGATATAGTCCTTGGAATTAGTACTATTGGTCTTTTAATACTCATGAAGGTACAAATTTCAATAATATTCGATAGGTATTTTTTTCAATATTCAAAAAAAAACTTATTTGATTCAAATAATGACTATTATAAAATATTAAACAAATATTAGATATTATTTGACTAAATTAATAATTACTTAAATAATAAATAATTTTTCAAAATTACGTAAAAATGAATTCTTTTAATTTTGAAGAATATTTCCTGTGGTTGTAAAAAATTAACATGGATGATTGTAATTAGCCGAAATGCATTAGTCGTTATTCTAGGAGCATTATTGGCATTTTTATTTTATGTCAATGAATTAGAACCCTTCAAATTAACAGGTATTTGAAAATTTATTATTAATTAATAATAATGAATAATTAATATTATTAATTATAAAATTAATATATTTGAAAATTAATTTTTTGGCAAATAAAATGAATTTTTTTTTTTTAAGGTATAATGACTCAAGGATTGCCATCCCTTTCTCTTCCTCCTTTTTCCACTCAAAATGGAACAATCGGTTTTCTTCAAATGACAAAGACAATGGGTACATCTTTATTTACCGTTCCTATTATCTCAACAATCGAGCACATTGCCCTCGCAAAAGCATTTTGTGAGTCAATTTTTTATTTTTGGTATTGATTTGATATTTTTTAGATTCATAAATAATTCATTCTATGAAATAAATAACTTATAATTATTTTCTTATCATTGAAACAAATGATAATTAAATTTTCTTCACCCTTGGCAGGAATAAATAATTTGTGCGCGTATAAATCTTTGAAATATTTATAAAACGTAAAAGGATTTTTATTTTCGGGGGATCTATTAATAAAATTATCTCCCACAGCAATGGGGAGATCTTTGGATGTCACGCAAGAAATGTTAGCACTTGGTATTTGTAACATTATGGGATCTTTTGTTCGCTCAATGCCGGTAACAGGTTCTTTTACCAGAACTGCAGTAAATCACGCATCGGGAGTAAAATCACCTCTTGGGGGAATTTTCACAGGTAATTTATTCCTCTTTGGATAAGTTTCAAAATAAATTACATCCTTGAATCTTTTCCCTCGCTTGATTATCATGATTTTATTTTTTCAAAAAAAAAAAAAAAAATTTTTTTTATTAAAATTTGATATATTTTTCTATCATGAAAGACTTATAACAAAATTACATTTTTATTTATTTAATCATAATTCTGTTTGGAAATGAATTTTTTGTTAACATTTTTAAAATTGTTCATTAAAAATAAGAATTTTTTTAAAAATTTTTTCCTTTTCAAACAATTTTTTTTTACAATTATCCCTCGTATTTTTATTTTCCAAATTCGTTTATTGACGTGGTCCATTTGAAAGAAATGTTCAGCATATTGATGGAAGGACTCGATAATTCGATCCTTTAAGATCACGTCGTATTGAATCTATATGGTTCATTACGTCGCAACTATCAAATTTAACGTCATTTATTATTCACATAATGTAACAATTTTATTTATTTAAACTGTGACAAACATTTTCAAGTGTATTGCTTACAAAATATATATATTTCAAAGTTTTCTTCGTTTTTAGATAAATAATATTGATCAAAACATTATTTAAAAAAACATTTTTTTCTTAGTCAATCAAAAATTCACAATGAAATTTTCAGATAAGTGATAATTATAATTTCAGATAAGAAAGAAAATTATACAATAAAAACTATTAAAAAAAAATTAATTAAATAAAATATAAAAAGAACATAGCAATAAAAAAATTACTTTAAAAAAATGTTGAAAATAATTTGTAAAATTTATATATAATAATGGAAGAAAATTGATAAAATGAATATTATGTTGGAAAAAGTAAATTCCTTTCGAGACGATTATTAAAATTGTTTTCTTCTAACTTTTGTAATAATTTATATATATTATTGAAAAATATTTTCCCTGTGAAACTCTCAGAGAAGAATAATTGAGAATGCTTTTTTGTTTGCTAACTCCTTAATAATCCATTGCGTCCGAAAATGATATTAGTGCATTTATTTCATTTTACTATTTGATCATTCTAAATGTCTATATTTGCACACACGTCATCTATATTCGTCGACCATTAAATGGATTTTTAAAGTGCAATTGAGAATTATTGAATATTTTTCAAATTGGCATATTTTTAAAACCTAAAATAAAATCTTCAATTTAAAATTCCATTGGAATTTCGGAAATACAGAAAATTTCACTAAACATCTATTTAAAAATTCATTGACTTTTTTTTAGAAAAAAATTATTTCACTAATAATCGACTATTAAATAAATTTATTTACATGAACCAAATAATTTTTTACATTCATATTTCTATAACGAATATTCCAGATGTAAATTAAATTGTAAAAGCCATTAATAATTTTAAATTGTTCAATTGATTTTTTTTTAAATGTCTAACGAGTTTTAGAGGGAAAAATATTTGCTTGTTAAAAAATACAAATTAAATTCCAGTGATCTGTTTTCCTCTGCTCTATTTTGCATGACACTTGTTTTATAAAGGTCTTATTTCTTTCTATTCTTTATACATTTGTTTTTGTATTCTATTATTTGAAAAAGAGTGTCATTTTTGAAATAAAAAAAACCAGTTTTAGTGAAAATATATTGTTTTGCATTCAAGAAGAAATGTCATATGATTTCTACTATTGAATTCTTTTTTATTTACTTTCTAACAAAACTTTGAATGTCAAAATATGAAAAAAAATCCTTTTTTTCATATATCTATAGCTATATGGAAATTGAATAAACAAAACTGGATTCTAAACGCATTTTAAAGCCAATATTTTGTATTTGCTTTTATTATATTTTTTTTATTTTCACTGCCTTGTTGTATCTTTATATACATTGCGCGAGAAAGTAAAAAAAAAAAGAAAGAAATTAACAAACGTGAAAAATGTGAAACATGTTTGTTAAAAAAAATGTGTAAAACGCATTGTTAACTTTTCAACGAGAAGCTGTAATTATAATTTAATTAGAATGAATATTTTCAGGAGCTCTTGTTCTTTTAGCAGCTGGACTTTTAACGTCAACATTTCGTTTTATACCCAAAGCAACTCTAGCTGGGGTTATTATATGTGCCATGTACAATATGTTAGATTTCAATACATACATGATGCTTTGGCGAGCCAAAAGTAAGTTATCGTTTTTGAAAAAAAAAATTTTAATGTAAAAATAGTAGATTAATATTTATTTTGACAATAGTCATGTAACGCTATAAATTCGTCTAATAAGTAGTAAAAGTGTGTTTTAGTCAGACAGAAAAATTAAAAAATTTAACTTAAGTAAGTAGAACAAATCAATTTAAATCAGACAAAAACGATTTGGTATATCAGTAATAACCATATTTTACAAAATAGAGAAAATAAATTTCCAAATTTATTATTAAAATTTGGCAATTATTAATTAAATTTCAATCACAATAAAGCTGTGTAAATAATTTCCAGAAAGTGATTTTCTTGTAATGATAATAACTCTATTATCTTCCATTATTTTCGGACTGGAAATTGGTATTTTAAGTGGATTAGCAATGAATTTACTACATTTGCTTTATTTCATGGCAAGACCATCAATTGAAATTCAAACATCAAATGTAAGTTAATTTTTTTAAAAGAGAAAAAAAATTAAATTTTTGATTTTATAACTAATATATAAAGCTATAAAAATTTGAATATCTAATCACAAATTTACAGGATAATGGCAACAGAATAGTTTATGTCTTACCGGAAGAGACAGTCTCGTTTCCGGCTTCAGAAAATTTACGAAGTAAGATAACAATGTTATCCGGAGAAAATCCCTGTACAGTTATATTTGATTGCAAAAATTTAAGGAGGATTGATGTTACCGTTGTCATGGTATGTCGCATACTGGGTCAAAGTAATAAAAAAAAATCACGTACGAAAAACCATTCTACCCTCATCATATTCAAAACATTTTTATATTTATTTATTTTACCAAATATAAAAATCTTACTATTCATATATATAAATATTTTACTGTTAACAAATATATTTTTTTTCAAACATAAACTTATTAGATTCCTTTCTTTATTCTTTTTTTTTTAAATATACATAACAAATAATTAAATTATAAAATTTGTATTTTCATAAATTTTTTCTAACAATGTTTCAGAATATGAAATTATTATCCAACGATTTATATTTGAAAGGACAAGAATTTCATTTTATAAATTGCTCAGAATTTGTGAGCAATGTAGTACAAGAAGTTGCACCGAAATTAATAAATAAAATTTTATTACCTGAAATACCTGAAAATAATTAATATTCTACATATTTCAGTGTAAAATGAATTAAAAAATTAATTTTTATAATTTTTAAATAATAAATTTTGTCATTAAAAAATATTTCAAATTTCTTTTTTTTCTAAATATCTATTTGAAATGAAAAAAGGGATGAGATGAAAATGTATTTTTTAATAAACACAAGGCAAAAAAAAAATTCTTGTAGCTCTCTGTAAACGTACAGGAATATTACGTAATACTCCCTTCAGTATTACGTAAAAAGCAATTTTCTGCCAATGTTTACTTCATATAGTTGTATTGTAAGGATTTTCCACAAACAAAAAAAAAGTTGCGTAATGCATGAAAACTACGAAAAATAAGCTTTATTTGATATTTTTTTCATTATTCTTTAAATAGTCCATTTTAATTACAAAAATTATGTAATTCTCCATTATTAAAAACAAAATTCATATAATTATTATTTATTCCTTTATATAATAATAATTTGTCAAAAAAAATTATTAATCATTTAAATTTAAAATTTCATTAACGTAAATAATTAATAACTGTTAATTTTGGTAGAATGTCAAATTTATTATTATAAAAACATTTTTTAACAAAATTCTAATCTACACGTACACGCAATTGTTATTTGTTAAATACAAACTAAAACTAATAAAACTATTTCTTTAAAAGATTGAAAAATTAGTGAAATTTCTCCATATGTTGTTCAATTGTTTCATAAGGTTGAATAACCCAAAAACAAATTTTACAATAATTTTCACAGTGAAATTTTACATGAGTCGATAAAGAATGACGAGTTGCGATCTGTTCGTAACAAATATTGCACTCAAAGTTTAATGTTCGTTGCTCCAATATCTAAAAGAAAGTAACAATAATAAAGTATAATATAATAAAAATTATGCACGCAGTAATGAGAATCACAATAAAAAAAAAAATGTTAGCATTTTAATGTCAGGCTTTTTTCTATATAATATAATAAATCTTAATATTACTTCAACTTCTATATACACTTTTTAATGAATTCATCAACATTTTTACAGATGATATTATAATACAAATGACATACATATATTATACAGAATGTGATATCTTTTTGCAAATGGCACGAATTGGCGATTGAAAAAATGATATTATGGTTATATTTTATTATGTACAAAACTTACAGTGAATTTTCTTTCTGTTGGTCGTCGAATATCGTAAACAAAATCTTCTTTTAACATTTTTTCACTTATACTTCGATTGCACCGTAAATTATAAATTTTCTCGGAAAAATTCTCCATGATTACAAAAATGTTACTTTTGTATTATAAGAACAAAAAATATTTCAAGTCAAGATTTTTTTCTTGAAACAAATGAAGTAATAATTTTAACGAATTTTTGTTTTTATAAATTCGATTCGAAATTAATTTAAATGATAATATTTCAAATACTTTCATTTTGGTGAGCTGGAAATATTCGGAAAAACAAATATTTTCCATTAAATGATATGAAATAATTATTTAAAGGTGCAAATTAATAGAAGCGTTATTTTTGAATGTAGATAAAAATATTTTATTATTCTTAATTGATGATCATTGCGCAAATTAGTGAAAAAAAGAAAAGTCAGTTTAAGAATCTCTTTTATTTCTTATCGATGAATCTTGATGCAAGAGCAATGGTGCTCGTTCTTGTTTAACTTCGGGAAGTGTGGCTAACTCCTGAACTGGACCTGGTTGCCATATACTTCTTGTGGCTACCTCATGGTAGCCTCGTCTTCTTACCTGAAATTACCAAAAACGTTTAATCACGAATTTCCAATTCAACATTTCACGTTTATTATATCTCTAACTTTAAACTCGAACTTTTTTTCTTCTTTTAATCCAACTATAAAACGTTAATTAAATCAGAATTTAATGGAGTTTCAAGTAACGTTTTTTGTCCAAAAAAGAATTAGATGAAAAATTTTTCTAGTCGTGGAACGTGACATTTTTACGAAAAAAATTGAGACCGATCTTTAATAAACGATAAAATGTCCCTGAATTTTTCATTCTTTTTTTTCTATTTTCCATATGTAAAACAATATTTTTTTTTTGACAATAAAATTTAAACTTTAAGAATATAATAAAAATATTTTCTTCATTTAATCTCCATTTAATTGGAAGAATAATGTACAATTTTAAAGTGAAATTGAAAAATTTGTTTATAATTAAATAATAATGAAATGACGTACTTGTCTATGATGAAGTTCATGCAGGTACAATGTAGATAAGGACATATCGGCAGCCGCCATTTCGATCGGAACTGTTAAATCGGATACGAGTTCCTGTCCGGAACCGAATACTGAAGCACCAAGCGATTGATTTGACAGTCCCTGTTGCAAGCTATAAAGTAATCCTTTATCGGAATGCAAAGGTCCTTCGGCCTTATGCAAACGACCCATAAATGTTCGCGGAGGAATATTAGATCTAACACTACAGGTTTCATCTCCACCCATTGACGTCGATGACGACGCTCCCGCTTCATTTGACATTGCGTGACTCATACTTGGAACACTAAATTGATTCGGCATCACACTCCGAATAATGTTCGTCACAATATCATTATACTGCAATAAAAAAAAATCTTATTAAAATTTATAAAAGCAATTTTCATTAAAAATAATTATTCCAAAAAAATAATTGACTTACGCCTGGGCCAAGACTAGACAAGCTATTAAGACTTGTGTACAGTGGATTCAATTCATTAATATTGGTTGCTGCCTCCTTTCGAGCTCTCTCCTTGAGAGCCGTTACGAAAGTTTCAGCATGACTAGGCGGTTTCCACTCGGGATTTGTAAGGGTAAAATGTATTAATGATAATTCCGTTTTTCCATCTTCAGCCTGAGTGTATTGATTTGATAATGGATAAAGTTTATCTTGATCGGTGCCATAATGATTATCGAATCCAGTGACACGTGCATCCAATACACTTTGACCGACAGTTTGCCACATTGGATTACCATGTTTTCGTACGTCCATTTGTGCAAAGCTACAAACATCACCGACACCGGTGACTTCGATCGTAAAATTTCTATAAAAATCGACGATATCTAATGCCCTTGGCCTCATGTGAAAACACAAAATAAACGGCGTCAATAATGGCGAAACAAGTTCCTCAATAATATGGACAAGTTTAAATTGATACAATTGAGCAACTTGTGCTCGTGTCGCTTGTGTGTGAGCACGATCCTTCCAACTGTCTGGTCGATAATGTGTGTGCGCCAAAATTGCAGTCAACAAAGTTTCCGGACACCAGACTAAATTTTCATCGGGTAAAAATGCCCTTGCACCGGCGGCAATTGTTCCAAAAACTGTCATTGTCGCTACAAAATGTTCCACCGTTACAACACCGTCATCATAAATTGTCAGACCTAACATTATAATGAAAATACCGCCGCTAATGAATACAATATTTTGAGCGATTATCGTGATCAATGGAGATGTAAATATATCCATGTATTTCTTTGCTGGACGGTAAGCTCGACTCAGACGAGCGTTAAGTTCATGCTCCAATTCGTTAAAGTGACGAAGATACAAACGACTAAATGGTGACCACATTCGTAGTCCAAGTGCTCCGGGTTCTCTTTTAATTAACTGCAACAAAATTTTTAATTTAAATTAGACGCTCGTTAATTAAGAATTTCTCATATATTTTTTTACTTACATCGGCATAGTTGAAAAAAAAGTATAAAATTTGCCATGACAATATTAATGGACACAAAATGAAATTTGCTACTCCAACATAAAGAATATGTTTCGATAAAAGTTTAGCCAATTCTTGACGCTTATTTTGCTTTTTATAATCTTCCTTTAGATGCCAATTATTTTCAAACGGCGACCATGGACCCCCTAAAAATTTAAAATACCTTTTTATTCAAAAAAAATTAATTTTTTTAATACACCATCGGAAATTATACTTACAGAATAATAATAATTCCATATTATATTTCAGACCTCTAGTTAAAAAAATTACTTCTCCCATAATTGGCAATTTAAGTCTCACTGGCAATAAAGATTTATTTATCATAGCTACCATATAATTTTTAAATCTTAATATTCTATGATAAATATCCAATTCGGTAAGTTCTTTTTTGTGAATACACATTTCTTGTTCTTTTTGCACTTCCCTAACTTTCTTTTGCACTTCATACCACGTGACATTTTGCAATTCTTTGTCCTCAATTTTCAGTGCAGTATTAAAAAATAATTTAATATCCCAATATTGAGTCAAATGATATAAACATTTTACTAATCGTAGAATCCAAAAAATTGTCGCTACAGAAATAAATATCCAGGTAATTAGGCCCACGCTTTGAGAACATTTTTGTATTGGCAAAAATGCATCAGTCATTTTTATCTTGAAAGACGTACTATTTCCTGTTATTTTATCTCTAGGAAAAGCAATTAAAATAGTAAATAATCTCTTTGTATTAAATAAAATTACTTTTTCGTGAGAATTTATTATTTTCACTCACCTGAATAGTATTGGATAGTCAACGCAATTGAACAAGAAGAGAGTAAAAATAACTACGAATATAAATTGTCCTAGTTCGCAAAATTCTTTAGTCATCATACATATAAAGCCGTTATTTTGATGGTAATGATACATTCGCGTAAAAAATGAATCTAAATCTTCTATATGATTCCATCTGGTTTTATTGTTCTCTGGCACAACATGGATCATCACGCCAGATTCTTGAGGCGTCTCCTCCCGATCTTCATCTTGCTCTTCTCCATCACCTTCTGAGTAAGGTTCCAACTGCTGATAATTGACATCGAGTATTGTTGTCATCTATAGGAAAAAAAAAATTTCTTTCAATTTAAAAATGCATTATCATTTCAAGATTCAAAAGAAAAAAAATTCTAAATTAAAAAAAGAATCTTATTTCCTAAGAAGAATCATTATTATTTAAGAGTGAGAAATTAAATGCCAATATTGATTTTTAAAGAAAATTGAGAATAGTCAAAAGACACTCGTGCAAAATGATACCAAACGATATACGAATATCTTATTGATCTTTGGAGCCTTACCGTTTGTGTTCTGCGGTTTGGCTCCACACAGGTTATTACAGTGTCTCGTTTCATTCTTTCATGTTATAAACTTTTAATGAAATGAAATTCAATGACTGCTCCATACATGTATATAAATATGCAAGTTTATTTCGGCAATGTCAAATGATCAAACAAATTCATTACTTTCATACATTCTGGACACCAAAATCATTCATTGTAAGGCGAATAATATTAAATTTTTTTTTAATGTTCATTTTATGAATATATATATATATGTTTTACAATTATATATGCTCCTACATGGTTCCTTCCATTCTTCTTTTAGTATGAATTGCATGAACAGAAAGTGAGATATCGTGAAAGTTTGAATTCTCCATCAATTATCATAATTAATTAATTAAAAGAATAATCTTGTATATGCGAGGTAAAATAATCAATGCTCTTCAGATGTTTTTCAAAATGAAGAGTTTTGATAAACCCTCTGTAGTTTTGATTCATTCAATACATTAACATCCTCTTGTACATATTACCATTTTTAAGATTCTGACAATGATTTTTTAATTTCGATTATTAATTTAAATTTAAAAAATTTATCGTAATTTTTTTAACTTTAATCCTTAATATAAAATTTTGTAAAAAGTTCTTTTTACCTCTTTTCTATTAAAATTGACAAACTAATTAAATGATTTCGTTTACTGAAAATTCGCTTCAACAGAAAATACGTATTTTCTCTCATTTACGCATTTTTCATTATGTTAAAGTGAACTTTTAACAGTATTTTTTCTTTTAGACAGTGTCGTCTGTCCTTGTTTCATGCTACATGTATGTTGCATATATTTGCTTTCAATTATAAATTAAATTGCACGTCATAGAAATACGACGTTAGTTTCTTTGTGAAATATAAAAAGTAAATACAAGACAAATGACAAATTTTGTCATAAACAAATTATGCAATGTATTATTTATTGAGAAGTATATTATGAATTGTTATAGTTTAAAGGGCAAGTGGCACAAGAGAAATAAAATTAATTAGCCATTTTTTTGTCAATATATTACGTAAATATAAGATTGAATCATGTTCCTCGTATACGACTATTTAATGATAAAATTAAATGTTTTTAAAAATCATATGTATTGAATGTGACATAAATGTTTAGTTATTACAGCTGATCTCCATAAACAAAGCAACCATCGTACCTTCGTCAGCAATTTTTCTGTCTGCTTTTTCAGTGATGATTATATTCTATATCTCCAAGAGGATACTCCAAACTGCACACTAACATTGTATCGTATGCTATTATTCACTGCTAATTTAGACACTTGTTTTTTTTAAAAAAGCTTTACTCGTTGCTTGCGTTTGATCATTTTTCTTCTTCTTTGTATTATGTTACTTGAGTCGTAGGTGTTGCGTATTTCTGGCTCTTTAAAATCGGTAACAAAGGTTTCTGTTGTTATCAGCTGACTCTGATCTCTAACCTCACTAACATATAAAACATAATTCGGAAAAAATTTCAAAACATTTTTAAAATACACTTGTTTATTTTGTTAAAATAAACTTTAAACAGTACTTTCTTTTCGATCATTATTTGTCAAATTTAATTTTAAGAAATAAAAATTTGAATGTGAATTTTATTATTTAAATTTGAATTTGACAGTTCAGCGGAAATCCGGAATTGATACATTACTGTGATCCTACCCTTATTATATTATATGTAGAAGTCTAATTTTTCTACTAACAGTTTGTTTATTCATTTTTCACTATTTTCATATTAAGATTATTTAAAAGTAGTTAAATTTTAAGCTTTTAAACAAATCTATCTTATTAAATATAAAAAAAAGATTTTGATTAAAAATGGCGTTGCCTATGACGCTACTAACTGCGCTTGCGTAAGTGAACTTTTTTACATTTCTAATATTTTAAAATTTTTATTTCATTTTTCTATTATACGTACCTATTTTTACAATTTTGTAATATTTTAAAACTTGATAATTTAATCAATTTTGAGCTTTTTATTTAGAATTAATTAATATTTCACATATTTTTAAAAGCGCGTGCTGCGCGACATGATTGCGCAGTAGCCAGTTTTTCCTTTGCTCTATTTGCAATAAGTTCCATTGCAATTCGTTGCTAAACAAAAAATGACACTTCGGCAGTATTTAACAAGAAAAGTAATAGTTAGTGTTTAATTAAGTGCAACATTTAATATCCTCAGGTATTTATTTCGTCACACTTTATATCTAAATAATATCAGTTCTTGTTAGAAAATGTTTCTATTGTCGGCAAATTCAGGGGGAGGTTTCTTGATTCTCGTGTCAAATAACATGCTTACGTAACGAATTATTTTCGCAATGAGACTAATAATCGTTGACAGAAAACCAAGCCAGGTAAACGAGGTAAACGCGGAGAAGTGTAATTCTGCAAAGTTATTAATGGCTCTGGGTGTAAGCCAGCCAGAAATATACTCTGTTCTCGTGCAGTGACCCTTTTTTTCTCTTGTTGGGCCACCCCCCAAAATGTTAAATATGATTTCAATTATTATTACTCCCTTCTGAAGAAGCTTCTAATTTATGTGAGGATATTAAAGTATGACAGCAGCACTTGTCATGGACACCGTCAATTGGGATCCTTGTAAGTTTTTTTTCTTTCATTTATAAAATATCAATATCAGCTTAATTTTCCTGTGAAAAGTGTTTTTGATTTTTCATATTTATTCATTACAATTTTCGTTAATATTTTGTTTGAAGATTGACATTTTTTTCCTTTTTTTTGAGAAATTTATTGATTTATCTGTGCTCCTTGACATAAGTTTTAATAATTAGCTTCATAGTACATAAGAATCCATGTTTGAGATCAATTAAAATATAAAAAGAATTTGTTATTTTAATTTAATTTAGAACTTAATGAACGGGATTTTTTCAGCTTTGTCAAAGTTATTAAACTCACTGGTGGAAAGTAAAGCCGATATTCCAAGTTGTACAGATGAGGAATTTGGATTTTTGAGTGAGCTTCTGCAGTCGAAAGAATTAAATGCTTTAGTCAAGGTTCACAATAAAGTTTTACATAACATTAAGGATGATAAATTTTACCCGATGCTGTCAAATGCGATGGATATCGATGTCGATGTCCTCGAGGTACTTGCGACGAAAACACACATCTCTCAGGATTGCAGAGAACTTTTTCAACTTTTACAAAGACCACATATTCAGGTAATATAAATTTTCTCAATATTTTATTCCGTTATTATTAAAAAATATTGTTCAATTAAATAAATAATTTCTGTTTCATTTAATTATTTTTAGGTTAAAAGTTTTACTTTGAAGTGGATTTAAAAAGGACATTTTTTGCTATGTAAATAAATAAGATTTTTCTTTTTCCAGGGTTTATTGTGCGCTCACGATGCTGTTGCTCAAAAGGACTATTATCCAAGGTTACCAGATATTCCGCTAGAAGTTGACGAAGACGAGGAAACAGTGAAAATTGTGCAACTAGTTAAATCAAATGAACCCCTGGTACGTGAATTCGAACAATTCATTTTTTTTTAGTGTTTTTATACGCTATTTTTTTACGAAAGGCGAGCTTTTCAATTATGATTAACGAAACAAAATTAGACTGTGTGAAGTGGTACTTTTTGTGATATATAGTTCATTTTTATTTATTTTTCTTTTTTATTCGCCTCTATTTGAAATTGCATGCGATATCAAATTTATTATCTTTTAGCTCCATTTGATCATTGTAGGCACGTCTAGTGTAATTTTATCACCAGAAAGTTCTCCCATCCATAAATTCATTTTTAAATTGTTTTTTTGTTTCTTCAAAATTATTTTAAAATCTTCGGCTAATTCGGCTAAAGATTTTTCTTTCTTCTATATTCTACAATATACATTTTTTATTCTATTTATTTTTATGTGACTTATTGAATTATCTAATTAGTTAAAGTCAATAATTATAGGCAGAAAAATTGACGTCTAATTTTGAATATCTAAATTATTCAGAAAAAATTATAAATGAATAAATTTAAATTAGTAATATGGTAATTTTTTTCAAAATTTATAATATAAAAATTGATATTTTTAATTTTTGGTATGAACGAAAAATGAAAAAATAGTTTTTTGCTTCAGAATAGGCATTAAATAATATAAATTGCTTTTATAATACGTTCCAAGTAATCACGTATTTTTTCATCGATCTATTTGCTTCGAAGAGTGGTGATGGCGTTGAACCGATTCTGGTAAGTTTTCTACAAACCCTTAGGTTGTAAAAAAAATTTATTGCACTAGAATCTTCCTCATTTAGTCGAACGATCGAAAGTACTTTTGCACATTAAAAATTGTGAATTACCTGCAATGCGTCATTTTAGTGCAAATTATTTGCTAAATAAGTTTTGTAAATACTGTGTTGTTTTGTATATATATATTTTTTATTTATACACTGTACCTGCAAAGTAGTACAGCAATTTGTGAATTTTATATATACCAATTATGTATATTTCGTTTCATGTATTAATTACTGCATTTAATACTCGTTAATTTATTTGATACATAATTCGTTATTTTATTTGATAATTGAATTGTTAATTTATTTTTGTGTTGTATTTAATTTATTTATTACTTTAGAAATTACTTTGCCCTAAAGTAAAGTAACGAACTAAAGAATCTATTTTTAGTATTTATCTTTTTGTACATTTATTTATTTGTCAATGCACTCAATCAAACAAAAAGGAAAATGAAATCATTTCCTAAATGAAAACTGCTGAATTATTTTTATTTTAGAAATTTATAATTAAAAATTATTTTAAATAATTATTTTTACAGTTGATTTGAAAAATTTTGAAAAATAATTCTTTTGGTTTCATTTAGAGAATGTTTTTTTTGAGTGTACGTCTGCATGATCTCTTATGTTTTGTTCTTAATTATTTATTTGTAAATAAAATTTTTTTGCAGATTATTCTTCTGTTTTATTTTCCCGCATGTCCGTGGGTCACCAAAGTCGAACAAAACTGATTTGATTTTTCTTTTTATTTCAAGAATCAATCAATTAATTTGTTCATATACACAATCAATGTTTTGAATTGAATATTTTTATTTTATACTCATATTTATTAATTTTTTTAATTTAAGAAAAAAAATTATTTTATTTCCAATAGTTTAGTACGATTGGATTATAATTTATATTATATGCATGTACATATTTTGCAAAGAAAAAAAAAATGTTTCTAAAGAAAAAGAAGGAAAGAAAGTCTCTTTTATATTGATTTCGATGTTTAATACACTTTTTAAGTTTTAGATGAAACTTTCTTGTTTATTCTTCTGTAGTGCCCTATATTAATTAAAATGTTCGATACACGTTAACAATAGGGCGCAACTATAAAGACTGACGAGGACACTGGAAAAATTGTGATAGCACGAATAATGCACGGTGGTGCTGCAGATAGATCTGGTTTAATTCACGTTGGTGACGAGGTCTGCGAAGTCAATGGAATCAGCGTCGAAGGAAAAACACCGAATTGTGTTCTAAAAATTTTGGTGAGTCATTCTGAAATGATTTAAAAAATTTTTAAGATTGAACAAAAATGATATAAGAAAAAAAATTATGTTTCTTTGTAGCAAAATTCGGAGGGTACAATTACTTTCAAAATCGTGCCAGCGGATAGCAAAGGCGGTATGAGGGAAAGCAAGGTAATATCCGAAATTATTTAAATTAATATAAAATAATAACAATAAATATGATTGACATAATAATTTTTTAAACTATTTTGTTTAGGTTCGTGTTCGGGCGCATTTTTCCTACAAAGCAGCCGAAGATCCTCATACACCCTGTAAAGAAGCTGGCCTTGATTTTTCAAAAGGAGATGTCCTTCATATCGTGAGCCAGGACGATATCTATTGGTCAGTTAACAATCAAAAATTAAATTTAATATTTTCAGAATTTCAATAAATAAATTGAAAAATCTAAAATAGGTGGCAAGCGAGAAGAGAAGGTGATCGAAATATGCGTGCAGGATTAATTCCCAGTCGAGCGCTCCAGGAACGCAGGATTATCGTTGAACGACAACAAAAAGAAAAAACCGACGAGGACACAATAAGTAAGAAAAATCCCTTAAATTAATGTTATTTTCGTGTTTTCAATTTTTTGCACATGTTATCGATGTTAATAATTTGCTTACAATAATCTCCATTATTTTAGTTTAATATTAATTCCAATTTGTTGATTATTATTCCTAATAAGATAATTATAATTCCATTTAGAAATTTATCATCAATAAGCTTGCTAGGTGTTTAGAATAATACGTTAACATTAGTAATTTTTTATGAGTCGATCATTGGTCAGTGATGACGGCGAAGGGACTAGGCGCTCGTAATGCTTTTTTAAACACGGATTCCGGATCCTGGGGGTCGATTGATGCGTAATAAAAAAAAAATAGATACCAAAAAGAGCTTTTGGTGAGGTTGAATTGCTGTTTGTTGGGCTAACGTGATGTTTCACCTAACCGTCGGTTAGGCTTGTGTTCTGTTCCAGTGCCTTTGCCTGCCTTGTGCCCCCGTCCCAGTAACTCTTTGCACGACTCGCCTACAAAGTGCAATTTACAAGGAATTAAAACTAAAAAAATCATGTATGACGCTGCAGAAAATGACGACTTCGATCGCGAAGAGATACCAACTTACGAGGAGGTGGCGAAACTCTATCCAAGGCCCGGTCTTTATCGGCCGGTAGTTCTCATCGGACCACCGGGAGTTGGCCGCAACGAGCTCAAGAGAAGAATTATGGCCAGCGATCCTGACAAGTACAAAACCCCTGTGCCATGTGAGTCAATATTTTTTATCTTTAAATCATATTAGATATTTTTTTTTTTTGACAAATTTTAAAATTTTTTTAAAAAATTTTAGACACTTCCAGACCGCCAAGATTAGGAGAAATAAATGGAAAGGAATATCACTTCACTTCGAGGGAAAAAATGGAGGAGGATATTCAAGCGGGAAAATTCATAGAGTACGGAGAATATAAGGGAAATTTATATGGAACGAATACGGAGAGCGTTAGTTCATTGGTTGATGCTGGATACGTTTGCCTATTGAATCCTCATTATCAGGCGTTGAAAATGCTGAGATCTCCAAAATTGAAGCCATATGTTATTTACATCAAGCCACCGAGATTCGAAATTCTCAAAGAGACAAGAAATGAGGCTCGAGCTAGATCCACTTTCGATGAAAATAATTCCCGTGGATTCACGGTATCGTGATTTTTTAAATTAAAATTTTTAATTAATGAATTTTTGGTTATAATTTTAATTTGTTGTTATTACAGGACGAAGAGTTTAATGAAATTCTACACAGTGCAGCGAGAATAGAATTTCTCTATTCGCATCTTTTTGACGAGGTGATTGTGAATGCTGACTTATCAATGGCCTTCGAGCAACTTGTAAGCGCAATCCAACGAGTAGAAACGGATCCTCTTTGGGTGCCAGCTTCCTGGGTTCAGTAATGATTACAACAACAAAAGCAATAGGATTTGAGATTTAAACAAGGAAAACTTTACGTTCGTATCATTTTATTTTGTTTCTTTTATACAATTTTTTTTGTCGTATTCAGTACAATTTATTCACAAAACGTGATTTTCTAGTGTCTTGAACTTTATTATTTTCATATAGAGAATAGAATCACTCGACGTTTCTGCAAAAAAAAAATTTATCTAGATTAGGTAGAAAATTCAAAACTAGGAACTGATTGGGGTGTTTTAGACTATTCAAAATTCAAGAGTCATTCCAGAGGATTTTTTCTCAATCATAAATTAATTATTAAGTTAATTATTCGATAATTAGAAAAAAAACTAATTTATTTATTGATCGAAGATTCAATTTTTAGAAATTAGTTAATTGTAAGTTAATAAGCAATTTTTGAAAACTTTTATTTGATTATACGTCAATTTTAAATATTAAAACAAAATTTAATCAACTCTTGATTGAGATTGGAAAATTGTTCATTAATTCTTACCAAATGGAATGACTTTTTAGAACTGAAATTTCGAACTTTTCGAAAAGAAAGAAAAAATTTCGTAAAGAAAATCTTTTAACTTCAAAGTAATTAATTTGATTATTTTGAAACTTTCAAGTTTTAAAATAATATCTAAAGAGGGAATGAGAAGAAAAAAAGGGAAACTTTTTTTCCTTCTCTGTGTTTAGAAAAGAGTAAAGTATCGTCACTGCCAAATTTTATCGTTCGTTGAATAAAAAAATGAAATCTTGAGCGAATGGCGCAATAATTGCGATCAATGATCGCTTAATTATTGATACATATTACTCAACTATTAAGAATAATGTTTAATTCCGATTGTTGTTAATTGTTGCCAAATAAAATTAACGTATACTATATATATAAATATATGACAAAACAAAGAGAAATATGTCCCATATTGTATTTTCCACTCTGCAATCATTATAAAATTATAATAAGCTATTTTCCATATTGCAAATTGACATTGCAGTAAATTTTAGCTCATCCTCGATGTACACGCTATATGTTATCGAAATATAGAATTACACACAAATTCATTCTTGTGTCTTAAGTATTTGAATTTCTGTTTGAAATGAATAATATGAGAAAAAGTATTTTAGATTTTTTGAAAATGTTAGAAATTTTTAAAAATCTAAAATAATATTCTACTGTTTTAAAATGTCTTGAATGATTAAAAAAAAGGTTCAGAAGATCCTATAAAAATTGATATAGATATTGAAAAAAGAAAATTAAAGAGAATAAGTTCACTAACCTATCTGATGAGAAGATTCATATCAAAATTGATTTATAGTTTTATGAAAACGATTTAAAATAAAAAGTTGTGAGTGAGATTGAATTCTAGATTTGAATTTCAATTGATTTGGAAATTTTTTTCCTTCTATTTATTTATGCTTATTGAAATTATTTTCAAATTTTATTACAGGTGTCTTAATCTTGTTTAAAAATGTTTTTAATTAAAAATTTACAATCCAAATATGAATCAACCAATAAACAATTTATTAATTTTTAATTAATTAAAAATATCTTTACTATTCATTGAGAAATTAATTTTTTTTCCTATTTAATTAATTTATTTGTAAATTTTTGAATTTTTCTTTTGAAACATTTAATTGACATTAAATATTGTTTATTTGTTTTTCAAAAATCGACAAAATAATTATATACATTATTTTTATGTTCATTTTAATTCAATATTTTTCTTTATAATTTTAGGTACAATTACTGATTAAAAATTTATTGATAGATTTTTTGTCAAAACTGTGAATGAGGGTTTAAAAGTTTTAGTTTAATGTTTCAAAGTTCGCAAGTGTGAAAATATAAAAAAAAAATTCGACTGCGAGAAAATGATACCAACAATTGCAATGGACAGAAGCAATTTTCTCTGATGCCAACGCCCGATGTAAATTAGAATCACTTGCTCAATATAAAATTAGAACATTTAAATTAAGATCCTAAAGTGGAGAGAAGAACCTTTCGAAGCCTGTCTCGCTATTCTTGATTCAGCTAATTACACTAATGAGGACATTTTCTACGTCAACTTCTTGGTCCTGGAAACCTGTTATTATTTTTAATGGTCTTTTCTGAAAACGAGTTTTTCATTTACCACATAAAGAATTTTATTGTCTTATTCTTTAGTAAATTTTCTTCCTATTTCTTTAATTTTCACTTTTTTATTTTTTCTCTATTACATACTTTTCTATTTTCTAAAATATTTTCCCTTGTTTATTAATAATTTTCAATTTCTTAAATTAAAAGTTATTAATAAATATGCTGTAATATAAAAAACTGCCACTTTTAGAATGAAATTAATGGAAAAATGTATTTAAAAAATTCATAAAGTTAAAAAAAAGAATGAGACGATTGCTTGTATGATAATTTCTAGGTCGGGCACTGACAACTCAGTCCCAATGGGTTAATTAAATTAAATGAAATTATTCTCGGGTTCTTTGTGTGGTTTATGAAATAATTTCGTTGGCACTATGGGTCGGTGCTTTAATTGACACGACTTTTCAGTGTCATTGTGAAATGAAGATGTGTTTCTGTTTAGAATTTTTGTTTTATTTATTTTTTTTTATTAATGAGACATAAGAGAACGATAATTAATAATGAAAGTTCTTGTGGTCTTGAAAACGACGCTTGGTGTTTCCTGACGTCGACGGCCGTTTTTCTAGTCGATCGCGCGACGTTCAGATAGCCACGTCTTGTTTTCTTAACCAGTTCGTATCAATCTCCAAAGAAATCAAGTTGCCATTTTCAAAATAGAAATCTTCTCTTTTTCAAGTTTCACAATTGCTCTCTCAAGTCAAACGTCTCGAGACGTCATTTTCAAGAGATATATAATTCTTTTTCATATAATTCCTTGTTTATATATTTTAATTCTGTTAATATTTTGAAAAAAATTAATTTTTAAACAAATTTTTTATTTAGAAAATTGTATCATTTTTAATTCTTTTCTTTCTGTTCTTTAGTTTTTTTTTTTTTTTTTAAGTTGAAAGTGTGAATTGAAAGCAATTTGTAAAAAATTGAAGAAGATGTACCCTATACCGATCTGACGACGTTGATAAAAACGATCGACATAAGTGATGGCTAAATATAAAATCACGGAGAATAGAAACGTACGCTGAGTCTCTGTGGAGTATTTTTGGACTATTTTCTATGAAGAAATTCACGCCAGAGTGAGTGTTTACTTCCCTACCTGCTAATTTTAATTTGACAAGAAATTATTTCGCGCTAGACGAAAATAATTCTTTTAATCAAAATTTATTTGCAAAATTTATTTTTTTTAAATTTTATTTGATTTTGATGTTATATCAATTTAAATTTTTTTTAAAACAAATTTTAATTAAAAATTAATTTTTATTTGTTTCATGTCTTCTTTTTCAATTTCTCTGATAAAAAGATAATTTCAGTTGATTAAATTAATTGCATGCTAATTTTTTTTGTAAAATTTATTTTATAAAACAGTTTACAATAATAGATCGCCTATTGATTAGGAATCATGCTGTTACGATCTTCCAAGATTTATTTTTAGATATTTCTTCATCAACTTTGCAAATTATTTTCAAGCAATTGCCAAAAATTATTTATAAAAATTTACATTTTTTAATTAAATTTTTTGTTTGGTAATTATGTTAATGTTAATAATAACATTTTAATTGACAGGTTTTAGGAAAAAATTTGTTATTGTCCATGACTTTGAAATTTGAATCCCGTAGCCGAGAAGTTATTAGAATAGACTTTTCCATTCACTGATTTCTCAAGTTGACTAAATAATTTTCCAACTGTCTTCACCCAATTTTATAGAGCTTTAATTATTTCAGAAAACTTTCAAACTTTTAACTCTGATGTTTTATCGATAACGTCGAAAGTTTACAATCCTCTCATATATTTTAGAAATGTGTAAAATAAACGACGTATGTATTTTACACCTGAAACAACACATTTTAAGACGTAACTAATTTTTTTTTCTTGCTAAAAATATTTGGTCGAGAAACAAACAAAGGATTTAAAAAAAGAAGATATTTGTCGTTTTTAAATAACTTGAAGTCTTTGCGGGATGCAGAGTAGTCTATAAGCAGAAAAATAATTAGTCATCGAGAATTTTTTAGAAATTTTTTCAAGAACAATTTTATCAATTGATATTTTGCATATAATATAATAGCTTCGGTATAATGATGTAAAATAACTAAACTGAAAGGATTATTAAATTATACGAGTAAAAGGCAATTTAATTCCATGTAAAAGCTATTTTAATTATCCTATAGGCTAAAGGATAATTTAATTGAAACGAATAATTAATTTCATATAGAGAATATTTGACGATTTCTATTTGAATACAATTTAAATTTTTAAAAAATAGAAAATGAATTTTATATTAAATTTGTTTATTCTAAAACAGTGGTTCACCATAATTATTTTTGTCCACCTTGAGATTAAAAAATGAAATGCTTTTATGTCAAAATAAATTAATTACATTTCTCTCTAAAAATTAATGTTCTTTTTCTGCTTCAAATAATTAGGAAAAGTGCGACTATAAACTCTTGATTCTTTTGGTTGATCCTTAATTATAAAAGTATCGATAATTTTCTGTACAAAGAGAAAAAGAAATTATTTATTTATTTTTTATTATCGGCAACTGACACCTGGACAAGTTTCGCGCCTGCGTTTCTTCTATATAAGTATTAGGAGTAACCCTCGTGGATTTTAGCTGACGGGGGGTGCAATTTAAACTTTAGCCCAGTAGACAATCAACCCCTTCGCGAACAATTTCTTCTCCTTGAAATTTCACACTCTATAAAACGATCATTAAATTCAACCACGTGGATAGAAAAACTTATCTGGCCCTCATTCAACACGTGTATTAACATGATCTTCACCTTTCTTCAAAACTGATCATTTTTTACTTATAGAAACTTATTTCACTTTCTCAAGAACAAGTAAATTATTTCATTATAATGATAGGCATAGAATTTTTTAAAAACTAGTCTATTAGATAAATTAAATTATTTTGTTACTGCTGTTCTTATAAAAAAAAATTAATTTTAAATTTATCAATTCTGAATTCCTTAAAAAACACATTATTACGCATTTCATTCTATAGTAATATGCAAGCATCTAATTATATAACTCTGATTCAGGATTTCATTCACGTAACGAAAATTTATCTTTTTGACCGAGTTTTATTGTATATTTTTCTAAGAATGAAATTCGCCAACTACATTATACTTGATTTGTTTTCAAATTCTCGAATGGAATTTCCATTAAAAGTTTCAACTGTCCAAAAAGAAAAATTTCAAATCTAAAATGTTTTACATTTCATTAATTAATTAATTAAGCTCGTCTAGCGCTAATGGATTAATTTAATCAATTCATTAATTAATTTTGTCTAGATTATTTTAGGATCATTTTTATTCTCAATTCCTTTATTTTTTATTTTTTTAAAAATAGTTTATTAAAAGATAATTATTTTTAAAATAAATATAATTGGATTTCTTAGAGAAAAGAAAAGTGAACATGAAATAACTGAAAAAGTTGAACATTTCTTCGCGTCGGAATAATTGATTCTTTTTGATTGATGAATTGATTGAAAAAGGCTTCCGGAAACTTAATAAAATTGAAGTCAAAAATTATTTGGCACGTTTTCCGTTTAAGAAACCGTGATCTAGACCGTGACCCTGTAAAATGCAACCAACAGAATTTAGTTGAGCATGGTGAAACTTTTATTAGAAGCTTCACTCAATTTTATGCCCTCTTCACACGAACGGATTACATTTTTATCTCTTTTTTTCATTACGAATTGATCAAATTATACAATACCTTCAATTTTTCTAATTTACTTTTTATTTCTCATTTCATGTATATATTGCGCATCTATTACAAAAAATAAAAAATTATCAAATTTTATTCTTCCATAAAATAAAAAAAAATTTTGTATCTAAAAATATTTAGCACGAAATAATTATTTATTCTAATTTTTTAATTAATTTATATAAGTCAATTATTTAATTTTATATAAATTTGAAAATTTAATTGTTCCAGTGGCTCTTGAAGGGGAACTTTCTGAAATATGGTTCTGATAGGAACTGCCATTGATTTCCATCTATCATCAGCGTCATTCAAGATCAAGATAAAACAAGTGAGTTTTATGTTTTAATTATTATGCACATTTTTTTTCACAAAATGAAAATTGATTTTCAATGTTACAAATTTTATATTAAAATTAGCAATGACTTGTTATTTTTTATTTTGAAAATTAAGACATTGTTAAAAATTGGTTTATTAACCGTGAAAAGTATTATTAATGATTGAAGCTTTCGTGCTTGAAAGCTGATATGAATTTTAATGGGTTTTGTCCAGTGTTGAGGTCTTCATGTATTTTTGATTTATCACTAACAATTTGTAAAACAAATTTTTTATAACGGTTTAAATATTTTTAAGTTTTATTTACTTTGATTTCGAATTTCATTATTTATTAGTTTTTTTAAATTTTAATTCTTAATTTTTAATTTAATATTTATTAATCACTGATTAATATTTAAGGTAGCTATTTATGGAGAATTATTGGTTGAATAATTAGTAATGAAAATTTATTATTTATCGACATAGGGATACTATAGGATTTTTCTTAGAATAAGAAACAAAGACATTACTAAAATTGCTACCTTTGTTGTATCGGTAACAGCTAATTAGGAAGTTTTATGAAAATTGTGTCGAAACTTTTGTTGTTTTTTCAAATAACTACTCACATTTCAAAAAATACGTTTTTTTGGAGTAAATTTTACATTGAAAAATTTTGCTTAATTTTTTCTAAACTTTTATGACTTTTATTTTTTTGAATTATGGAAATTTTTTTAATTTTCAGAATTGTTTCGAGTCTTTTTTAATATATACATATAATATTCATTGTTGTACATTGTTCGGGAGAGAAAAAAAAAAAAAGAAGTGATCTCTACGAGAGGATGTCGACCTTGGCACAGAAGGTGCTTCTCACCCTCGACTTTTGCATGTCAGAGTATACCTTATGTCACCTTTATCAACTCTTTTATCGGCCTCTTATCGTATAGCACTTCTAGCAGCCTCTGCTAAATTCAATTTTTGTTCTTTGTGAACGTCACTTCCAAAATTAATTTATTCAACGGCCAAAAAGCTTGAAAGTATGTCAAAAATTTCATTTTCATGGTATTCTGTATTTTACAATACATTATATTATTGAAAGTACATACGGGATAAAAATTGATGATAAAAAAAATATTTTTTATGAGAAAATTTTTTTTTTTTTTCAACAAAATATACCATTTAAAAGAAATGTTAATGTTTAAAAAATATATTGAAATGAGAAAAACATAATTTCTTAATAATGAGTTTTCTCATTTTAACTCGCGGCCTCCAGTCAGTGTCAAAAAACACGCACACGTGATGGTTAATCAACAAAGATCAAGTTTCCGAGTGGAGTTACTTCAAAGTCATCAACTGCAATCGAATTACATTCGAATTACAAGCTTTAAATGACTTTCTCTTTGCAAAATCTAATGAGCCTAAGATCGATTCTCACGTCTAGAAACTAAACTACTTTCATGTTTCCTGAATATCTCTGACTCATCTCTCTTTCTCTCTCTCCCTTTGATTTCACGCCACATAACTTTAATGTCTATCGATTAACAAATTTTTATAAAAGAACAAACAATTATTTCCATCTCTCAATTATATAGATAGGATTTTCAAAAGTTTCGACATTTTCTCATGAAAAATGACTAAAAGCTGAACTTCTGAAATGTATGGATTTTCTTGTCATTATATCGTTCAAAATCAAAAAAAGAAAACCTCATTTTCATTTTTTAGTTTTTTTTTTATTTTCCAAAGAGTTTATTATGTTTTTAACATGACTAGTTTTTTCCATACATTCGGTTAAGCTGGGAATTTTTCTCTTTTTTATTGTTTTCATTTTTTTCCCCATTTATTTTTGGGGCTTTCTCTTTTTTAGTTTGCAACTCGTCTTTCGAGTTGGATTTTCCGAAATGATAAATTTTCAACTTATACTGGTAATTTGCCAAGCATTTAGTTGACAATTTTTTTTTCTTATCTTTTTTCTCACTTAGTTTGGCAAAACAAAAATAGCGTCACGTTTACAGAAATACGAATAAATCGCAAAATACGAGATTTATTTTTGGAATTTTTTTTTATACAAACTGTTAATATAAAATTTTTCTAAATTAAAATTAAACATAAAATTGAATTGTCAGGGAAAAAAATTAACATTTTTTTATTTCTGTTATCTTGAAATAATAATAAAAAAAAAAAAGTTGAATAAGATTTCAAGTCGCAAATATTGAAAAAAAATTTACGAGAAGAAAATGGTTATGGAAGGTGAAAATTTATGTTAATGTGGTAACAAATAAATTGTTGGGAATTATCAGTGGGGGAATAAAATGGTATATAAAAAAAAATCTCAATAACACACTAGAGACAAAGTGCAATAATTCTCAATTATTTCTCTCTCTTTTTATTTTCACAGCCTCTCATGGATCCTGGTCCAGGATTAGTACCAATGTCTGGAAGTCGTAAGGTAAAACTTTCTGGTCCCAGTGGAATTAACATTTCGAGTTCTACAAACCAAAGTGGTGCCAGTGGTGGCTCTTTTATTCCTTCTGACTTGAATTCTGGATTTGTTACTGTTCATCCAACTTCTTATCAAGTAAGTTTGTCTCTCGATAATTTCCAAACTTTTACACTAATTTTTTTTCTGTTCATTCGAATCTTCTTCTCCCCTTTTTGATACCATTTATTTAAAAAATTTAATTCGACAACAAAATTTATGAAATGAAAAATTTTTTTATTTTAATTAATAATATAATAAAATAAATAATAAATTTATACTAATGGATTTTATTATTTTGAAAAATAATCGAGGTCAATTTTCAAAAAGGTTTTTATAAAATTTGAAATAATGGAAAATAATAAATATAAGAATATAAAGTTGAAGACTTTGTAAAAGAAAAGAGGATGGATGTCATATTGAATTCTATAGGTGATTGTAACATAAATTCTAATGTAAACTTAATAATATATTTAAAGTGATGAGTTATAGCCGACATATAAATAGCGTCTTTAACGAGAACTATGAGAAGGAAAATTAGTTTAGACTCTGGACCGGGAAGAAAGCGTTACACTATATGGTTGACCACTTCTGGTTCATCATATATACAAGACTTGTTATTCAAAATTCTTTCCTGTGAATTACTTTTCTTTTGTTAGTATATATTTTTTTATTAATAATTCGAATTTAATTTATAATGAATTTATTAATAATATAATAATAAATAAAAATTAAATTATTAATTAAATTAGTAATTATAATTGAGTTATTTAATTTTATAACAAATTGGGATAACACATTGAAGGAGTGAAAATATTTCGCAAGCTGATGGAGAAATGTTTATTCAGTAATATGTGCTCCGCACGCGATAATAATATTAACAGACAACAATGAAAGTAGCACTCGGAAATAGCTAGAAAATATGAAACCATTCTCGAGGATTATCCAGACAATTTTCCCATTTGGAGATAAATTTAAAATACATACATCATTCTCAAATAGTATAATAGAAAAGAAATTGTATTTTTTTCCCCGTTAAAAATGTTATTCACGCTGGAAATTTATTTTTAAAAAAATGTTATTTGAATTTTTTCTATATTGTCATAAACTTGGAAATATTGGCAATATTTTTTTCACAAAAAAATCAATATTTTAATATTAATTATAACTGTTGATTATTATTATACGGGACATTAAGAATGACAATTTGATTATTTCAGAAGATCCGAAGGAATCAAGACGAACAGCAATCAAAATGGCTGGAACGTAGTCAGAAGCCTCTTAAAATTCCCTCTGGACATTCAATTATTGTGAATAACTATAGCATAGTTGCATCCCGTGGCGAATTAGCGCGGAATAATAATTTCGACGAACTCAGAAATAAAAGAAAAAGTCTTCAGTTGAACGGCAAATTTCCTATTGAAGAAACTAGTAGACGAAAATCACCAATTCAAAATTATCGTGGAAACCGAGAAACGGAAAAGAACGTCATCATCAGGACGAAAAATTCCCGAAATAAACAAACGCCAATTAAAAAGTCTTCATCTGTGCCTGCGAATCTCAAAGGTGAGAATTTTAATTATTATCTTTCAAATAAATTAAAAAATATTAATTAATTCTCCGTTTATGAGTTTATTGCTTAATTTTTCGATTTTAATTTATTTGTTTATTTATTTGTTGTTTCGTTGATAAAATCAGACAGAAAAATTTGCCGAGCTTTTTTGCGATATAAAATTTTCCATTTATTGAAAGTTAATTTGCATTTATTGAATCCAATAATATAGAGGATAAATTTGCATTTATTGAATGTATAAATGAAAAATCTGCATTTCGCGAATCCATAAATAATTAAATTTTGCACTTTTTATTTTTTAATATTAGAGGAATAATATATATGAAATTGATAAACATTTGTTTTTTTAAATTAAAATAATATATATTTTGGCTTTTATTATGAATTTTCTTCTTTGGGGAATTAAAAAGAGAAAATCCAGTCAAATGGAATTTTAATAAAAAAAAAGAGGGAAAAATTTATTATTGTTTTGAATATATTTTATAATGTACATCAGGCATAATATATATGAAAGTAAGGAGATATTATTTAGAGTGCATAACCCTACCCTAGTGGCGTTTATATTTATAGGTTCGCAACCTAGAGAGTATATAGAGTTGGTCTGGGAATTAAATCTAATATTCTCGGATTCTCTTCTCCGCGTCATGTGTCTCCTTCGCATTCTGTTACAGACCTCACGAGACGAGAGAAGCATTCGATCCGTGTTCCCGAGGAGGAGAAGGAGGTGGAGGAAGAGGGGATCCTCAAAAGGTCCTCATCATTTTTGGCTGGTCTCACTACTTCCGGTAAACAGACGCCGACGTCGCTTGACCGGAAATACGGCCCTGAACTGCAGTGTGGCGCGACTCCGCGACCCGCGAAAGCTCAGAACACAAGTGGCATTCGCGATGATGAGAATCGTCTCTCGTCGGCCCTAAAACGTTATTCATTATCACTTGGTGTTTGTAAAACAAAAACTTCCGGCAATCGTGGTTTCAAGGATTGGAGCAGTAAGGTTTCCGGTGTTGCGAAAAAAACTGTGTCCTTTAGTGCTGATACCAGTTTTCAGGACAAGAAAAACAATTTTCAAAGAACGGCAATTCACGAGGCGAAAGTTTATAAAAAAGGGGTTCTACAGGGTGAGTAGACAGTATTTCTTTAATTTTTTTTTCATTCTGGGGAAATTTTCCTCATTTAAATTCTTTTAAATTATGAAAAAGGCGTTTCTGATTTTTTTTCGTTTCATTTGAAATTATATATTTTTTTTACTATTTTCATTTGAATTAGAATATTGAAATACTAATTTAATAGGAAAGAAATGAATTATTAGTTATTTTTAAATAATTCAATTTTTTTGTTTTAAGAATAAGAATGTTGTAGGTGAGGAAGCACGTGTACTAATCCAAACGATTTTTAATTTGCGTAAAACTTTTTTCTAATCAAAAAATATATATCATTTTACTCACGTTCTTATTGTTCATATTCATATTGTTATCAAAGGATATAAGAATGTCGGCTTCGTACAGTCAAGATAAAAAATTAGTTTTCAATTAATTAATTTATGAAATTTCATAGTCATTTTAAATATATTTTTTTAATAACTCATCAATTTTAAAAATATAATTTTCCATTCGTGAATAAAAATTAATAGACCATTAAAGAAAATTAATTTTTTAAATTATCTAATTTTTATTTAGAATCGTCTAATTAGCTTAATTGAAAGGTCTTTTTTTGTGTTTACCAAAAGTCTGTTTCTTTTTTATTTACTCATTTTGAATCAAAATTATTCATGACTCATGAATGACGTTTAATTACTTTCTACTATTCTGTAAATTATTTCTATAATTCTTAGAATGAACAATAATTCAAAAAACGATTTTTAATTCTTTTTATTTTCTTAAAACTATTATAATTCAATTTTAAAAATAATATTCCAAACTGAAGAATTATATATAGAAACGATTTTGGATCAAAAATACAATAAGATACAAACATTACATTGCAAGTGTCTCTCAAATATATGTCCGTATGAAACTATTCCGTTTGCGATAAATTTGCTATTTTACGAGTAAACATGAAATGCCCCAACAAATGGGTTCATCTGTATTTTCGGAATAAACGTGAATTTAAATTAAGGTCCCGAACTCCCTATTCGAATGTATTTCAAAACATTATATTACATTTGAAATTTTTAAATGTATGATTTGTTGACCCATTGGAAGCAAGTTTAATTATTATCCTTTGACACTTATCACATATAATTTACTCTCTATTTTAATATAAATACAAAAGTGCATTAAAAAAAGAAATAAAAATAATTTCAATATTATAATTCAATAATATAATATTTAATATATAGCTATTAAATTAAATATTCTTATACAATAGAATCATTTCAAATGAAAGTCAAAGTAAATAAAACATTTTATTTATATATAAAAAAAGAGGAAAAAAAGAGACCAAGATATGAACGCCATTCCTATATGGAATATCTGTAATCCTGTTTACACTATATACGGATGATATATCCTTGGATGTTATAAATGTTACGTATTGTTTAACTTTACTATAGAATAAGAGAGTGTAATTGTATATAAAAGCTCTTTCCCTTTGAAAAGCCGTTGTATCGATGAACCAGTTTATGAGTTTGATATATTCATTTTTGATTTTTATATTCGAATAAAATATATCATATTTATATATATTTAAAGAGTAGATAATAATGGAAAATATGTTTTTTTATATTGATGAAAAAAAATTAAAATTCTTTCGAAAACAAAATCAATGTATCCGCATTTATTTTTATTTCACATCTAGTAATTATGCCACGTTTTTAATTCATATATTGGCCCTTTTATTATAGATACACAGAAGAAATTTTAATTATAGGTTTTTATTTAATGTGAAAAAGAAACTTGTGATTATTGCCCAGAGTGTTGAAAATTACTGACGCCATTGTAAATATAATTTAATAGTTTTTAGTTTAAATAATAATTTTTATTTACTATTATTATTTATTCTCTCACTTATTTAGTAATTTTTTTTATTTATTTAAATAAATAATTTTCATTGTGAAGAAAAAAATAACAATTTTTGGAAATTTTTTTAGATCGGGGTGAGGAAGGTGCGAGAACAGTGTCACCATTGTGGGAGACGACTCCCGGGGCTCTGCTCAGGGCGGCCCGGGAGGCCGACGATGAAGCCCTTAAAAAAATCGTCACGCGAGCCGAAAAGTTTGGATTGGGTGACATGGATGTTAATTTCACCGACAGCAGCGGAAGAGTGAGTGATTGCGATTTTATAATACCAATTTGACACCTTAAATTGCCCCTTTAAATATCACCCTCTTCCCCCATTTAAATAGGTAAGGGTGCATTATAAATGCAAATCATATTTATATATTATGAAAATATACTCTTAAAAAAATGTCTAAACCAGAAAAATGAAAAAAAGGGGAAAGAAAGAAATTGTAATAAAGGGGAGCGATAATATACAACCCATTATAATATAATTTATTATTTATAATATTTTGGAGCGAATTAAAAGGTATACATAAATTGCTAATAAATATAGAATGCGATCATAATAATAGGAATTAAATTAGTTTTTCAATTTTCTCATTTTGTGACTAAAATGTTGCACTCTATATCAACTCAGTGAGCACAAGCTATATAAATCGGCTTTTACAACGTAACGTGATAAAATTTTTATATTAAACTTTTCTCTGACGAGTATATTCCCTCAACATTTTACGATGTCCATTTGCCACTGGCGAGCTAAAATGATGTTAAACTCAGTCGACCTATACTCTCCTGCCCTTCTTCCTTTTCTTCTTCTTCATTTAACAAAAAAGGACATTTTTTCTCAGATTAAAAATTGGTTTATTTAAAATTAATAAACGTTTGGATTCATTTCATTTTATAAAATTAAAGTACCTATATTAATTGTGACATATATTTGGATATTTTTATTTATAACGTAGTTTGTGAAATTTCCTACGAGACTCGAAATTATAAATTGTATATAGTATAACATAATTAAATGGCTTATAGTTACACAGCCTCGTTCCCAGTTATTTAGTCTCTTATGAATAAAAGGCCTCGAGGGATTCATAGTGATCGACGTTAAGTAAAACGAAAGTTAATTCGATGAGGTGTTCCTCTTTTACTAGTTTATAAAGTAAATGAAAAGAAAAACGAAACAAATATAAATTTACTTATTCTTTAAAAAATGAAAGAGAAAAATTAATTTTTACTTTCTAAGCATTTTATGACTGACTTGATTTTTAATATTTTATTTTGAATTATGAAATAGAAATCAAAGTATATTAAATTCTGATAAAATGGAATTACTTGAAAATAAAATCTGCTATCATTTCATTTATAAATTTTTACATTGTTTTTAATGTTTTTTTGTTTTTGTTTTTGTTTTTGAATGCATCGGGAATGAAGTTACAGTATCTATGAAATGAAGAATAATGCAGGAAATAAATTATTGTTAAAGAGAAACACTTAATATTCTGCACGAGGCAAAATCGTATGCCAGTAGCTTCACAATAATTGGCACAATCCTACTAAACAGTCATTAGCAGTCATTATCCAAAGACCAAAGGAAGTTTTCGAAAAGAATATTAATAACAAAATAGAGTTCAATGACCAATTTCGACAGATTCAATTATGTATCAACAATGTAAACATAAAAACTATTTTTTATTTTATTTCACAAAGATTTTCATTTTTTTATAATAATTTATTTTTTAATTTTTTTTACTTATTTCTCTTTAAACGAATACATAAAAAAAAAACTTGAAAATATTCGTGATTCGTAGCAGTACAATTGTAGAAAAATAAAACAATAGGGGGGAAAAAATTGTAAAACATTTTCGTATGTTATTATATTCCTGAGAGTTTTGGAAAATTTTTTTTTAAATAAGCTCCGACTCTTGAGAAAATCAATGGTAGTGTAAACACTGTATTTAAGCTTCCATTGATTTCTTTATGAAGTTTAAAAGCGTGAATTTTCATGCAAACACGAAATTAGAGTATGCATGTTCATTTTTCAAGCAGTCGAAATATTGCGAACTGTGCTCTTGTTTTAAATTCGTGTATTTCAAAATATTTAGGATACTTGTTTCGAGAGACTATTTTCAAACTTACATACTTGTTTCTTGATAATATTTAAAATAGATTTTATACTAGATATTAAAATTAATGTCCTGTATAAATTCTGGCCGCCTTGTCCCTACGCAATGCATTAAAGTTTCTCTTTTAACTATATGACTAAATTTTTCCTGATTTAAAATTCAATGTATATTGATTAAAGAATTATTTTTAATTATTAATTTAATTTTTTTTTTATATTAATAATTATTTACATTTCTTGTTAATTAATAATTATTATTATTCCAAAGGAATATTTCGAAAACGAATTTTCCAGAGATAAATTTTTTATGCGCAAGGTTCTGATTTTAATGATGTGTATAATTTTGCATAAGCATTCAATTATTTATCTTGAAACGATAATTTATCGTAAAACCAAATGGAATTACCGTGTGTCTCTTGGTCAATTGAAAAAAAAAACGTGAATGATGTAGAAACACAATTGGATGACAGGGTTGTGTTACAGATGTGAATTCAAGGTTCCTTATTTCCTATATACGTATAACAATAATAATGCCATTCTCTAGGTAAAGAATAAATCAAAGGTTTCGTGAATAAAATTCCTCTTTTGTATAAGACATTTATATTTATTGTATCGAAACTAATCAATAAATTTTGGATTACAAATCTTGTCAGTATTGACATTTTTTTTTTTTTTTTTTTTTTTCAATAAAATGCAATGTTGTTCCCATATCCGATTGAAAAAGAGGGCTTCAGAAGCCACTTAGGGAATCCTGACTAGACATAGGAGCTGATATACTTTATATATAAAACCACTTAAGATTAGTGGCCTATTTCTTTAACAAAAAATTGCTTTGTCTTTTTTAATTGGCATCTTTTTTTGTATGCAAATTATCGATTTTATTGAGTTTACTACGAAAATTGTTTTTTAATTTTTTTAACTTAAGTATCTATTTTTTAGAAAGGTATATTTCAGAAGTAGGAAGTAATTAAAAGTTGATTATATTAGTTCATATTTTTATTGAAGAATAATTATGAATAATTATTATTAATAATCTATGATAATGATATATTAAAAGCAAAGATCGATATGGAAAATTTTAATCTAGACTAAAAACCATAACCAGAGAAACATTTCTCCTATAATATATATCTCGCCACATCTATCAGAACTTAATTTATTAAGTGGGCAGTTTACTTGTGTTGTCATGATCACATAAACTTTATTGTTATTTTACATATATGTATGTGCGTCATGCATTAACTTAACCGATCAAAGAACTCTTCTTGTATACATATAACTCTTTGTAAAATAATGTTTTTTACTCTTCCATTGAACTAAAACAGTTTTCTATTTTCTATTAACAAATAATAGAAAAATAAAAATTTTTTTTGTTAATTTTTTTAAAATTTTAGTTATAAAATTTAAAATTTCTAAACTCGTAATAATTCTTTAGTATTCTAAATAAAAAAAAGTATATTAATCGCACATATCTACATTTTCGGCATACATAAACTTTCGAAAGGATGCTGAACTTGAGTTAAAAATCAATTTCCTTTATCATGTATCGAGGTCATCTTTCAACTATAATTAAATAGTCAGAGATTTAAAAAAAACCCGAAAAAAATAACAAAGGCGAATAAATAGACTCACAGGCAGTTTAAATAATATAATAATAACTACTATAATTAGTACAGTATTTTTATTTTTTCAAGAGTAAATTTAGAATACTTCTTTTTATAAAATTAAAAAAGTTTAATATAATAAAAAATACCATTTGAAAATAAACTAATAAATATCTGTTCTTTTTAATAGACGGCGATAAGTTACATGGCTGGAAATGGTGCTTCTACATTTTTGGAAGCAACGTTATCTTTTTCTGGCATTAATCCTAATGTACCAGACAATGAGGGCAACACTCCCCTGCATTTTGCAGCACAAGCTGGTAATTACGTTTATTATATTATATACAGTACAATAACCTAATATTTTATATATATTTATTTACATATCCAATATTAAATTTTTTTTATTAAAAAAATAGATATAAATATTTTAAAAAAGTTTTTAATTTACCTTTTATCTAATAAGTCGTTTCTAATAAATAATCTAGGAAGTATAAAAGAATTTGCAAGTAGTCTGACATAAAATTTGTTTCTATAACAAAGTTTTATAAACATCGCAGACTGCCCGTGGAAATATATTATGTATATAACGTCGGGACTTTTTGGCATTTGTTAATGATTTTTGAGCCAGAAAGAGGATATTGATGCAATAAATTCAAAAGACTCATTTATCAAAGAAAAAATTTTTTTTGTTATAATTATTATAATAAATAAAAGTATTTTATTTTCAGGACAAATAGATAGTTTAAATATCCTCTTGCAGAGGTGTCCCGGAATTGAAGTCGATAACCGAAATAATCTCGGTTTTACTCCTTTAATGAAGGCTGCTCTACAGGGACGCACAAAATGCGCTAAAATTTTATTATTTGCTGGTACGTCGAATTTTTATTTATTTAAAATTTACATAATTTAAATTTAAATTAACTTGTGGTCTGTCAGGTGAAATTTATTAATGTCGATAAAAATGTAATAAAATTACATAATTACGTTTTTCTGTCGTTATTTTTCAATGGATAGGGCAGAAACCGCAGAATTCATTTATTTATTTTTAACCAGCATTGTCGTTCAAATACTGACAATTCGTTATCTAATAACCAACAATTTATCTTTAAAATTACAATTTAAATTATTTGATTTTTATTAGTCAAAAGAAAAAATACAAATATTAAAATAATTTTTTTATTGGAAGGTTTTTCTTTGTTATAGTTAATTTTTTTTTGTAGGTGCAAATCCAACACTTAGAGATCATGGAAGAGGTCTCAGGGCAGAGCAATGGGCAAGGTTTTGTGGACGATACGTTTGCGCGGAAGTAATCGAAAGATTTTCGAGGCATCGTTTGTTGGAAAAAACAACGTCTTGTCGATGGGGAAGTGAACCGGAATTGGCTGCCAAAATTCTCCAAGGAAAAGTAATTCTCCCTCCGACGATATTTTTTTAATTCTCCTGAGAAAAAAAAATTGTTTTCGTCTTCGTAATATTGGAATATTTATTATAATTGAATTTTTAAATTAATTATACAGTTTAATGTTAATTAGGATTTTTTTATAATTAGAATTTAAAAAATTAACAGATCGCACCAATTCCAACGAATCCAATTCCACCGCCATCAACAGGTCTTCGTTCGAGAATAAGACGAGTATTTCGCACCACTTCCGGACCAGATCGCAATTTTTCATTAGTTTCACAATTAACGAGTGCCGCACTTTGTGCGAGTAGTCCAGCTTTACCAAAACCGGGCGAAGTACCTTCTGCCGTTAAGAGTCTCCTTCGTCCTCTCAGTGTGCCACAATTGAGGTAAATTTATCAATAAAAAACATTTTAATCGTTGGTTCTCTAATTTTTGTAATTAAAATTTTTAGGATAACGTTGGTCGCGCCTCCTGAGGTACTCGACAAGACAACGGACAAGTGCTTGACGAATTTTTCCGAGAAGATAGAAAGTACCATAGTGAAACCTCCAAGAGCTAAGAAAAAAAGTAAATAGTGCCGTTCACTAAGACTTTTTCTTATCAAAAATCAAAAGACATTTTATTCCGTGATTCGTGGCGTTCACTTTGTAACGGCGACGAATTTTCAAGAGTCCAAGACTTCTTTTTATTTATTACGAATCTCTTGGTTCTTATTTAGGTAAGTTTAAAATTAATATTGATAGAAACAATTTTTTAAAAATCAATTTGTTACCATTTTTTTTCTTTTTGTTGCGTTTTTTTTCTTTTGAAAAGAAATCTTTATAAAAGAAAAGAAACTTGTGATTGTGATGCCAAGGCTGCTGCATTTCAGATTTTTCGAAAAAAAAGTAATTAAATTTAAACCTCGTTGTCCTCTTTAGAAAAATAAACCGCATCATATACACAGCTTTAAAATTATTATTATTAATGATTTGCGGTCAATGAATTATAATTCGATTGAAATCAGCCTTTAAGAAACAAAAACATTCAAAAAAGCACAGATCTCATTAGATTTTGTCAAATCAATATTAGTCTTTAATAATCTTTGAAATATTACACAACTTTTTATCCATTTTGCCCAAATCTTTAAAAAGCCTTGAATTTCCCACTAAAAAAAAGAAACGTGTCGCTATAAAATTATTGTCACATTTTATACATATCTATTTTTATTTCTTAAGACTTTGCGCAAATATTTTGTAATTTTTCTATCCACTCAGATGTTCACTCATATAGACCTCAATAATTGTAAAATTTTTTAATTTAATTTATTACAATTAATTTTTCCAATTTCATTCTTTTTTATATTATAGAAAAATAATTATCGTCAATTTTTGGCTTTGCAAAAATCCTCAAGGGCTTGTGATATATTGTGATGTAAACGATAAAAAAAGAAGGAATTAAAAATTTTCATTGAGGTCATAATGTGTCGTGAACATTTAATTAATAGTTCAACAACCAAAAAGGTTAAGAATAATAATAATAATAATTCTATCAGTAGCATTTTTGTATATTATATATAATATTATCGAAAAATATTAATTAAATATACATTCGTTGTTAATAAAATGGACGGTTTTGGTCGATGCGACCTATTTTTTTAGTCTTATTTTTCAATTCAATGGACTCGGCACAATCTAAAAATAATTATCGAATGCCATATACAAAATAACGCAAAAAATTAATGTCCATTCATTTAGTGGATTTTTTAATTTCAATTCTATTAATTAAATATCATACATATATTATATTTCATTTAATATCTAGAATATAACTTTTGATATAAATAAATTAATTTTTGGATATTGAGTAATTAATCATTAATTAATATATATATATTTTTTTTATTTATTTAACACAGTAACGGGTTTCTGTATTAAATAAATAAATAATATGAATATAATAATAATTAATGAATATTAATTTCTATTTTTATTGGCGGCCTATATTTTTTAATGTGGACATTAATTTCCATTTTCACCAATATAATACGATCCTGAGTGATCTTAATATTTTCTTCTTAACAATAATAAAAAAATTGACTTTTTCGCACTTTAACTTCGGCAAAATAACGTTCGTGAGAGAAAGTGAAAAATGCTAATGAGACACTTAACAGCTAGTTTCACAGGTAACAAGATGATTGAAATCGATGAGGAACCGAGAATGAGTACTACTTTTCGGATTTTCGATTTCGTCGTTGTCTGCGATTTTTCGCGCTCGATAAAATTTCATAAGCTTGCTGAATTTCCATAAATTTCTCTTGAGCAATGCGTCGTTCCTCGTCACTTCCTTTGATTTTATCAGGATGATTCTCTCGCGAGAGAGCTCTCCATCTGGAAGTCACTTCACTTTGCGAGGCAGTCTGAGATAATCCGAGAATCTAAAATAATTAATTCCCCAATTAGTTAAAATACGAAAATATACAAAAACAAAAAGAAAAAATACAAAAATAATAATTCGTAAAATGAATAAATATATAAAAAAAATTTGATTAATTTAATAGTGAATTTTATAACATGAGCAGTAATTTAAAAAAAAAGATGATAAAACTCAAAAGAACTTTCATAAAATAGCAAAGTTTATATTTTATAAAAGTATCAAAGATAAAAAGGTAAAATTGTGCTTTATAAAAGTTTCAACGATAAAATATCAAAATTGTTTTATAAAAGTATCAGAGATAAAATACTAAAAGTTTGTTTGAAAAAAGTATCAGTGATAAAATATCAAATAGACTTTTGAAAGCCATATATAAGATATTTAATAATATTCAATCAAAAATCTTACTTTATAGGCGTTTATTTCGCCTCTAGGATCCGATAATTCAATTATTTGCCTCCAAGTCGCCCAGAATCCTTGATTCTTTGCCTCTTGCCAAGTTGCCTCTAAACTCGCCTGAAAATTAAATTAAAATTTTTTTAAAAAAAAAGTAATTTTTTTGGCCCTTTTTTCTCATTTTTGAAAAAAACAAACCTTAAGATCCATCCAAATTGGAGAAGTGAGAAAATGTTTAACTGCATCGGATAATTTTATTTCCTCGCCATCATTGTCAACGATTGTGGCATTAAAATAAAAGTAACTTGCCCATAGCGATGAATAAATAAGAATTGCGGCTGTTAAAATTGCAATTCGAACACGTAGTGATCTTTTTTTCTTTGGCCTTAAACGCCATTCCTTGGCAAAAGAATCAAAACTTAAAAAGGATGCTAAAATCATTAAACCCATCCATGTGCTTTCATCTCCAATATAGTAGAGAGTTGGATAGCAAATGTAAGATGCCACCAAAGGAATCCACAATGAGCCTTTTTCTTTTCCAACATTTCCCACAAACCATGTGCCTGTCAATTTAATAAATTGAAAAATGTTTAAATGTATTCATTTATTTATAGACTGATAAATAAGGACAACAATTATAAACTTGAATCAACATGGTTAGGAAATAAAAAATTTTATCCAATTAAAAAAATTAATTTCTTTAATTATTTTAATTTTTTGCAAATTAATTATATTTTACTAAATAATTCTTGAAAAAAATTATCTTTTTTATATGAGATTTTTAAAAATAAAAAAGTTGAAAAATACTCGATCTTAAGTGAAATGAGTCTTGCTATTTAATACTTGTTCGCTATCGTAATGTGACCTCTTATACGCGTTATCTCCAAATGTAACATATGGTTTTTTTCTGTTTCTAATACAAATATTACTTACGTTTATAATTTCAAAAACGTTTAAAAAAAGTTTTTTTAAATTTTAATTAATTAAATATAATTGTTTTTTCAAATTAGATTGAATTTCTTATTTTCTATCGCTTCTTGTTCAATTTTATTGTGTACCTTAAAATTAATGAATTGGAAAATTCGCATTTTTACCTAAAGCAATTGCTCCTGGTACAAGAATAATAAGATGTCGAAAATTAATTCCATTAAATTCTTCCTCGGGAATTGATGAATAGAGCAATTGACCAAATAAATATGAAACGCAACTAGATCCTAAAAAGCGTACAGTTGAAAATGGAGGCTGAAAATAGGGCAAAAAATTTATTACAGAAAATGTAGTGTTTAAATAAAATAAAATTCTACATAAATTTAAGTAAAAAAAAATTTGTTATCAGTTTTAAAATTAACAATTCTAATGAATATTTCATATTATGTTATCATAAAAATTTACATGAATTCTATGAAAGAATATAGGAAAGAAAATTGTAAATGTTTAATCAGCTGCACGTAAAAATATACGTATTCATTAGAACTTTGAACAAAAAAACCTGTTTTTTTAAAATAAAATACAAATATATTTTTATTCTAAAAATTTAATTTACTAGATTTTTTTAGATGTATGTAGATTTTAATTTAATTTATTATTTATTATATTAAAATGTCATTATTTTTCCTTTTCTTTTCAGGTATTTCCAAAAATTTTTTAAATTTATGAAATTAATTTAAAAAAAAAATTAAAATAACAAAATAAATTTACCCTTTTATTTGTTCTAACTTGAAAAGTGAACCAATCGAGATAGGTGCGATCATTGTTGGCGCAAGCCACGTATGTTGGTATTTTAAATAAATCTCTCAGCCATCCAGCTCCAAAATATCCACCCAAGGTAAATAAATATATAAGGGCATGATCATCCCTATCTAAATATAAATGATGTGCTCCAAAAACTCCTCCAAATAACCACCAAAAATATGCCCAAAATTTTGATTTTCGATTTGGTAGAATTTTCGATTTATTAGCATTTTCACTTGCTTCAACCATTTTTTTCTCACTATTTCCGTTTTGCATTTTCTTTTTCTTCCAACATAAAATTTATTGAGAATACAACATAAAAATACCACTCATAAAACACTAAAAACTGGTTCTCATTTCTAACACAAATGTGTTCTCTTTAAATAAATAAAAATTTCTCAATTTAACATTGAATATTAAAAACCGATCTGTTTAAACAATTTATTTATCAAATTTAATTATTCGTTCCACTCAATAATATCACGAATATTTTAAATTCAAAATAAATGAAAAAAAAATTGAATTTGCTGTCACAATATTTTTCCCGCGCACATGAATCTTGGAATTTCAAAAAAAAAAAAACAAAATAAATTAGAAAAAAAATAAATTAATTTGATTTAATTACTTTTAAATAATTACACACTTTTTATTTAAATGGGGAAAATTGTAAAATAAATGTAATAACGTTTGAGGAAAACATTTTTTAGTGGAAAAATGTATCGTGTTCCTCTCGTATAGGTCGACTGGTTCAATGCTCGGGCTCGATAACGGTACCTAACAAGACTTTTAGAGGGGGAATCGAGAAAAAGGGACAGAGAAGAATTGAAAGACAAAAATATTGGGACCGACGACGAAAAAATAAATTTGATTTTTTTGCAGCTATTTCTATGTAAGTAATAATAAAAATATTAATAATATAATATTAATTATTATTATTAATATTATAATTTTTTTATTTTGAAAAAATTACATAAATACTGACTTTATATTTTAGAAGAAAATTATAACTTTAGTGTAATTTTTGTATTGTTCAAAAGAACTTTTGAAAAATTATACAGATATTATATATTTTTTTTCAAATAAGTTAAATTGTTTTTTATATTTTTTTGCAAAAGTATCTTTTCTCTATATGTATGTGTAAAACTGGTTACATACCTTCAGGATCCTCTTGCTAAAGAATTCTTCATTATCTTCCTAATATCTTTTTCTTTTTTCTTTCTTCATTTATTATTTTCTCAAAAATTATTTTTTGCTTTAACAAAAAATCAATGAAATTAAAAGAAAGTAAAATTTAAACGTAACTCATTTGAATATTATTACCCGCTTTAATTCAAAAGTTGAATGGCGGGAAAATGAGAGATTTAAATATTTAAACTTAAACGAATTATTTAATAAATTTTAAATTTTAATTTAACAAATTAATATTTTTCAAATTTTTATGTATAATTCATTTACCAATAGTACTTAATCATTAAATTAAAAAAATAATAAATTGTTCAAATAAATCTATAGAAACTAGAAAATATTTTTTCAATTAATTTATTAATTAAAAAAAAGAATTGAAAAAAACTAAATTTTTGAAAAATAAAACTTTGAACAAAATAAATACCTCGTTAACTATGGTGGAAACAGAAGATGAGAGTGAAATCATTGGTCCATTTCAAAGGGATTATGTAAAGTATTTTGTATCAGTGTGCAACTTTTTTTTCTAAGGATAAAAAAAACACTCACACACATACAGAAAAGAATAAATATGTATATTTTTCGCCAATGAAGACTATCCTTCCAAAAGAAGTATCCTATTAGATTGAGTTGCGACGTAGAAAAAAGTCCCCTTTCTCACATACACAAAGAAATTCGTTTCAAGAGGAGGCATAGCTTGGGGGATTCGAAACGGTTGAAATTATACCTGCTGGGTTTTTAAACCGCTGTTGGGTCAACGTAAAATCGAGGAATGCACCTGTGAGTGTACACTGCTCCAAAACACACTTGTATACTCCAAACGGTCGTCACAAAACTATTGTCGTGAGAAGAATAAAACAGTCGCAATTTTTTTCAACTAAAAAACAAAATAATCAAACAACTTTAAACAAAAATTGAAAAACAGTGATTTTTATAAGGATACAGTTTTTGAGAGATATAATAAATATTTCACTGAGAATTTATCACACAAGAAAGGACAAACATTTTCTGAAACGGAAAAACAAAGCGAGTGAGTAAAACAACACAAAATTATGGGAAACGTTTTGTTTTAAAACTTGTTAAATTTATAAAAATATTTAAGATTTAATTCTTTAAAATAAATTCGTAAAAAATATAAAATTTTATTTACAACATTTATTTGAATTAATTTCTTTTATATGATTAAGATTGATTAAATGATCTATTTTAATGATTTCAATTTTGAAAAAGTTGATTATTAATTTTTTTCCTAGATTTAAATCAAGAAATTTTACATAAAATTAAAAATTGATTTTGAAATCATCACAGCAAATAATTAGTTTTCGAATCATCGGTTATAAATGTGTTTAATGTTTAATAACTTTAATGAAAAGAATTTAATTTAATGATACAATTTTAATTTAAAAATAAAAAATCAATTTAATGATAAAAATTTAATCAAAAAAAAGGAATATTAGATAATTGAAAAAATAAATTATTTTCAGATTGTCATTATGCTTTGAAATGGAGCGTATATACAGAGCTGAAGCTTTTATAACTTTAAAAACAAATGGCATTCAAAATTCCGATCCTGATATTAATGCAATAGACGATGTTAAATTTGCCAACAAACTTAAAAGTCATACAACTAAAACAGAAGAAGAGGAAGAAGAAGAAGAGGAAAATCAACAAGATGAAAAATTCATAAATAAATCACTAAATATTGAGAATATTTCATTAAATTCATTAGACACAAAAACGCACGAATCAACAGAATCATTTAATACCAGTGACTCGTCAAAGAAAGCATCAATTAACAGTTTTAATGAATATCAAGAGGAACCAGATTTTGAAACCCTCATTAAAAGTCCCGAACTTCTTGAAAGTTATTCCACACAATTAGACATCAATGATACTTCAAGTCCTATAATCGGCACATTTTCCGGTATTAAAAAATGTCTCGTCGATTTTATGGAAGAGGAGAAAATGAAAGTTCGAAAAGAATCCTACACCTCCGAAATAGATGCAGAAGATATTGTTTTTAATGAAAGCTTTCAGCAAATAACGGAAATTAAATCACTTTTTCTTTTTAATGAGAGTGAAGTGAACGAAAAAATAGTAGAAACCAGTCAAGTTCCACAAAATGTTGAAGCAAATGAAGAAATTGAAGAAAAAAACAAAAATCAAGTACAAGAAGAAAATAAAGAAAAGGAACAGAACATAATAAAAGAATACAGAGGAGAAGAAAATGAAGGTAAAGAAGAAAAAGAAGAAATTAAAATAAGAGATGAAGTTATACAAGAAAAAACAGAAAATCAGGAAAATAAATTAGAATTTAAAAAAGAAATTCTGGAAATTAACGAAAATTTTAAAACACCAAAAGTCTTTGATTTTCACAAACCAATTTCAAAATTAGATCAACCAATTTATGACGAGCCTTTTATTGGAAACTTGCACAAAAATACAAAAAATACCAAAAAATCCAATTACGATCATTCAACACTACCGAATATGAAAATTCATCGATTTTCCACCAAACAACCGCGACGATGTAACAGTTTAAAATCGATTGATGAAGGTGTCGAATTAATCGATCCAAATTTCGACGATATTTGCTATCATGGTAACAAAAATGGTTGTACAGTTGCTGTACAAAAACCAGAGGACGTCAGTCAAGAAGTATTCAAAGACAATTGGATGCAACGTTTAGAATCTTTACGACAAAAGGAAGCATTACTCAAAGACAAAGAAATTGCTCTTCAAAGTCGCGAACGACTTCTCTTTAAAAAAGAAAAAGAACTTCGCATTCTCGAACGAATGGTAAAGGATAAAATGAAACAGGCGGAATTATATTTAAAACGTTGCAAAAATTCCCAAAGTCTTGAAAATGTTTTCGACGAGAAATTCATTGACACTAAATCATCATCAGGTTCAGCGGCCTCACGAGTTGGTCAAGTTCTCAATGTTCCAAATAATAGCGGCAAACGTGTGCCATTTATGGGCGAAAATTTTTGGCTTCAAGCACCCGAATTAAAATATGAATTGTCAAAGGAAAATTTAAAAAGTTTACCACCATCGAGAGCGTCGTACGCGACACTTCCATCAGACGTGAAATATGGCAGTAAATTTAGTGCCTACAGCAGTTTTCGATGTCGACCAAAACCACGAATTTCATACGATGACTTGGATTCAACATTATCGGCCGATATTGGCGATTCATCGTTAATTGTAACATCAAGAAAATTTGATCCAATTGTCTGTCGAAAACCCGCGGCATTCACGAGATCGGCAAGTGAGAGACGACCAAAAATTGAAAGTAATAAAATTATTTCAAAGGAACAATATTTTATGGACGATAATGGAGAATTTGAGGAGGATAAAATTTTCCGTAAAGTGAGTGATAATATTTTCGCCTCACAGGACAAGGAAACGAAATTTCTTAACTATGGTGTTATTGATGATGGTAATAGTGCCAAAAGTATTGATCGTAATTATGCGAAATCCGAGGACGATGAGAAAAAATCATTAAATCTTGATAAAGCGAAAAACAAGAATACAAAAGGTTTAAAAACAAGACCCGTGTCATGGAGTGCCGAGACAGACGATTGGCTTCAACGGAAACGAGAAGCTTTTAATTTAACGCACAAAAAATGTGTCAATAACTGTGATAAAGAAAACCACGAATTAAAACCGAAAACTTCCAATTATTCAACAGTGAAGAAAAAGAGTTGGAAGGGAAAAAAATTCAGTATTTTTCGATAAAAATTCAAGCCTTGGATTTAAATTTGTATACGAATAGAATAAGACAAATTGAATTAAATTTTTAAATTATATAAATCTCCACATTTTTGTAAAGTTTTAAATAAAAAAAATCCTATTATTATTATTATTAAAATCTGAATTTTACTGTTATTTCCTTATTTTAATTTATTATAATAATTTTTGTTGATTGATTAACTAAATTCCTTTCCATTTTAAAAAGTAATTTTCTTAAAAATTCACATTAAATTTGCTTTAAAGTAAAGGTAGATGTAAAAGAACTTTTCAATTATTCTACATGTTTATTAAACATCATTGATATTAAATTTGAATCTTAAATGTATATTTTGTCAAATTATGACGAATTACCATGAGGGAGGTTCACCTGGTGCAAGTGTTCTACCGTATAGAGCGGATTTATCACGAAATCTAGACATTCTTTCCGTCTCATTTCTATCCAAATATATACCAGCAGTGAGAGTAGTACCAAAAGTACCAAACAGTATTGCATAAAATTTAATCCACATGCGTGTGTACGCTGCTCCTTCCAATCTCATTTTGAATTTTGCTTTTTTTCCACTTCTGTGTACGGTTATAATCTGCGTAGATAAAATAAAATAGAGTTGTGGGAAATACTGTCACAATAGTGTACCTCTGTAGATAGTAGCCGATACCCATCAATCTAAAAAATGAAATTACAAATCAATAATAATGATATATGCAAGGAAAACAAAACGATTTTATTAATAATAATTTATAATTTTTTTAATATCAATGAAAAAGCAATTTAATCAAATAAGATTTCGTCGATTTAATATAAATATTTAATTCTTAAACAAGACTGAAAAGTGAGGTTATGTGTGTATTATGTAATTCACTCAAGAAGTAAAATCGATATTTCTGTTTTTTGATCAAATATAAACTTCATTATTGCACAATAAATTGTAATAATATGCAGTTTAGTAGAAATATACAAGAATTTAAATAAATTAACCTTATATTATAACAAATTTTAATCATTTTTACCTTCACTTATTGTTAAATTTTTTTACTCCAAAATATGTATTTTCATAACAAAAGTATTATGCAAATTTAAATAATTCTTATACTTACTGTTATTTATCAAACTTACTATTTTAAGGAGTATTAGACTCCAAATATTTTTATTTATAGCACAATTGTCACAATAGAAACACCTACAACCTCGTAATTGATTGTCGAAAAATCCAACAAATCGATTACAATACTTGTCGGTAATAAAATTTAAACTAATTACTTTTACTCAAATTAAAATTTACTCTTTATAAAAGAAAATACAACTCTCTATCTTTGTTTTATCAATTACGTAATGTCTTTTTTTTAATTGTTAATAATAATTAATCAATTTTACACGTGAAAATGATTGACAATGAAAATGTAGTTAATTTTCTGTCCGCTAGGAGTTTGGCGCAAAAATTTAAATTTCGATCATTCATTCATTTAATTCAAATATTCGCGGCATATTCCGATTAGTTGAAAAATAAACCACGCCTATTTCGTACTGCGCATGGTCACACTATGCCTTTTGTATTTTTTAAACGACGTAAAAACGGTTTGTTTTATAAAAATTTAATATATTTTTGCATAATTAACTGACATAATGTCGCGTAATTACAGAAAATTATAAATTCTGTCCAAAAAAGGGATTTTTAAATAAAATACTTCAAGAAAGACGCATGTAAACAAAACAACAAGCAGCTAAAAACAACGCACAGGACGTTAAGAGGTTATAAAAGGTATTTTTGCCAATTTTTGCGAATTATTAAATATTTATAAATAAATGTATAAAATTTATTTCTAATGCAACATTTATTTTCATGTGTTATTATTTATTGGTACATACCTGATACATTTGTTTTTCCAGACACTTCGTCAGTACTGATTTGTCAGTGACAGCGGTGACAGCGATAGTGTCAGTACATAAAATGGCGCCATTGATGTCGGTCATTTCTTTCCTTGCATCGTTACTTTTGACACCTTTCCTTATGTTTTTACTTGCCATTATATTTCTCGCATCAATTGGAAAATCTCTTGGTGTCCGAAAAGTTTATGTAAAATTACTTTTGACACTTTTCGAGGTAAGTCATTTTTCGATCAATTTAACATTTCATTCATGAGCGTATATATATTTCTTTTTATAGTGATTTAAATTTTCAATTATATACTTGAATCTTTTTACAAAATAGAATTGTTTTATAAATGAATGGAATTTTTTCTAAATCACGTGTTATAATTAAACGTATATAAATTTTTTGGGGGTTATGTCACAATCATGTCATCTCGTAAGATTTCGTTATAATTAATTGCAACATTCTTGATTTTTATCAGTATAGATCAAATTTTTTCACTATATTGTAGACTTTTATCGTGATATTTCTTTATGACATATAATAATCAACATTATTTTACCGTCTTATTAGTAAATTTTCTCTTTCAAAAAGAACATAACCTCGATGACGTTTTAAATGACATTGTGTAAAGAATATACTAGAAAAATCTTTTTCTTTTCATTTTCAAGGGTTAAATTTGGTTATTTGACTTTTAGAATTCTTACAATGTTACGAAAGCTTGTAAAAATTGGAAAATTCTTGAACATGCTTCTGGTTAATGATAGTGAAACGATTTATTGCTGTAACTGATTTAAATTATTCACTTTTATGAATCTTTTGTAAAGTTTCCTACGAAATAAATCTTAGAAACAATATTACCTTCTTTGAAAAGTATTAATAATTCCTTTAAAAGCGAAATGATTTATTGCTGTAACAGATTTAAATTCCACTTTTATGAATCTTTTGCATAGTTTCTATAGAAATAAATCTTAAAAACAATGTTTATTTTCTTAAGAATAATAATTTTTAGCCTTCTCTCCTTTCTTTATAAAAGAAATATATTACAAGAATAAATAAATTGTAATTGATGCAAATGAAATGTAGTTGAAAAAAAATTGAATTTTAATGTTATGGAGATTAATTTATATGAAAAATTGAACTCAAAAAATTTGCTTATTATTAGAAATTGTTTTTTTAAAATTATCTTTAAATCGCTTTCATTTTATATGTTGCAAATTTTCATTATTGATTAAAAGAAAAGCAATTCACGTTTACATTATTCATAGTAAGATGTAATGCTGTTATGTGTTGCGTGTTTTTTATAAATAAATCATTTGCTTAAGTATTCTCGATTAAAAATTAAAAAGCCATAGTCGCATTTATTGCAGTTGTAAAATAGTTAATAAAACGGGTCAAATTGAAACAATGATGATCAGTGATCTTAATAAATAAGAAACCTTTTGACTTTCAAAAAATGTTATTCTCATCGATAAATTACCAATGCATATTTATAAAGATGTTTTATGAAATTGTGACACAATAACTACTAGTTTTAATGATGATATTATTTTTGCGATTATAGTGAACATTTTTTTAACAGTTTTTATACTCTTTACATACACGACATGACATTTAATTTATGTAAAGGAGAAGTACATAATCTTTTTTAGCAATTAAATTTTTCTTCGATTAAAATAGAAAAAAATTATCTTTATAATAATAAAAATTTACATATTATTTATATACGAAAATTTAGTTCGATTATATGTAATTTTAGTTCAGATATAAGAGCTTAATAATATAATAAAAAGATAACTTTCCGAAAAATTGAGATTACTTTTGATGTACTCTGAACTCTAATCGATTTAAAATTACCTTGAATTGCATAATATAGTAGAAAAACTGCAAATCACGTTCGATAGTTTCAAGTTTTGTTTTGTGGTTATATTTTTGAATGATCATGTGAATAATAATAAACAAATATACATGTAAATCTTATGTAACTTAATAATGAAAAATATTGTGCATTGCAATTTCATAATTGTCGCCAATATTTTAATTATTTTAAAGAAATTTATTACAATATTATTATAATCGTGTAGTAAAAAAAAAATAAATTTAGATTTTCGTACTTGCTTGTTTGTATATAATGTTAAATAATTATGAGATTAGCTTATCGGTGTTATGTTTGTCTGAAACAAAATGTTAGCGAATATCAGAAAGTATTTTACATTGAGTATATATAGTGTAAAGTTTAGAAAGTAGACACAACTTACATATTTATTGATAATTTTTTTGTATTTCTTTTTTATCACTTTCTTCTACATTTACATGATTAATGGAAAAGTTAGAATTTAAATAATATCTACATTTTTTGTTGATTAATAATTTAAAGTTAATCCAGAATAAGAAAAAGAAAATTATATCAAACGGATTGATTGATAAACTATGTGGAAAGTAGTATGAGCTCTTTGAACTTTTATTATGAATCCGAAGTTCATAGTCCATGATATATGTATATATTATTATTATTGTTATTATTATTATTCATCATCGATTTGTTCTTCAGATAAAGAATTACATATATAGATCACGAGATTACTTGCAGTTTAAAAATAAAACAATTCTTTTTTTAAATATTGATTATACTTTTAAATTATTTTGTTTCAAAGTATGTAATTAAAAAATATCTTCAAAATTAACATTTTAAATTTTAATCTATTTTTTATTTATTACATGTCATTTATTTTTAATTTAGAGAAAATTTATTTTGTTAAAGTAACTTTTTTTGCAGTGCTAAATAAAAGTTTATTTGTTTTCTTAATTAATTCTAGAACAAGTTTATTGACTTGGAAGTGATTAACACTTTTGATTAACGCCGATTATTGAGCTTGTTCTAATTATAGTAACTCTTGTGTCTAAATAAAGATTTAAATGGTTAAATACATTAGTGTAAACTATTTAAAAAAAGTGTTTAACGAGAGAAATACCTATATCTATTTTTTCTTTATTAAAATTAAATTATTCAGTTTCTTCGTAAATTTTATTATTGGTACAAAGTTCAGGTTTCATATTTTTTCCTTTCAGTTGCAAAGGTTAATTGAATCTAAAAGATTCAATTCTTAAATGTGTATATGTATATTACATTTTAAAAATATTTTTTTATTTTATTTAAAATATTTGTTCACTTAAAATATTTTTTAAAAAATGCAAATTTAATATATTTTATAAATTTTAAAGAATATTTAAATAAAAGTTATTATTTATCTTAAAATAAATAATTGTGTAATTCTTTTGAGTTACAATCGAATTTTAACAAGTGAATGACATTTATTAGGATTCACACGATCCAGAAAATGAGGAAACCGTGATTGTGTTTTCTGTTACATGTCACAAGTCGTTGACCGTTTAATAGAGTTTACACAATATTCATATAACGATTTTATTGTTTTGAAATATTTAATTAGAGATAATAAATTATATATTCAACTGTAGAATGTAGATAAGAAACGTAAAATTGTTCTATTGTCACTTCATTATTATATTCATTTAATGGTTGCTACTGACCTTTAAATATTTCTTTTACTCATAAATCAATTAAAATACATTTTTTATTGATAGAAATTAATGACGAAAAATTACAATATTTAAAAAATGAAAATTAATTTATTTTTAATTTGTTTAAAATATAATTTACTCAAGTTTTAAAAAAAATAAATTTATAAATTATCATTAAAATTATTAGTTTGTAATTAAAATTTTTTTTTTACAGTTTGGAAGACAAAATATTGAAATAGAAAAAAAACGAAATGGTACTTGGCATATCGAGGAAGATGACAGTGAAGATGAAGGTGGAGGGACACCGACATCACAAAATAATCACAATTCCTGCAATAGTAAACAAAAAGGTGAGAAAACAAAGAATGGAGTTGTTGGAAGTTTCGTGATTGCCCGATCCAAGGATTTGATTTTGGTACCAGAACCAGAAGTACAAAATCATAAGGAACAACTGGAGAATGAGGAGCGCAATAAAACAGATGAACAACATTTAAATACTGGCGAAAATAAAGAGGTACATTTATTGTATTCAAAATGATAAAATAAGAATTCGAATTAATTTCTAAATTTGGAAACTCATAAAAAGTTAAAAGTGTTTTTGTAATTGAAACATATACAAACAGTCGTTTCAAAATTTGAAAACTATTAAAATTTGGAACGGTTCCAAAATTGAAAAATATTGGATTAGTTTTCAAATTTGTAATATTCTTCATTTTTGAGAAATTTTTGATTATTTTATTTTTTTTACAATTTATTATTTCAATTTTTGACATTTTTTTTAAGTCATTGGAATTTCATTATTTCAGGTATCGCTGACAAGTCCAAAGTCTTTTGATACACTTAAAAGAGAATTCGAACCGGCAAGTTGCCTCGATTACATCAGAGCAGGAGTAGAGGCCATTATCGAGGACGGAGTGACTTCGAGATTCGAAGCCGAGGAATTGAAGGTGTGTTGGTCATCGTTTTGAATTCAAATTTGTATCATTATAGTCGCAATGTTTTTTTATGTAAATGATTCATATTAAAATTCTGCACGACTTGAGACTTTCATTTATATTTAACAACGTAACTTAAAAAATTCTTTCTCTTCTAGAAAAATTTGCTTAATTCATTATTTTTCTGATTACTCACAAATTCTGTTATTTTTCAGAGTTGGAATCTTTTGACAAGGACAAATAGACGTTATGAGTTTATATCATGGAAACTTACGGTTATTTGGATGTTTGGATTTTTTATGAGATACTGTTTTCTTCTTCCTTTGAGAATATTCATCTGTTTTATTGGGGTGAGTTATCCAATTAATTTTCAATTGCGATTTGATTGATAAAATTACTTTCTCATTTTTCTTTTTTCTTAAATTAAATTGAATTCTTTTTTTGTATTTAAATTAAATTTAAAAATATAGTTTAATTTAAGTAGAAGTTATAGACTAATAAGCGATAAGATTTTATAGGTATTTTTCCTTATAATATCAACTTTTTCTATTGGATTTTTGCCAAATGGTTCATTAAAACGTAAGGCGAACAATTTTGCTAATTTAGTCACATTCAGATTAGTGGCTAGATCAATGTCTAGTGTGATAACAATTCATAATGATGAGAACATGCCGAAATCTGGCGGAATTTGTGTTGCAAATCACACATCCACTTTTGATGTGGCTGTTTTGTCCACGCAAACAACTTTTTGTTTGGTAATTTGAAATCTAAAAATTTTGAACGAAGAAAATAGTAGGGATAAAAAAAGCGCTTGCAAATTGTACGTCCAAATGGGATTCATTTTTGGCTTTGTGTTTTTTGTTTCAAGCTTCATGACTCATGTCACAAATCAAACAAAATTTAACAAGTTTAGTTTAGTTTAGATTGTTAATTTTTTTGTGTATTGATAAATAATTTTTTTAGGGTTTAGTGGTTATTATATATATATATATATATATATAGAATAAATCGTAGAATATATTAAAAGTGTAGAGGGTTGTGGTTTTCAGGTAATGTGGCTGACAGTTTGTACTGCGGTGGTAGGATATGTTCCAGACGGAAGATTTAAACGTTGGTTGATCTACAGAGTTTCAATAATGTGCTTCGCTGTCCTGTCTAGTGCCCTGTCGTCAGTTATCAACTATCATAATCCTGAGAATCGACCAGTGAGAGGCATTTGTGTTGCTAATCACACATCACCCATTGACGTACTCGTTCTTATGTGTGACAATTGTTATTCGCTGGTATGTCTCATTTAAATGACTATCGTTTCCTTCCTTTCTTTTTTTTATTTTTACACTCGTGAATTTCAAATTACTGTCATTTTTTTTTTAATTTCACGCATCAATTTTAAAAATTATTCTCATTGTTTACAGCAATGCTGATTTTTATGTTGCTTTTCATTTATTTTTAATCTATGAATTTTGATTCTAATTTAATTAAATTTTTTACAATTTAAATTGGTATAATTATTATTTTTAGTGCTAAAATTTTTGTTTTATTATTTGCTTTCCTGCTTTAATTTTGAATTTATTTCAAAGGAAATTTGGGTTATTGCCTTTGCTTTTTTATCATATTCAATTTCATTAATTTGTGTTAATCTGTGTAAAACGTCTGAATTGTTTCTTTTTAATATTTGGTGCTTACTGTACATAGTGTGCTTTCAAAATTAATTGCGCTTTTTGGGGAGATTTTGAATGCTTTATTTCTCTGTTAGATAGGACAAAGGCATGGTGGTTTTCTCGGTATTTTGCAACGAGCATTGGCCCGAGCGTCGCCTCACATTTGGTTCGAACGTTCAGAAGTAAAAGATCGAGAAGCAGTGACAAGAAGGTAACATTTAAATTATCCATTTAATTTGATTTTCATTATTATTTATTTCTTTCTAAATAATAATAATAAAAAATTTAAAGATTAAAGAAGCACGTGTCCGATCCAACCAATCCACCAATACTTATTTTCCCTGAAGGAACATGTATCAATAATACTTCAGTGATGCAGTTTAAGAAAGGAAGTTTCGAAGTTGGTGGCGTTATTTATCCAGTAGCCATTAAGGTACAAAAATAAAGAAAATTTTTTAATTTTCCTTTTCATTTCCTTGAAACTCAATTGTTTTATTTATTTACAGTATGATCCAAGATTTGGAGATGCTTTTTGGAATAGTAGTCGGTATTCCATGATACAATACCTTTATATGATGATGTCTAGCTGGGCAATTGTTTGCGATGTTTGGTATCTTCCTCCAATGTACAGGAACGAGGACGAAAGTTCTATTGATTTCGCGAACAGAGTAAAATCCGTAATTGCAAGACAAGGCGGACTCGTTGATCTTCAATGGTAATATTCTTTAGTTTTATTAAATTTTTGTAGATAATTATTTCTATTTATTTATTTTCTTTTACTTTGACTAAAAACCTTTTTGAAAAATAATTAATTGACATCGGGATGTTTATTAAAGGGACGGTCAATTAAAAAGGATAAAGCCAAAGAAAGAATGGAGGGAGAAACAACAAGAAGAATTTAGTAAGAGATTAAAGGTAGAATAAGTAATTAGTGAACCTCTAGTCCAAATCTCATCACTTCACGAAACTCGAAAACTTCTTTTGTTTTATTTGCTTTTACATATTTATTATTATCACAACTGCGTCGTTTGTACAAAATATTTCTTCATAATTAACTAATACTATTTTTATTATTATTATTATTATTATTATTAACTTAAACTTTAACTGTACAGTAAGCTTCCTCAATAGTTTGAATTTTTTTCTAATTTCAATTACCCCATTTTTCATTGTTCAGTACGTATGTTAAAAAACAACTGGACTCAGAGACTTTGTACATAAAAATATGAACTTTACTTTACATAATAAGACTTTGTGAACGCATTCAAGTACCCCTAGTTAATTGTTTCGATGAATTTTCATTTAATTTACTTTCATCAGATTTTGATTATTGTTTCTTGACCAATTATTTTTATAAATAATTATTTCAAGCGATGTATGTGATATTTATGTAATGGGTGTACATATTTTTTATGTGTATAATTTAATATTGAGATAGTCATTTAGTTTACAGTTGAAAGTTTAATGAGAAAACTTGGAAAGATTTCAAAAAATACAAATTTATTTATCTTTTTTTTTTAATTCGAAATCTTTCTGAATCTTTCTAAATTTTCGGCATTAAATTTTTATCTGAGATTAAACGACTTTAAGAATAGAATATTAGTTTAACGAGAAGAAATAATTTGGCTTTAGCACAAAAGTGCTTTTTTAAATATTAAGTTGTAAATGATTTTTGAGAATCCGGTGCTTGGATTCATTTATTAACTTAGTAAGAGTAACGTCTTTGAGATTCACTGTATTTTGTGAATATTAGAAGCACTTTATGTAAATAGAGAATTATCACGTGTGTGATAGAAAAGTGTTAGTGTGACGGTATAAGAAATAATTTAAGGAATTTAGAAATATAGTTATTTATTTTTATCGAGTCCATGAAACATTTAATTAGGATTTATTGAAAGTTCTTTAACTGCATCTTCGTTACCATCGAGCCAAAAATTAAATTTCAATTTTTATCTCACTTGTTCATCATAGATTTTTTTTAAATATATCTATGAAAAATTATTCCAAATCTTACATAATCTTAAATGTCAATTAAGTATAAACGTATATTGTATTTCTTAATATGAAAGTCAAGTGTCAAAATATTAATAATGAAATAATATTTAAATGATGACGGCTTTTTCTGTGAAAAAGATTGTCGATTTTTAAATTGTTAATTAATCATTCATCTTTGTTAATTTTTGTACAACGTGCCTTTCTTTCATGTGTCATTTAAAATGTATGAGAAATTACAAAAAATCAAATATGTTTACATTAAGTTTAATCATTTTAGGAAATTAATTTATTAGAAGAATTTATTAAAAAATTGAATGTTTAAAAATGTATGAAATTAAATTAAATAAGACTAATTATAACAATATATTCCAATTTATATAAACATACAATTATTATTCTAAAAACATATTCATGTTTATAATTCTAAATATATTTTCAAATTTAATAAATTCTTTAAATTGGATAATTATTTGAAGCAAATTAACAACAAAAAAGTTCAAAATTTCTAAAAGGCTGGTTCCTTTATCTCAAAAAAGTAAAAAATAAAAAATTCTCTTTCATTAAGTGCTCGATAAATAAACAGGAATATTTTTATAAAAAGAAGTTAGTTGCAATAGAAATTACAAAAAAGAAAAAAAAATATGGTGAAAATGTTTTTCGTACTTATGTCATTTTCTAAAAAAAATGTATTATATTAAAATTTAATTTGATTTTTTCTACCTGAGTCGAGTGTTTCAAAGAAAATCGTAGAAATAAATGAATCCTTTAAACAGAGTAACAAATATCACAATAAATTTGAATGCTTTTTTTTCATTGTGAATGAATGTGTTTAATTTGAGTGTTATACAAAAGGTATAAATTATATACTCCGTCGAATTAACATTCGATTCATTGTTACTGTCGTGATATAAAAAAAATATCCTCTAATGTATGCATGGTCAACGAATAAAAGAAGGTGCTTCTTAATATAATTGATAAAGTGATTATTTATTGTTCTATTAGATATATTAATATTATACTTTTAAAAAAAAGTTTATTACGCGCCACTATTATCTGTTTACGACGCATGCTCAGTTACCGGGGATTCCCGTAGATATGTTAATTTATTTCTTTTTTTTATTAATTAATTATAACCTACTGTAGTTTTTATTAAACACAATAGGTTAATTATTTGTTTTATAGAGTGAAATTACATAGTTAATAATTTTTAATTACTTTTATTTTTAAATAAATATTAATTAATTTGTTTGTCTTCTTGAAGAGCGCCATTTTGCAGTAGCCAATGAAAGTCTTTGATCAAACGCAAGCGCAATACTACAGTCTGGGTTAGGTTAGTCACATTTTTGCAAACTTTGCAAACATGTCGAATTCACATTTGTATATGAAATCGGGCTTTATTAAAAGTCATTTAGGTAATGGAATTACTCGCTATGTGTGTCAGTTAAAAAGAGTGACTCTAAAATTTTGTAAAAATAATGGATCAAGTCGTGGCATGCGGTAAATATATACATAATGTTTGATTTATTTTGATGTATCTAACCTCAAAATTTAAAAAACCAATCTATCGGTTTTTTATATTCGGTATCCTTTTTTTTTTGCTTTGTTATTTTATAAATATAATTTTTCTACTTCTTTTAAATGGAATGGCATTAAATAATTTTTCAGAGATTTTGTAGAACACGATTTGCTTGATTATGCAAGAAATAATTCAGGAACTGTCGTTTACCTGAAACCAAGGAGACATCGTTCTCCTGTTATAGTTGCAGAATATCGTAAGTTAAATTACTGAAAATTAATTTAATTTTCATTAAAAATTCTGTTTACTTTTATGATTATTTATTTTACAGTCGATGGAAGCAGACACTGGGTTGGTTGTAGAAATTTTCATCGAGAAGAAGTCATAAAATGGATGGAACTTTTAACAACAGAAACCCACGATGGTGCGGAAAAAAGATTACGAAGACTTTGGCATACAGATTTTCCTTCGATTCAAGGACCATGGACTCCATTCACATTCAGAGATCCTGCTCTTAATTTGGCAATATATCCTGATGTAAGTTCACCCTTTTTTTTATTAAATTTTTCTTTATTTTTTAATATTAAGACTATTTTAAGCCGATTGACTCGATTTTGAATAATAAGAGAAGACAAAATTAATTTTAGTTAGTTTTCTAAAAAAAAAAGTTGCCTGCTAAAGGATGAATAGATCCTTAAATTATTACGTTAAATGTAACGTTTTTTTCATTTATAGACTGAATTGGGAGCAGCTATAAAACTCGAGCAGACAGCAACAGAGAAACTTATCGAATTGTTCAAAGCTCAAAAATTATCTGAATCTAAGGAATCAGAAAGTAGTGTTGATTCTAATGTGTAAATTTTAATTTAGTCTTTATACAAAAATTTCGTAAATTCGTTAAATAAAATACTTGTAAAATATTTTACAAAGTTTAAGATTTTAAGTTTCTAATTTCCTAATTTACTAAAAGATTTAGGTATAATATTTAAAAAGCAGTTTTTTTTTAAACATTTTTGAAATAAAATAAATAAAAACTAATTCATTTTGGAATGAAGTACACTGGGTTTCCGTCGTGGGGTCTTAAAATAAAACTAGAGATTAGTTTCATTTCTTGGGGTGTTCTTGCACTTTTAACTCGCCATTTTCTTAAAATTGATGTGAGAACAATTTTCTGTTCGGCTACGGCGAATTTTTGTCCAATGCAGTTTCTTGGTCCAGCGCTAAATGGAACATAGGCGTACGGATGACGACCTCGAGAATTTTCTGGCAAAAATCTGTCTGGATCGAATTTTTCTGGATCCGGCCAAACTTCGGGATTATGATGCAATTGGTAAATTGCCATTGAAACATTGCATCCTTTGGGAATTTTGTATCCATCTAAAAAAAATAATTTATTTATTACCATTCAATAAATTGTAATGATTTATAATAATTAATTTTTGTAATTTTACCTAGGACAATATCTTGGGTCAATCGTCGTGAAATTTGAGGTACAGATGGATGCATTCGAAGAGTTTCTTTGACAACCCGATCGAGACACTTGAGTTCTGCAACATCCTTTAAGGTGATTGGTCCCTGAGAATTACCGAAATGTCCATCTAATTCCTGATGTATTTTCTCTTGAACTTCGGGATTATTACCAAGATTGAATATCGCCCAGTTTATTGCAGCGGCCGTGGTATCGTGGCCCTTTTTAAGGAAAATATTAACAGGTATGCTTATTAATAATTAATTATTTTAATTAATTAAGTAATTATTTAATATCGATAATTAAATATTTTTTCCGAAAGTTCTTTAAATTAAAAGACTCACAGCAAACATAAACGTGTCCACTTGCTCTCTTATTTCAACTTCGGTCATAGGAACTTTTTCATTCTCATTAACGTCTAATAAAAGATCCAAAAAGGCTTTCCTTTTTCGTTTACCTAGAAATTCAACAGCATTTAAATTTATTTATTTGGTTAATTAAATTAATGTAATTTTTAAATAATTTATTTTTCTTTTATTTACCGAATTCGTCTAAATCTATTTCGTTGATCTTTTCATTAATTTTTGATAATCGGGCTAATTTTTTCTTCTTGATAATAGACATTGTGAAATCAATCATTGTTTCGAATGCAGATTTTGCTTCTTTGCCTTGTTTTGTTCGATAAAAAATCCAATCCCATTTTAACCATGGAGAATTCACTCTATCGACAGATGTCACAGCGACTCTGCAATAAATATGATAAATAGTGCATTAAATTTGTAATTATTTACAGATTAAGTTTTTAATTATAAAGTAATTATAATTAATTAATCAATTATCGATATTAAATAATATTGTATTATTAAGAAACTATGCATAATAAATTAATATATTAATTAGATTATATACTTATGAAGCGCGTTCATATAATCGGTATCATATTTTCTTTGTACGTTCATATCCACTCCCATTGCCGTTTCTAAAAATACATAAAAATATCAATTTACAAAAATTAAATGACGTTTATTGTTAATGTGGTTTATATCATTTACGCGGATCGTAAATTAATCAGTAATGGTTGCAATTATTAAATACCACAAATAATGTCAAGAGCACATCTGATAATGAGTTTGAAAATATCAATTGGCTTTCCTGGATTCTCGCGAAGTGTCTCGTCAATTATTTCCGTTAATATTTTCGATTTTTCTGACATGACCTCAGCAAATTGCTCAACTACTCCAAAATGAAATGCTGGCGTAATTAATTTTCTCTGATGAAACCATGTTTGTCCTATATATTTGAAAAAAGAATTTCGAATTTTTAAAGTTCTCAAAATATTGATTTTTTAAATATTCGTTAAATTGAATTTATAAATTTATAAATTGAAAACAATACAGTATTTTTACCAGAAGAAGTGAGAAGACCTTGACCTAACCAGATATTGAGATTGTCGTAGAAAAAGGATTTTTTTATATTTTCTGTACTCGGGAAAATGATCTTTAAGAAAAACAATTAAAACATATTCATTTCATGAGAAACAATTGTTCAATAATTTAATTTTATACTTTATTTTTCACATTTACTTTTATTGTTCGATTATTAATTAGATATTAAATATTTAATTATTATTCTTAATTATCCCTACATGTGGAAATAGAAAGTTGAAAATTTAACATTAAAAAATTTATTTTACCTCCATGTGCCGAGGATTGTATATGTGAATTATAGCTTCATTGAGATGTAAAATATTCATCATGAATCCTTTTCTATATTTCGCAATCAAATTGCTAAACCATTTGAAACGATCTATTTAAGAGAAACAATCAATAATTTGTCAATTTTATTTAAATTCGAAATTCGCTTTATTGTTATAGTTAAATTAATTAATTATTTTTTAAAATTAAATAAAGGCTAAAAATTGAGTTATTCAGGTTCAAATTTCCACTTTTACGTGGGATTATGTTAAAAGTTTAAAATTTCAACATGAATAGCTGGAGAACGTACTTAAATAATAAGATGTGAAATTATCGTTCTCTTCCCATCTTATTATGTAATATAATACCTGTGTAGGAAAAGCAAAACCACATGTAAATTTACTTATTATAGTTTCAAGAATTGTTAATTATTAATTAATTATTTATTAATCAATTAATTTTGTTTACCTTCATGCTTAATTTTTTTGATTTGAAGAGAAACTGTCGGTAAAGGATATCTAGCTGGACCAGGAAGTTTATTAATATCCGTACAAAACTTGAAAAACTTAAACACCTGGATGAGAATTCTCATTAATGCTATGACAATCACTGTCGTTATAAACACCATAAACGTTGTCATTTTATTTAAAAAAAATTAATTTTAATATTCAATTAAATAAGAATTCATAAAAAAATTTTTTTTTTTTTCACCACCGAGGATTTTTGTTTATGTTGATAAATTTTATTACATAGTTTTTATTATAAGTGGATCCAGATTTTCTTGAAGTCAATGATTAATGTTGATATATGTACGGGTTCATATACAGGAATGAAGAAAACTGGTTTGTTCTCTATGATTATATCTTATAAGTATGAACACTGACGTATCAATGTCGTTAAAGAAGGGAGGTTGTATTGCATTGTCATTAAAAAATATTTTTGTAAATTGTAATCATAAAGAAACATTTAGTCTAAATATATACTTATCACAATAATATCATTACTGTTATGAAGATATTTTTAATATATTTCCTTATAAATGAAAGTTATTTTTTTATTTTTATTTATTTACTTTTTAAAATCAATGTTAATTAATTGTACGTCAAATTTATTTTTTATTTAATTACTTATAGATTATAATTCCTTAATTATACTTTTTTACACGGGATATATTGTTGAATTTTTTAGAACAACGATCATGGTTTAATTTCGACAATAGTAAAATTCACAAAAATTGCAATTTAAATATACTTGAGGATTCTTATTATTTACTAGTGAAATTATCCAGCTTATATACTATGTATTCCGGTAGTTAAATTTTTCCAACAACCACATTTATTTCTACTATATACTTAATTATTGTCTTAAGTAATAAATTGTTGCTTGACATTTCCACAATGGTGATAATCGAACGAAATTGAATTTTACTTCCTTATTTTGTAGATATTCCAAAGTATTTATAATGTATAGAATTTTTAATATTTAGAATATAGTAGAATAGTAAATAAAAATATTAATAAAAAAATTTTTAATTTTAAAAACTAAAGTAAATTAAGTGTGTAAAAAAATTTACAAGAAATTGAATGCCAAATTTTGATAACCTATTGGTTATCAAAATTTGTACATTGATAAAAAAACATTGTAAAAACATTGATAGTAATTTTGAATACATTACTGCTTTATGTGATAGATTTCAACAGAGTACACACAATGAAAAATATTGCCGAGTCATTTAGATCCGTTTATCAGTAATGTTATTCTGTATTAGAAAAGAATAGAACTTCTATTACCTATTCAAAAAAATATTTTAAAATTTAGTCACATTTTAAAATTTTTATAATGATAAACAATTTTTTTAAATCTAGATTTATTGTCAAATCTATTTGTAGTAATTATAAATATTAAGTGTACATTTGAAAAATGTTATTAATAGTTATAACAATATTTATTTTTAGTTTTTTCACAATAATTTAGTTTCATTAAAAAAAAATATTAATTTTTTTATTTGTTTCAGATTTCAAAGTAAATTAATCCTTGTCAAACCATCGAGGTTCAATTACATTACATTTAATCGGAGGTTTTGGAATTGGAACTATTGAAGGTAAAGATTTTGGCAAAAATTCTCCTGGCCATAGATGAATGGAATCCATGAACATTAAACTAATTAAAATTCCGTGCATCAAAGGTCCGAGAATTCTTAATAATTTACTACGCTTCGCTTTTTGAGGCCAAATAAAGATTAGTCGAGGAGGACCTAATAAATAAATAAATTTATATAGAAAGAAAACATGAATTATCTATTTAAAAAATAATACATAAATAAATAATGAGTAACGAGTAATTAAGTAAATAATGAATAAATTTATCAAATAAAAATTAAAACATATAATTAAATATAAATAAAGATAAAAACAAAAATATAAGGAAACAAAAAATAAAAAATAAATAAGTGTAAAAATAGTTATGAAGATAAAGAAAAATAGAACAATACTTTTTTTAAAAAAATACAGATAAAGTAACCTGCAAATTTTCTGGCATTGGAAGAAGCTACATGATAAGAATTAACTCCGGCAGGAACACTAAAATTTCCATCGATAAAGGATTTTTTTTTACGGTATCTATAAACTCGACTTCTGGTATTATTATTCCTAAATTTTATTTTTTCAAAAATATCCTTTGATTGATCAACATTAATTAGCCCACTTTCAAGACTTTCTTGAAAAGTTAAAGTTGTAGTTAGAAGTGAACTGGAATCATCAATGAAACTATCACTTCCTGGTTGAACCAAAGATGTTTCTTCAATTTTTCCGATCCTAAAAAAAATATATATTTTTTTTATTTTCAAACGAAATTTTATCATTATTAAAAAAAATATATTTTTTTTTTAAAGTCAACTTACTTTGAAATATTTTGACACGTAAAACCATTTTTCACAGTTTTAAGCTCCAGATTTTAAATTTGAGATTTTTTTTAGCGTCATTGATAAATTTTTATTGTTGTTTTAAAAATTATTTCTCTCCAGTCAATTTTTTAATCGACATTTTTTCCTTTATTTAAAAATTGTCATAAAAAGCTGTCAATTCTGACAATTTAATTCCGTAAACCAATAAAGAATCAGAAAAATAAAAGAATCATCAAATGGAATGTTTTCTCAATGTGAATGCTGTAGAAGTCAATTTGAAAATTGAACTTTGTTGTTTGAAATGAAAAATTATATCAATATATCTCGCAAATTCATGATGATTAGTTAATTAATTTAAAAGAATAACTGAAAGCCATTAGAAAATAAACAAAGAAATAATTGTTTATGAATAAATATGCAAATTAAACAATATTTACTTCGAAATTATTTTTTAAAAAAATGTTATAATTGAATTAATATTAATATTTAATAAGTAAAAAAATTACAAAAAAACATTAAATTTTTTAAAATTAATATTAGTATCTAAAATACAGTTAAAAATAATAAAAAAAAAATTAAAATTTTCTATTAATTGCAAACTTCACTTGATTTTTAAACAAAAGAATACCAAATCTCAAGCTTCTTGGAAACATCAAAATAAATTAAAAAAATAGAAAATAATAAAATTTTAAAAAAAGTTCAAGTATTTTCGAAATTAAAATTTTTATGTATTTTTTACTGGTTCAGTAAAAAAAAAGAATCATGGCAGACACACATTGTCACAGTAAATTTTTTTAAATTGATTTTCGTGATTTAAGATCATTTATAAAAATTATTCTTATATATTATATATTTTATGTTTATTATTCTTTTTATAAGGTTTTGTATTAATTTTTTTATTTTTGCAGAACACAGTGAACCAACTTTTGAACCTTTTCCATGTTCAAGTAAGTTTTCACATATTTTATTTTTTATTATAATACAATTCCTTTGACAATGTTTGCTTTAATGTAATGAACGTAATTTTAATTTCTAATTAAGATAACAGTAGTAATTATTATTTAACACTATCTAAGAAAAATTGTATTCAATTAAAAATTAATAATAATTATTCTTGTCATGTTAATTAATTAATTAATTACTTACTAAGATAAAAAAATAATAATTAAGATTGCTTTATTAATTGATATGTAATTAATGAATGAATTAACAATAATAGAGTTGTTGAAAATTTTCTAGATTACAAGTCAAATGTAAAAATTACTGGTGAGGGATGTTCGTCAAAATTAGAGGACGCGGTTAACAAGATTGAGGGAAGACGTGTCGATTTGGCAGAACGTCAACGTTATTTAAAAGATAAAGTTTCAACAATGGAGAGATCAATTCCGGCCTTGATGGCATTTAATATGTGGATGTCGGGACAAAAATGCAAAGACGCTTCATTTTGTAAAATTCGAGAGATTATCAACACATTTTCACCTGATCTCGATCCCACGGAAAATCTCTTGCAGAATCTCAAGAAGAACGTTCAGGATATTAATCAAGAGATAGAAGAGTTGCACGTACGCCCTGCTTGAATTTCCGACGTAATTGCATTTATTTTACCATATCTGCTTCTTATTCCGAAAAATTTAAGTAATTCTTTTAAAAAAATATTAAAATTAAATAAATTTTAATTTTAATTTACACGAAATAATATTAAATTTTCAGGAAAAGATAATAGTGGCAGATGTGGATTTGGAAGAGAAGGGAATGGAGCTGGAATCTCTCGAGTTGTCAAACAATGAGATGAATAATGAATTGAAAAAATTGGAAAAAGAAGTTGCCGCCGAGACCACTTTAAGTTTACACTCGATTCATTCTGAGGATTTAATTTGCCTGAGTCGAATTCGACAATTAGGAGAAGAAGAAAGAAGTTTCAAATGCTGCATAAAACAATTGGAAGAAAAAGAAATGGCGTACAGACAACAAATGGAATTACTTTTGACATCGAAAGATTTTCAAAATTCTCTCGGTGGATCGCATATGGTTAGAAGACTCAAGGAACTTGAGATGAACGATAAGAAGTGGCGATGCACCTATCAAACTCTTAAGTATAATATGCATCAAATGAAGAAGAAAATCATGGAGAAAAGTGAAAAACTTGTAAATATTTATTTATATTTTAATCAATATTAAAAGTTGCTTATAATACTTTTTAATATAATTTTAATTTAAATTGTTCTAGGTGAAATTGGAAAATCAAAGTGGAATAGCTCATTCAAAAAATGAAAAAAATTCATCTTTAGAAGAAAATCAGGAAGAAAATAATGATGATAATGATATGATTTCAAACAAGCAGCAATGGACTTCTTGGACAGAAAATAATCGAAATAATCGTTTTTGTGGAAAGACACAAATTAATTATTCCCCACAATCGTGTTGCGTTCATCTCCCGAAAAGCTCGAGTTTAAAGAAAAAATCTTGTCGCTATTCTGCCGACTCCCGTCACGGATGTTCTCCAAAAAATTCTGGAGGAAACAAACTTTGCTCTGACAATCCACTTTGCCAATCTGGAATTTCTGGTAAAAATCATTTGAATCTATTATTATATATTAACAAATTAAAATTAATTTTTAAAAAATTATTTTTGAGTAATACAAAAAAAAATTAAGAAAGATGGCAAATTTTAAAGGTCGAAGTTGCCGATGTTCGTGCAAAGGAAAATGTGCTCGTGACAATTCCAAAAGTCCTTTTAATTGTGGCGTTGAATCAAAAAGTAATTATAATCCTGGATTGAAGGATCAAGATTTCCGAAATCGTGACGAAAGTAATAGTGACGATGAATTTCGCGAATGCGACTGTGGATGCAATGACGATGACATACTTGGAAGTTGCTTACGAAAAAAATAATTTCCCATATTCAAGAAATTTTTATTAATTAATTTAATTAATTAAGGATGTAATTTTATTTTTGGTAATGAGTTGAAACATAAATTTTATTCATCAGTGATAAGTACACAAAATACATTCTAAACGTTCTCTTAAATTTTATTAGAATTCCTCATTGAATGGATAGTGTTTATTTTTCACAGACCTGAAATAATTTTTTATATTTAAAAAATAATTTTCTTTTTTTGAAATTTTTTTAAGATATAGAATTAAAGTATAAAAAATTTGTTTACTTACATGGCCATACTACAAACTCTCATTTTTTTGTCAAACGTATGAATTTCCTGAATATCGTTCTTCGTTAATTCAAAATCGAAAATTGATAAGTTTTGCTGCATACGTTGTTTGCTAATAGACTTAGGAATGACGATATGGCCTCTTTGAACCTTAGAAAATTATTATTTTTCCAGTTTCATTATTGATAAAGAATCTCGATAAAGTATTATTTATTATTATTAGTTTAAAAAATGTACCTGATAACGAAGAAGAATTTGTGCTGGTGATTTATTGTATTTATCAGCGATTTTTTTAATTCTTTCATCTTTCAGAGGTTCTGGATCATCAGGTTTCGCCCAAGGTCTATCGGGTGAACCAAAAGGACTGTATGCCGTTATAACAATACCTTTGGACTTACAGAATTCGGATAATTTCACTTGAGGAAGATAAGGATGACATTCAACTTGATTGGTTACTGGTTTTATTTTACAAATTGCCAAAACCCTTTCGATTTGCTTTGAATTGAAATTGCTGACACCAATATTTTTTACCAATCCCTTCTCGACGCATTTCTCCATTGCCTTCCATGTGTCTACATAATCTACATCGCTATCGATTGACAATCCATTTTCATCTGAGGGAAATGGTACTTCTCCTTCTGCGTATGAAGAAAAATCGTAAGTTCGCTCAATTATTTTATTACACAAAAATTTTTAAGTTTAAACGTGAAATTTTCTTAAATTTCCTTTTCTTTTATTACTTAATTGTAAAGATACAAAGCTAAAACCTTGAATATTAAAATAATAAAATAAAAGCCTTAAATTTAATTTAATTAATTGAAATCAAAATTTAATTTATGAATGTAATTTAAATGTTATTGTTAAATTGTGTCGATTGATCATTAAGGGAAGTTGTAAAAACGACAAGTCACGATGATTAAGTAAATATCTTTATCTCCGTTGTTACTATTTGTCGAACAATAACAATGTTTTAAATATGTGAAAAAAGTCAATTATATAGAATTAGTCATGAATTATGGAAGTGAAAAAAACAATTTTCACCTTGAAAAGCCATTGGCCAATGAATTAAATATAAATCCAAGTAATTGAGACCGAGATCATTAAGAGTTTTTCTCAAAGCCGGTTCAACAAGTTCCGGTTTGTGTTTGGTACACCAGAGTTTTGAAGTGATAAAAACATCATCGCGTTTGATAATTCCTTCGCTGATCTTTGAACTCAAAGCTTTGCCAACATCAGTTTCATTTTCGTAAACTGGAGAACAATCGATATGTCTGTATCCAACATCGATTGCATTTTTGATAGCTTCAATACCTTCATTTGCCTTTGACTTAGTTTTAATTTACATTAATTACTGTCATGATAATTTTACAGTTTAAGGACGTGTTGACACTATGGCATGTAAATTCAAACTAAATACATAATTTGAAAACGTGTATTTAATTAATTAAAACAGTTTTCTCGGTTAAAAGAAAATTAATATTTACTTTAAAATTTAATTATTTAATTTTACATATTGATCAAAAATTATTTAATTTAACAGTGATTATTAATTTATACTTAATTATTATTTATTTAAAGTTACAAATATAAAGTGTCAAATATTTTAGTCTCTTTTTTAAAAAAAATTAGATAATTAAAATTTAATACAAGTTAGTAAATTAATTATTAAGTAGTATAAGTATTAAATTATGTAAATTTTAAATAATTTGATTAATTTCTTCGTTATTTCTTTAGTTTGAGGTTATGTCAACCTGTTGAACACGCCCTTAATTGAAATATTTATTAATTATTTAAAAATTTATCTTTTTTTTCATTTTACAAATTTGCAAAAAGTGGCGAATTGAAATTTTTTAAAAATTTATTTTAAATTACATAAAAATAATAATATTTTTTATACCATTTGATTTTATATATTTTTGTTTAAAAACGACTTTTATTCTTACTTTCCATGTTCCAAGACCCAAAATCGGTGCTTCATTTCCATTATTAAATTTCACCATTACCGGTTTCGACATTTTAAGTATTAATATTACTGAAAATGTTAAAAATTTAAATACTTGAAAACTTTAAGATTATAGCTCACGTGCAATCGGGCGTTGCCTGTGTTACACTGTCGGTATTTTCTGATGCTTTATACTCTATAGTATATGGAGATATAATTTTTTTTCTTCGTCGATTTCTTTAGTGACTTTGATATCAAGTCAATTAAAAAATTAATTTCAACTGGTTTTTTATCGCAAAAACAATTACGTTATTAATTATAATTAATCATTATTATTAAAAAAATAATTGAAATTATTATCAAATATTTAATCAAATTTATTTATTTATTCTTATTTAAATCTCTAAGTACTACAAAGCAGCGTGAAAAATACTTAAAAATTTCTTCTGTGCAAAATTACCAAGTTCAAAAGTTATATACAAAAAAAATCGATGCCTAGAATGGAATATTGAACGGATAGTGCTTTCCATTTTCACAACTGAAAATAAAGTATAGATTATGTTTAAAAAATTATTTGAAATATTAAAAAATTATTACATAAAATTATAAAATTTAAATAATTATAATAATTTTCTCTCTTACCCAAACATGGGACAAATTCTACCGTTGCATTCGAATGTATCAATGAAAGCGATATCATCATCATTCAATTTGAAATCAAACACTTGACTATTTTCTGCAATGCGAGACTTTGTCACTGATTTGGGAATAACAATATGTCCACGATCAATCTGAAATTAATTAAAAATTTATTTAATCAATCAATAATTTATTTAATCAACTAATAATTATAAATTAATTTAAATACTTTTCTATGTGGTTTTTGAAAAAAGAATATACCTGATAGCGTATTAGAACTTGTGCCGGAGATTTATTGTATTTTTTTGCAATTTCCAGTAATTTTTTATCCTCCATGAGTTTTGGATCATCTGGCTTCGCCCAAGGACGATCTGGACTTCCCAGTGGAGAGTAAGCCGTAATAATGATTCCTTTTGCTTTGCAAAAATCTGACAACTTCCTCTGAACCAGGTATGGATGACATTCAATCTAGAAATTATTTATATAATAAAATTATATATTTAAAAAAATCATTAAAAAAATTAAATTACCTGATTTGTAACTGGTTTAACTTTACAGTTCTTTAACAATTTTTCAATTTGTTCAGAGTTAAAGTTACTAACTCCGATATTTTTTGTCAATTTCTTTTCAAAAACAGCTTCCATAGCTTTCCAGGTATCGAGATAATCGACGGAATCATCAATGAATGGTTTTCCCTCAGCAGTTTGTGGAAAATTATCGGGACCATCTTTATAAGCGAATGGCCAGTGAATTAGATACAGATCCAAATAATTTAAATTAAGATCGGAAAGGGTTTTCTTGATAGCTGTCTCAACAAGTTCTGGTTTATGGTAAGTATTCCATAATTTACTTGTAATGAAGAGGTCTTCCCTTTTCACAACTCCTTCCGCAATTTTTGCCTTTATAGCTTCTCCTACTTCCTTTTCATTTCCATAAACGTGAGCACAATCAATGTGTCGATAACCAATATCAATTGCGTCCTTCACAGCTTGAGTAACTTCTCCAGGCTTGGACTGAAAAAATAAATTATTCCAACATGATTCAACTTAATTGCGGAAAATATAAAGGCTTTATTCATTCATTGTATATAAAGACCGTTTTTAATTAATGTGAATCATTAAGGAATTCTAATCAGTAAATGATTAACCAACATAGAAGTTTATAGCTTACAATTATGATTTTTAAAATGATTTATTTTAAAATACCGGATTAAAATAAAAATTTCTAAAGCATAATTATAATTAAGGGTAATAATAATAATAATAATAATAATAACAATTAATTAATTAAATTAAATAATTTTATTTTACCTACTGTTAAATAAATTCACAATAAAATAAAATCTAATCAGTAATTATTATATACGCTTGTTTATAAAAAAAAAAGACAACTCACTATTAATTAATTTGAAATATTTTGATAAACGAAATTTAAACCAAAAGTTCAATTAAAAAGAGTTAAATTATACTCAAATTATCTATTACAAAATTTATTTTTATCTTTCTTTTTACAATGTTTGTAGATAACGAGTGCAGAATATTCTAGAATTTTGAGGTTAGGTTACATAAATTTCCTCTTCTCTTATCAATTAAAATCTAGTTAAAGAGTTTTAGAACAAATACGCAATTAAGCAAGTATGATTATTAATTCCAAAAATTAAATTAATAGATATTTAATTTTACCTTCCAAGTTCCTAACCCAAAAATCGGAACTTCGTTTCCATTATTCAATTTAACGTTGGGCACTTTCAAAGACATTTTTAAAATGAAAAAGATATTATTTTCTTTGGTAAAAAATTGCTTTACTATCGGAAATGTTTTATAAATGCTCGATTTATGACGCCGGTAATAAAAGTCAACTGACTTAAATTGAAAAAAAATTCATTCTTTTAACTTCTCTAGAAATTTTTAAGCGCCTGCGCTTTGATAACATTTATAACACGCATGTCAAATGTAAAACTCTTTTTAAAAACATGGGCACAAAAAAAACATGAATGAAACATAACCTCTCTATTAGTTTGTTGTTTGTTTATTACTTTATTATGTGTATTTTATATACATGTAATATATAATATCGGAAAATTCCACTGCAGTTTAAGAAAAAGTATTTCAGTTAAAATTAATATACAAACTCCAAACACGGAAGCATCGTGTAACAATTAAAAACTAAGGTAATCTAGTAAAAATACAATTTTTTCTTGATTTATTTTGTTTTTATAATAATTACACGCTCTGTTATAATTAATTAATTATAAATGGAATTTTATTATACATATTTAACGTGTTGCTCCAAAAAATTAAATATTCTTATTTTTTCTTGTTCAACAGATTATTATTCGCAAGTCACATATTTTTTTAAATTGTTTTAATTTTAGATAGTTAAATTAATTGTTTTAGGTACTTAATCGAAATTTAGTTATTATTATATAATATAATTATATAAAAGTCTCTGGGGACAGGAATTTATTTAATTTGTACAATTACTATAAGAATGGTTTTGTATGTTTATCAATATTATAGAATTTTTAAACAGACGAGTCAACAAAATAGTGATGATAAGCTTAAAGTTCATTACTTGTAGCAAAAATAAACAGATAAGGAAATGATATGAGACAAAAATAAGTTGATAATTTTTTTACCGCTTTTGTCTATAATTTCTAAACAATTTGGCATATTTCAATGCATCAACAAAAAATATTTTTAAATTTTAAATTTTTCTTATGTTATAAATCACCTGTCCTATTTAAACATAATTTTAAAATATCTTTTTAATCCACTATTAATTAAAATTACATATCTGTTAAAATTTAGATCAAATTTGAATTTTTAATATTATTCTATCTTTCAGAATTAATGGATTTCCTCTTAAATATCCCGGAACAGGAAACATACATTATGAGGAGAAAATTTTCCAAAAGGAAGAGATATAAATTTAAGCATTGTTCTTTATGATTAACTTGGTAAAATCCTTATGGGAATTAGCGAAACGCTCACTTAACTATTAAATAGATAAATTAAACAATGCTACGGTAAATATATTTATCTTATTTATGTTTTTAATTATAAAATTTTATTTTTCTAAATTAGTTAACATAAATATTTGTTTTTTAAATAATAAGTAATAAAATAATTCGGCATCAAGATAACTAAATTAATTAAAAAAGAAACTGAGAATAATTCAAGAATATTAGGAAAACTATAATGACGACAGTAATAAAATATGATTGTCGAGCAGGTATCTTGTCCTGTCAAAGAAAACACCATGGGGGGTTCTGGTCCTCATCCCAAAGTACGAAAAGTATTCACAATGACTTATTGTTAATTTACTGGTCTCACTCCAGGAAGAAAGGTATTTATATTATCACCAAATTTACAAAATTACTTTGAAACAAACAAAATTATTTTTGCTGTTTCGTGTGCAGGTTACGATTATTCTTTTTCATTCATTTTTTATGTATACATTAATTATTTGTTACAAAAATTTATAGGTGCTCGTTAAGGTTGGAATTAACATCAAAAATCCTGTTTAAATTCAAAAAGATATTATTTTCACGTCAATTTTTTAAGGAGGTTGAAAACTTTTCAATAAAAACAAATTTTTAAATTTGCAAAATACCATCAGCTGCTGAGATAATTTATTTCAAATTTATGGACACAGAAGAATAATGTTTTCTATAAAATATTATTTAAAACAATAAGTATTAAAATATTTTTATAATAATAATAATAATAATAAATATTATTACTATTATATTTAATTAAAAAATGATTAAAGAAGAAGGTTTTTTAATCGACTTGGACAAAAAAAAGCCCGAATTTTACATCATGAATGCATTCAAGAGTCTGATTGTGAATTAAATTAAGTAACGCATTATATTTGAATATAATTTTGAATTGTATTAAAAATGTAATATAATTAATAGTATAAAAATATATTTGTGATTCTACCACGAAATTAAATTCTAAAAAGAAATTGTACATCAGATTTAAAATTCACAAATTTAAATTTAGCGCCATTTATCAAAATATTAGTGTTTCCAATTTTTATTTAAATATTACGGTCAAATTATATTAAATTAGCTTGATTTTTACTTCATTATTTTTAATTCCCGTTTTAAAAAAAACTCTCAACAGTATTTTACAACTAATTTGAATTTGGCGCCATTTTGAATGAAAATGCAAACTGATAGCTATAGACAACAAGCACAGTTATGGCTAGTTTTGCCGATTGTTGTTGCATCGTTTTACGTTAAAAACGAAGGTGTTTTTTTTCAATTCAGTTATGTCTATTTGACTCATTTACATCAAATTATGCAACGTGTGATAGAAAAAAGCTTGATAGTCAGTTTGACAGACGTTGAGGCATGTGACCTACTTAAGAATATCAATTTCTTTTGTGTCGCCGGTATGGCATGGATGAGAAGAAAAGCGAGTTTTCCTGCTTAGACAAACTTTATTTTAAACAATTAACATCTCCCTGAAGAATATATTGTGATTTGATATCAACGTCTTCTCAGGTATATGGAAATAAGTGGAAAAATCCGCATGAATTGCGTCTTTTTGTGACATTTCGTGGCATACAGGTTAATCAGTAACGTAACCTCAAATTCACGGAACCCACCGTGATTTCATTGTTAGGTGGAAAAAAAGACGCGCGCCATCACTCTCTCTTCCTTTCTCTTTCTTTTCATCTTATTATTTCATTAAACTTGATTAAAGCTATCCGTAAATGTGTATTTTTCATGAAAGCTTGGATAAATATTCTTTTCTTTTTGTTTGCATTTATAATTTATTACTCGCGAAGCGTCAGAGAAAGAGAGAGAGAGCTTCTTTTAATTAGAACCGGTAGTTTATTTTGAGGAACGAAAAAGTGAAAGTTTTTTAAAATAGCTTTCGAGATTTATTATCTAAAGAATTAATTTTGCCAAATTTTGTCTCTTAATTGGAATTTTTTATTCGATTGTCTGTCCTATCGAGGCGTTAATTAAATTTCGTTAATTCAAAACAAAAAAAAATGTCTCTAGACTTTGTAAATAATTGACCTTTTGGAACCTGTTTATGAATCATCAGGCAATTAAAATAGCCGAAAAAAAATGAAATGCATTTAGCTCGGAAACAGTTTTTATTTTATTTTGCATTTATTTATAAGTTGAGAAGAAATACATATTGTTAACGTAGCAATATATAAAATTTTCGCAAAAATAAAATGTGAAGTAAATTTTTAGTGTGCGAAATTTTTTATTTAAAATATTAATTTATATATAAAATGGATATAATTAAATGAATTTATCTTTGGGGAGATTTTGGTTTAAAACTTTTTCTATACTCTGAAATTGATATAGAAATTCTTTAAATGCCTGTAATAAGTCAAGTGACAGTTTTATCTAAATGAGTATAATGATCCCCTTGTTTGGATATTGAACAGATGGACGAAAATCTTGTTTTGATATAGCTATTATTTGAAAAGGAAAAGTGTCATTATGAGAAGCGGTCGGTGGCACAAAGAACATGTGTGACGCGCCTGGTGTTTAATGCGCCGCGACGGCATATTGAGGAACTAAGGGAGTGTCCGTCCTGTGTAAGATGGCCTACAGACCTACATTTGTCTAACGTTCGATTTTTTTTCTCCTGGCCCAACGACAATCGACACGGGGGTCGCGTGGTGATTGTGCGATGTCATATACATATACCACGGGACGGATATCCGTCTGACGTCGAGGTGACAGTTTCGTGACCCTCGCGAGAGGACGGGGCGCGCGAGCAAGAGAGGGACAGAGAGAGTGTGGAGGACAGAGAAAGGATTGAAAGAACAGAAAAGAGTGAAGACAGGAGAGAGAGAGAGAGAGAAAAAAAAATAGTGCGTGGGATAAGGAGAGAGTAAAAAGGAGAAAGGGCTCTCTCAAGTTATTGCGCGAATAATAGACAGGGGTGTTCCTAACCACGAAAATTCGCGTAGGTGTTTTTTGCCAAGTGCGCGCGTGTGGCAAAAGACGACGACGACGTGTTGCCGCCTTGGCATTTGTGTTTCAATCTAATCCGGTGGAATGCTTGAGGACCGAATGGCAGCGACCGGGGAAGCTGGACTTCCTACCCTGGAAAGTGCGAGCGATTCAACATCAACAATTTTGACAAACGATGGTACCGGAAATCTCGAGTTGCAAAATCATCTCCGAGTGCAACAGACACAACGACTTGAGCTGGTGGTGGATGTAAACGGAGCCGAGAGTTCTGGTGAGTTTTTATATTGTTTTTTTCCTCTATATTATAATATTTTTCCTCTATTTTTGCTTTGCTTTATTTTGAATGGAAAAAGGTGTACCTCGTGGTTGAGAGGCGAATACGGTCTATAATTCTCTACAGTCAACTCGGTACTCTTTGTTGTCGCGTTGTGCTTGCCCCTTTACCCGATTTACCTCCCGACTCCTTCCCTCTCAAATGTTAATGTTGCTGTCTCGCTTTCGCAGAGCCGTTTGTAAGTCTTTTTTTTATTCTCTCTTTCTTCCTCTCATGTCTGCTTTGCCGTCCGTCACTCTCGCCCTCTCGGTTTCTTTTCGTTTCCCCTCACCTCGCCTCCCTGCCTCGTCTGGCTTACTCACACTCGTTTTCATTTCGTTTACTCTCACTCTTGTTCCTCCTCTCTTGATAGCCACCGAGTGTGAGTGAGTCGGCTCCGATCACTTACTGTATATGCCGGCTTGCTTTTTTTAAAAAACTTTTCGCTTGTTTTTACCTTTTTTGCAATAAATTTAATTTTTTTAAAATTGTTTTTAATATTTTTAAATAAATCGGAGTATTTTTAGAAATTTTTATAGAAACCACATAAATACTGTTGGTTTTGTTTATTAAAACATAACAATGATACAATGATTTTAGTTTTGAAAATAATGTGATTTCGTTTTTTGCTAAATTAT